TGCATAAAGCCATAGTTGAAATATTTTCTATTTGTGGAGGTCATTAGAGGTCATTAAAATTCAATTTGATTTTATTTTATGAATTTCGATCACTAATTAGGCGTGCACCCAAAAAATTGGAAGATTTGAACCAAAAATGAAGGCAGGCCCCCCCCCCCCTACATCAAATGTGCCAACTCCACCATCCCCTTTTTGATAGTTTTTTCGCTATTTTTATCCTAAAACTTGCACATTCCAGAATTGAGGGAAATTTTTCAGTCTTTTTTTCAAAAGTTCTGGGTTGGGTTTTAGGAGTAAAAAAGATTTGTTGGCTGTTTTTGGTTGATATTTTACCCCGTGGATCCACATTTTTTTGCGGATCCGGATCCAGGAAGTCAAAATCTTGCGGATCCAAAGCACTGCAGTTCAATCCTTGTTTATGTCCAGGCCCCGTGATATCAAGCAGTTTGTTCTGGATGAAGCTGACGAGATGTTGTCCAGAGGATTCAAGGATCAGATCTACGATGTTTTCAGACATCTTAACTCCGAGATACTGTTACTGAAAACATTTTCGGTGGGGGGGGGTCTTTAGAAAGTCCTTAGAATGTTAACAGTGGATTCGTTGCTGCTACTGTATTCCTGGAGTTAAAACATTTTCATTTTTGGAGGTCATTAGAGGTCGTAAGAGGTCATTAGAAGGTCACACACTAGATTTGTGGCTGCTTCCGTATTCACTGGGTTCCTAGCTTTTGTTTGATATGCATAAAGCCATAGTTGAAACATTTTCTATTTGTGGAGGTCATTAGATGTCATTAAAATTCAATTTGAATTTAGTTTAGGAATTTCGATCACTAATTAGGCGTGCAGCCAAATAAATTGGAATATTTGAACCAAAAATGAAGGCAGGCCCCCTACATCTAACATGACATCTCCACCATCCTCTTTCAAATTCAGAAAATCGGCCAAAAATATGAGGGGAACCATGTCATTATGGATCTAGTCTGTATTATTGAAGTTTAAAGGAATATTGAATAGCTTCATCTAGCTGGTATTTGTCACATTAAAATTGTCCATTATAAGATAACTGAAACTTTCAAACCAAAAGGATAAAAATTGAGGTTGTGATCTGGTTCAGAAATGTATGGGCCGGCTGGAACATGTTTGAATGCGGCATTGGATTGATGATTTTATGCATTTTAAAATGCATAACTGCATGCAATAAATTATGCTCTGAAACTTGAGAGGTTTAAGTGTAATGATCATATTACCAGCAGGGTCTGGTATCACTTAGTTAGTTTTTAATCGGTTTTAATAGTATCCCTGCTAAAAACCTTTTCATCTGATAAAACATATCAGGGGTGTTATTATTATGAATTACCGGGGGGAGGGGGGATTTTTGAAGAATTAGAGGGAAAAATTAAAAAATGTCGAGCATTAAACATGCCTATCTTATGGGGGGGGGGATATAATGATTTTGTTCTTAATCTTCTTATTCTATAGTATAAAAGGTTATTCCTTTTTAGTCATGTGCAACCCAGGAAATAAACATAGATTTACGATGGTAGTTTTAAAACCTGCTTTTGCCCCGGGTGTCGATATGCCCTGGCCAACCAGTGAAACAGAAAGTAACGAGATTATAAACTTTAAAGTAAGGGCTGCCTTGATTCCTCTTGTGAAATTTAAAGTCGTTAAATGAGTTAAATCATTTTCACTTGACACTTAAACAATGTTGAGGATTTTCAGATTCTTTCCTTTTCATTTTAAATATTTCTACGTATTAGGTTATCCTGCTGTCTGCCACCATGCCATCTGAGGTGCTGGAGGTTACCACCAGGTTCATGAGGAACCCCATCAGGATCCTCGTCAAGAAGGAGGAACTCACCCTCGAGGGTATCCGTCAGTTCTATATTGCTGTAGAGAGAGAAGAGTGGAAGTTGGATACTCTCTGTGATCTGTACGAGACCCTCACCATCACCCAGGTTTTAATTTATCATGAAAGATGGCGGGGCGTTTTTTTTTTTCTCTAACCCCCCTTTTTTATTTTTCCCAAAAAATTTTCCCCCCCCCCCCCCCCCCAACTTGAAAATATACTTTTTGAATGTTATATATGCTTTTCACGGTTTTATTCGCTCTGTTTGAGAGAGAAAAATATATTTTAGGGAGAGATTAATGAACATTTGGATAGAATGGATTTTTAGAATACCTGATTTCTAGTCGAATATTGTATAGAACTAAAATGATGATTTTTTTCGCATAAACTGGGTCATAAATCAGGACAGTACTGGTCAAAATTGTTGATCAGTTAACCAAGTCCATCCTTTTGAAAAAGATTTGTTTAAAGAAAAACCAGATTTACCTGTAAAAATTGGAGGGTTGTCAAAAAAAACTTTTTTTTTTAAAAAACTGATTCTTGTCTCTATCTCAGTTTATGTCAGTTACTAAAACATATTGTATAAACATGAAAAAATATTATAAACAAGAGAATAAAACAGTTTTGTTTAGGCTGTTATCTTCTGTAACACAAGAAGGAAGGTAGACTGGTTGACCACTAAGATGACTGAAAGGGATTTCACCGTCTCCGCTATGCACGGAGACATGGACCAAAAGGTTTGTAATTTTACGTAGTATCCCTTCATATATATCCGATCATATATATCCGATCATAACTTGCGAACCCTTACCGACTTGCCTCAAACTTTGATTGGGGAAAGCAACTCACGGAAATTTTATTAGCTAGGGTTAGAAAGTCTAAATTGAGTTGTTTGACTATAATATTGAATGTCTGGTTTGCATGCTAAATTGTCCCCCGGATCAGACACCTAGTTCACAAGAAATAATTCATTTCGAATATTTGCAATATTCATCCTTTCACATCTGAAGGGTGGTCGATTATATCTATATCTTGTCTGTTTGTTTGTATCCAATAAACGTTAAAACGGCTGAACCGATTGGGCTCATATTTTGTGTGGGACCTCGGCTGACCCCAGGGAAGGTTTATGAAAAAGTTTATTATTTTTTGTAAGATTTTGAAAATGTGCGAAAAAAATATTATGAAACCCGCAATCTTTATTGTTTTTGTTTTATACTGTACAAATAGAAGATTCTCATAGATAAAAGTCGAAATAGAAGATGTGCGCGACGCGGCCGAAAATCTTAGTATATTTATAATATATAAAATATATATTCTAGCTTAAGGGCCCGTGAAAAAATAAAATAAAAAATAGTTTGAAATGAAATCGAATTTTTTTAGCCTAAAACACCCCCGGCCACCCACGAGTGTCCACAAACAAATTTCAGCCCAATCGGTCCAGCCGTTTGGCCGGCTATACGCAACATGTATATACATACGAATGTCTTGTTTTATTATAAATATATATCAACTCGTGTATTGATATATATTTGCATACTTGACCTAAATAACTAGCGGGATCATGCATTCTGATCATGTTACACATTAACACGTGGGTGATAATTCTCATCTTATCCAATTCAACTAGAACTATCGAATATTTGTCATACGAACTATGTATCAGTCTATCATAAACAGGGGTTTAGTTTAATTTTAATTGCATCGGTCACCTTTTTTGAGCTTTTCTTGTTTTTTCTTTGCCCTGTTGCCTAATTCCTTTTGTCTTAATCTTAATATTTTTATAAGTGGCATTTTTTACTCTTTTTCCACCCCCACCCAATAAAAATGTTAAAATCGACCACGCTTAAGGGGACATTAGTTCCAAAACTAACACAGAAATGGGCACAAATTAAAAGACTTCGGTTTTTGGGATCATGGCCCAGATCCAGAGTAAACGTCTATAGTAAAAATTATAACCAACATGATTGAATATGACGAGGACAACCATTCACAATTTAAAATTTTTCTAAAATAAAGAATTATAATAAGAGTATTAAATCTCTTGACCGCTTGAAAACAATGTCAGATTCTCCATTTTCGAACATATCCTGAATTTGAAACATTGTCGCGTTTTCTAGACAACCCCCACTTTCCCGTTTTTGAGTATTATCCACCTTTCAGAACACAGCTCACTTTCATAACTTGCAAAATAAATCACTGAAAACAAAAATTATCTTATGAAAACTAAGTTAACTTCTGAACAGTGTTTCGGATCCATATCATTTTGATTCGGATCCGGATCCGCGGATCCGCATCCGTGATGATGGATCCGGATCCGGATCCTGATACGGATCCGGATCCGAGGTAACTTTTGATTCTGTGAATCGGATTTTCCCTATTAAATGTTATGCAAGGTAATAATTTATAAACTATAGTAATCCTAAAGTTAAAAATGTCTTCATTACTATTATATAAATGTAAACATTAAATTATTAAAGATAATTTTGAAAAATTTTCTTCATGTAAATAATACATTTTCGAACCATTTTGATTTATTTATTCCATTGTTTTGGTTAATTTTTGGCGCTACCCGGATCCATATCAACGTTTCCTGATACGGATCCGGATCCGACCAAATGATACGGATCCGACCGGATCCGGATCCGAAACACTGCTTCTGAATTATTTCTAAAATCTAAGTTTCTACATTTTATCTGTTAACTCGACGAATATCGATGATTTATTTTCAAGCATTTTAAACAAACAGTTTCCCGCATTTCTAGTTAAATCTATATTGTAAGAACAATTGATATTAATATTTTAATTTCTCAATGCTATAATATTTTTAAATTATGAAATACTGTTTGTTCTCAATGTTAGAACGGGCCAAGTGTTAGTTTTGGAACTAATATCCTCTGCGCTTAGGCTAGCTACACATATCAATTTTGTTGACACTTTTTCGGCCTATTTTCTGTGAATTCTTATATTTTCAGATCCAGACCCAGAGGAAAAAAATATTAAAACACCCCCCACCCCCCTTTCCCTTCTCCTATCAATACTTAATAAGTACGTACGTAAACGAATCTGTTATCTATTTGTTTACTTAAGAATGAAAACAACTGCTGTAAAGTTTCAAGGTGACTTCTAAAATATTTGGGACATGTTGAATAGTAGAAGAAAGCATTATCCAACAACTAGTTTCCCGCAGTTTAATTCTAATAGAAAGATTTATATTTGACTTTTATTTGTACTTCTCATGAGATTATTCAAAATGATTTGGGTTTACTGTACATTATGGAACGACAGGGTGTATATATTAAATCATTTCACTCACCCTCCCCCTCCCTTTATGAAAAATATTTATTATTTTATATAAAGTTGCGCAGAGCGAACATTTTTGTACAGGGTTCTTTCCCTGAATTTGGGAAATTAAATGCTAATTTGGATGAAAAGTATCAAAAAGAAAATAAAAACACTTGCCTGTTGATCTCCCATATTTTATTTTAATTCATCAAAAATCCAGTCACCCTAGCCCCCCCGGTGGGGTTGGGGGGGGATTCAAATTTGGAAAAATGAACACCCCGTTATAGTTAATTAATAAAATATCTCTGTTCAAATATTCTAATTAAGCAACAGCCCAAACAAATAAAATAAACAATCCATTCAAATTACAACAAAAATCCTATCAAATTAAGCTCTCAATCCCTCAAATTATCTCGATAATCCCTTCAGTTTACGCCAACACTCCCTTGAGTTAACGCCAACACTCCCTTCAAATTACGTCAACACTCCCTGCAGATACGTCAACACTCCCTTCAAATTACGTCAACACTCCCTTCATATTACGTCAACACTTCCTTCAGATATCGTGAACACTCCCTTCAGATTATGTCAACACTCCCTTCAAATTACGTCAACACTCCCTTCAAATTATCTCGATAATCCCTTCAAATTACGTCAACGCTCCCTTCAAATTACGTCAACACTCTCTTTTACCTACGCCATCACTTCCTTCAAATTATGTAGGCAATCCCATCAAATTACATTAAAAATCTCCTTTCACATGTCGTCAATAATCTTCTTAAAATTCGTCAAAAATTGCGTGAAAAATTCTGTAAAACCAATATATTTCAGAAGCGGTTTTATAATAAAATAAATGGATTGTATTCTCTTTTAAACTTGAATATATTTCAGGAGCGTGACGTGATCATGCGTGAGTTCCGTTCTGGATCTAGTCGTGTTCTGATCACTACTGATCTGTTGGCCCGTGGTATTGATGTCCAGCAGGTCTCCCTGGTTATCAACTACGATCTCCCAACCAACAGGGAGAACTACATCCATAGGTTAGTTAAAATTGGTGTAAATAAGATTGTCTATATCTTGGAAAAAAAATTAATGTATAAGAGGAGGGCGGGGGTGTATAAGTACAGTTAAAACCAGCAAACTGTGGAAAAAAGACTACTAAAGGCGCAAAGTCCAGACAGGGATGTATATTTTTCGGAACAAAAATAGTAAAGTTTTTTCTTCTTAATTCTTAATACCCACAATAATCAATTATTTTCCCTTATTCAGCGAAAAACTCTCAAGAAAAATTTCACTCCGCGCGAGGGGGCAATTATCTAGAAAAATATTCACCTTTCTGATTTAAAATTGTCTAATTCACGAAACTGCAATCATGCAGTGTGCCCGGCCCCATTTCATTTTATACTATTAGCATTTGAACAACATCAAATACATGTTGTCTTTTTATCAGTTTTCTGGTTTTCATCTAAATAAAAACTTGTAATGATACTTGGCCTACACTTTTATACACTAAAAATGTATGTCTCGAGTTTTTGGTTGGATTGGAATGACTTTATTTGTTGAATTTTGGAAACTGCATTGCTCACGACTGGTTGTGGAACACGTATAAACGAAAAATTTCAAATTCCAGTGCTTACTGGATCCGGATCCATCCAAGGGGCAAACGAGAGAAATCATTTGAAAATTCCTCTTTTGTTTAAAAACTTTCGGAGATGACCTGGATCCAGATCCGTATCAAAATTATATAGATCCTAGGCACTGTCTAGTGCCTATCTATATTAAAAACTAAAATAAATTCATCATAATTGAGGGGTTAGACAAATTAGTAATTTTTTTGATTTATTTTTATCTAATTTTTGTTCAGGATTGGTCGAGGAGGAAGGTTCGGTAGGAAGGGAGTTGCGATTAACTTCGTAACAGAAGATGACAAGCGTAGTCTTCAAGATATTGAAAAGTTCTACAATACACAGATCGACGAGATGCCAATGAATGTAGCCGATCTTATTTAGTGCAATCCACGGTAATAATAAATTCTAGATATATCCCTGGGGTTCCACATGAATTAGAAATAATTTTTTCTGTCTAATTGTTTTCACCTTAATTTTCATTTTGAATTTATTTTTCCTATTTGATATTTGAACATGTTGAAAATTTTCTACAAACTATAGCCCTAGAGTTCAAGTGTCTTAATTTTATTTAAGAAATTAACTTTTGGGAAAAAGTTGTTGGGATAAAATATAAATAAAGGGGGGGGGGAAATAATTCCTACTCTTTATATTCTTTTTAATAATTTGAGATTTAAGGAATGAACTAATTAAAATCTGTTCCATCTCTCATTATTACAATCTAAGCGCTTTAATAAAGCTTTTAAAATCTTGTTTATATATTTCTTTCAGGAAAACGAACTTGCTCTTTGGAAACCAAACCTACCGCATCAACCGATTACGAAAGTGATAAAACTACGACAGCGATAAAAGCTCCACAAACCTTCCAATTCTGCAGTTCACAGCTCTCCGGTCGAAGACAAGCTAAGTGTTGCTTGCTCTTTGCCCTTTTTAACCAGTTACAGTGTTAAAAAATGTAAATTCAAAACTAGGTTCAGGGTTCAAATCCCGGCCTTGAGTGCCTACGGGCCCACCGTGCCGCCAGTTCTCTCCCTATGTCCGATACGAGACGTGTTGGGGGTTCGAACCCCTGGTTCACGGGGACCAGGAGATACTGTGCGCTGGACACAAAACTATATACGAGTGCAGCCGTGAACCCTCCTTCTAGGCAGGTTCTTGGACTATTTAGAGGATTCAAATTAAGAAAACGCGTGAGAAGAAAATTGTGATGATCGAGTGTTTTTTTAGTTTTTAATTGAATTTTTAACGTTTTTTACATCCTCAATATGTGTGTTTATTCCCTGCTGAATAAATCTGCCTCGTCTCAAACAGATTTGCTTGAAATTTTTAATATTTTTTCTGCGCTGTATCATTGTATTTAATAATTTCTGTAAATTCACTTGTTTAGTGTAATAATAATGTTTAATATAATCTACTTGGAAGTTGGGCACACCAGTGTCGAGGAATTATTGAGTGGTATTTACTTCTAAATGGAGTCACAACTATTATTGAAAGTGAGTGACCGCAATGTGCGGTAGCTGAAAACTTTAGAATGGGATATCCTTAATCCTGATCGGTTAATTAATCTGAGCTGGGAACTTTAGAATGGATAAAATTTAATCCGGACTTCTTGATCCGAATATCCACTGTGGAAACTTTTCATTTTTGTTCTAATCCACTCTTATTCTCTCTCTTCGGATATCCGTTAATTGTTTTCTCCAATGAGAATATTTCTGTTCTCTCATTGGTTGCCCGCTTTTCTCTGATTGGCTGCTACAGTTTCTTTGATGATTAAATATTATTTTGAATTTTATGGTTTTTCATACACTTTTAAGATAATCTTGCAAGATTATGTTAATCTTGAGATTGTCAAAAAGAAAGGATCAAGCATTAATCCCGATATCCACCATTCTAAAGTTTTCAGCTCTGGAGATTATTAACAAGAGTAGAACAAGCATTATTTAATCTGGAGATAAAGAAAAAGAGTGGATCAAGCTTTAATCCCGATATCCACCACTCAAAAGTTCCCAGCTCTGAGATCGTAGTATTGCGAAGAAATTTGTTAGGTTTCACTTCAGCTCAAACTCTTCTTCTGAAGAACTTTATTCAGTATCAAAAAAAACATTATCAATACTTCAACTTAAGCTCAAACTCAATAATGAACAATCATTGACTTGAGCGTTAAGTCTATGTTCAAAATCTTCCATAAGGGTGGTTTTGAACATCGGTTTTATTAAGACTACAAAAAATGGAACGAAAAACTACATTTTCACAAAATTTTCTCTCAAAACGATACTTCGGACCTGCACTTTCGTGGGTTTTCAGCAGCTTCTAGCTGCTGTTGGTCTGATGAATTGTGTCGGATTAGTGTATCTGACCTACTGTAGGTTGGTTGCACACTTAACTGTAGATAACGACTTTTAAGTCGGATGCACATATTTTGTAGGTCAGATGTACACATATTTATGGTCATAGGTCTGATAAATTATAGATAATAAGTAGCCGCAGCGCTCGGCCCGTCAGCCTCCCCTAGTTGTAGTGCATGGCCCAGAAATTGTCTTAACCTAACCTCACATATCGGCTATCACATTGTCAACTTGATAATGTGTTCAGTGTCCTTCAGAAGTAAAAGGTCTAGGAATTGCGGAGCAAATTTAGCTTGTTCAAGTTCTCATGCATGAGGGTGATTGAAAACAAGTTTACGTCAAATCATATCACTCCGTCCTGGTGAGATATTGAGGTTTTTAAAGACCCTGTACAGCTCGTACAGCTGGAGACATCTTTTAAATGCTTAGTAATTTTTTAAAGTAATTCCATTTATTTATTTTCCCAGACCTTTCTGCATGTATCATCTTGTTCAATATAAATTTTCATGGATGGATTCATATTTGAACTCTTGTTCATTCAACTACTGATAATGAAGTCATTTCCTTTAGTTCAAGCAATACATTATTTTCTCTTTTAAATATTAAATATGCAGTTTAAAATTCGTATATTTCATAAAAAAAAATAGGTCAAACAAGCATCACAATTAGTTTATAGCATTATCAAACAATATTTAACATATGTGGACATAAAAATAATTTAAATGACCAAAAAAAAAACAGGCGTATTCAGGGGGGGCTAACCCCCCCCCTGGACCAGTGAAATCTATTGATTACAGGGGGTTTCATGCCCCAACGGTTCTGAGCCCCCCCCCTGGAAAAATTCCTAAATACGCCCCTAGCTTCAAATGAAGCAATAGTTCAAATTGGAAATGAGCAAAAAAATAGTTTAAATGCACAAAAAAATAGTTCAAATGAGCAAAAACAAGTTCAAAAGATCAAAAAGATACATGGTGTCCCACGAAACATGACATTTAGTACATGATTTAGAATGTTTTCTTCCAGAATTTTTTAAGTTGCTAAATAGGAAATAAAAATATTATATAGGAGTTATATATGGTAAAATTAATTTCAAAATAAAATATTTGAGCAAAAGATTTCTTTACAAATAAACTGCTAAAAGCCTTTAATATCTAATACAGTGTATGGAAGACGACATTCAAAACTATTTACCAACTGTCAGGAATCATGGGACACCCTGTAGTTCAAACGAGCTAAAAATAGTTCAAATAAGCAAAAAAAGTAGTTCAAATGAGAAAAAAAATATATTCAAATGAATGAAAAAGAGAGTTCAAATGAGCAACTATTTTTGGCTCATTTGAACTATTCTTTAATTGGCTCATTAGAACATATTTCGTTTGCTCATTTTAACTATATATTTTTTCAAACGACCAATAGTTTTAAGTAAGCCCTGGAAGTCGTCGACTTCGTCACTGATCACCCAGGTCGTTGATTCTAACAGACTCTTAAATCTGTCTACAGATGACTGAAGTTTAGTGCAACTAATATGTCCATATTTTCTATATTTTCTTCGTTGTCTGCACCAATAATATTGTTGTTAATATTACTGTCACTGATTTGATTACTTTCATCTTGTTCTTTGTCAATATGCAGTTCACTCACTATTTTGGGTTTCAGCTGATCATAAGCACATCGTGCTTTTAAGATTTTTTTTGTTTGCACGTCCTGTAACAACACTCTTCTTTGTCTATCAATGTCCAAAATCATGTAGGGGCCTTGCCACTTTGGGTCTAGTTTTCCCCCTTTCCTGCTCACATTGACCATATTTCTTTTGAAGACTAAATCATTTTTCTTCAAATTAAAACTCTTCACTCCTTTGTTTTTTCTAGCGTAATATTGCTCACACTGTTTTTCATGAGCGGCATTCATATTTTCTTTCACACGATTTAAAGTTGATTGCCGCAGCTGTTCGTCATTCATGACGAACTTTTCTATATCATCCTCCGTCGGTAGTTGTGTGACTGCTGCAGCATTATCTTCTTGAAGCTGCATCTGAACAAGTATAGGTTTCTTTAATACCAAAAAAGTGCATTACAATAACTCAGGGTCTTGCATTTTTTTATGTTTATATTTTTACACCAAAAAATAATCAATTTTCCCAAACTATAAAAAACAGCATTATTTTATGGCAGTTCCAGTAAGGATTTCTTTTTTTGCTCATTTGTAACTTGACCTGTATTTTTTTTTTTTTTTTTTTTGGGGGGGGGGGAACACCTGATATCTCATCCGTTAATTATCACTTGAGATTCATATTGTGATAGCAGAACTATTTTGGCGTGCAAAGACATCATAGATAGGACATTTCATAGATCAAGAGATATTTCAAAAAAGCTGAATTTTAAGTTCTTAAAATGATTTCTTTGTAGCAATTTAAATGGGAAGCAATGTATTTACATTTTCCCTTATCTATTAAAACTCCAGAAAAATATTTGTTGCTAAAAAAACTCCTCTGTCTATGAAATGTCTTTCTATAAAATGTCCTATCGATGAAATGTCTTGACAGTTTACACAGGGGNAGGCTGTTACTTTCCCCCAATTTTTGTAGATTTGTGCAAAAACAAAAAGTGCGCGAACTCTGCTAAATTATACATTTTTGAAAAGCACTTGACCCAGAAAATGCAAACATGCAAAAATGCAAAAAAATGTGACCCTCCCCTCCTCAGTCAGAATAATAGCCAATATAAACCAAAAAACTTCACGATCTAGATCCAGAATACGGATTTATATTTAATAGAAATAATCCACTATCCAGGAATCAGATTGAAATGAGAGATAATGTTACATCGTCTATATACGCAACATCCCCCCAACTGAACTTCCGACCTAGTAACTATCCGACATACTGCAATATCGGACCTACACCAGCTGTTTATTTTTGTATTAGTTTAAAAAAATGTACGGATTGTACGGATTTTTTTTTTTAAATTGTACGGATTGTACGGATTGTTTTTCGAAAATTGTACGGATTGTACGGATTTCTTCTGAAAATGTACGGATTTTTGTACGGATGGGTTCAAAAAAGTTTTGGCCACCCTGTAATTATTTCTACCCTACTGCGCTATAGGCATGACAAAAGCTGCTGAATAGGTCGGATGGGCAAGAAGATATGCCCATCCGACCTACAGCTGTCGTAGGTCAGATGTTGCAGTAGGCCGGATGGGCAGTAAAACGGATGGGCAATAGGACGGATGGGCAGTAGAGCGGATCAACATTACCGGTGATTACAGTTGCATAATTCAATAACGATTAATTAAACATACTTACATACTCAGTGACGTCCACTGAAATCCCCTTCCAGTAATAGAAGGTAGAAATTTTAATTCTAGTATTATTTAAGCCAGAATGTCCTCCTGCCATCGAATTTGAATGATAAAGCCAAAGAACATCTTTTGCCTCGCTCAGGGTGAAAATAACTTTCCTTTTTAAAGATTTGTCTTTAAAATGGAGGACATCATCTAAAAATAAATACAAACTGAAGTTATCAATAGTTAAAGTTAATTTAAGCATTTATCGATTTGGTATATAAAGTAATTCTGTAAATTCTAAAATTATATTCGGGTGTATTTATTTTGAGAAATACTCCCCCCCCCCTTCGCACGAAGTTTGGATAAAATAAAAAAATTGGAAATAATGAAAGCAACTTTTCATCCAACAAATTTTTATTTTGCCATTTCTGCAATGAAAACTATCAAAATTTTTTTGTTTAAAATGAAGTAGGATAGATTTTTAAAGAAATAATGTACCCCTTGCTTCATTTTAAATTTTAATTAATAACCTGTGTCTACATAAAAACTCTTCGCCTGCTTTCTTAATGTTCTCCTCTCAACTTCTGAGAACTCTTTAGGATAGGTTTTCTTCATTATGTATTGCTGAACTCTCTCCAGCTTCAGTTTTTCTGTTTCAAATCGAAGGATTCTCTCCTCATTCAAAGACCATGAGCTGAAATAATTAAAGTATGATTTTTGATTTGATTAAAAGTTGGAAACAAGGGGAGCGGGGGCAAATAGCATTCACTTTACTGAGGGGTTTATATTTAATTACCTGTTTATCATAGAGGTTGTGCCCTGACAATCGTCTCCATCTTCTCCATGGTCACCACAGTCTTCAACATTTTCTCCACCTCCCCCTTCCACCTTTCTCAGAATTTCCCCTTTCTCATTCAAAAACCGAAGACTAAAATAATTTAAGTATGATTTCTGATTTTATAGAAAGATAGCATGCAACATTAGCCCTACAATATTCATTTATATTTTATTATTACTCTACACCCATAGACAACATATTCAACCCTATTTCGACTGACATATGGTTTACCCAAAATAGACTGGAGGGGGGGGGGGGGGGGTAACCCACCCCCCTATTTCCTTACTGTGATACAAATCTTGAGCCCTTGATCCAGCAAATTCAAACATGCAAAACATGCAGCAAAATATGGAGCAAAACATGCAGCAAAACATGCAGCAAAACATGCAAAAAAACAGACCCCCCCCTCAGTCGGAATAGGGTTAAGTGCCAAAATAGTAGCTCCTACCTCTTTTCTCAGCATTTTCCGTTCCTCATTCAAAATATATTTTTGGTTTGCATCAAACTTTTAAACTCTAAAAATATTAAAATTTTTAAGTAAAGAAAAAACCTAAACAAACGTAAAAATACGTAAAATAGAAAACTAAAAACTTTGGAAAATTTATTCGTATGAAATTTACGAAAATTTACGTATTTTTAGGTTTGCATCAAACTTTCAAACTCTAAAAAAACACAACTTTCTAAGTAAAGAAAACCTAAAAACCTAAAATTTAGAAAAATTACTTGGTAATTTTTCGTATAAATACGTTTCCAGAAAACCAAAGCATTTAAAAAAAAATTGCTTGGTATAATAAGTAAAGATACAGTTCTTTACCCAAAAGTTGAGCATACGTATTTATACGTAAAAATACCTATTAAAACGTATCCCTATATAGAGACTTTGGTATTTTTAGGTTTTCGGGTTAGTAGGGTGTACACTGTACAGGTACACCTGCTTTTCTGTGAGGTTGAATCCTGACAATCGTCACTAGCCCCACCATCTACTCCATGGTCAACATAGTCTTCAACATTTTCTCCACCTCCCCCTTCCTCCTTTCTCAGCATTTTTCCTTTCAAGTCCACAATTCCAAAAGTTAAAATTTTTTTCCATTTTTTACTCCCTTTGACAATTCCACCAATATGTCTGCCCTTTCGAATCTTTCCAACTTCTGCTTCTTTTCCCCTACCCCCAAGAACAGGCCAATCTCCGGTTTCAGAATTCAACATTTTATCAATTGTTGTGTTCTAAATATGTAATTTATGATTATGAGAAACGGGGACAAAGGCTAGAACAGAGAAGGGGGCCAGGAGCTGCGGCCACATGAACAATTGTATCCATGTGTTACATGTGAAATCAATGTACAAAATTTATAGGAAATTACCGCTCTTACCGCTCTTTTGCAGACTAAAATTTTAAATGTGTTTGTTTACTAATGCCGTTGATAGTTTTATATACTGTATCGTCTTTGCTTAGGTCGTCTTTGTATTGCACCCGGACCAAATATTACCCTGGTCTATATCTTACGCTACACCTGGTTAGATTTGAGCGGAAAAGCCTTATTAAGAGATGGAACCATTCTCATAATTTTTGTTAAATAATTACTTAAAACGCCGGGTTGGGCTTGCGCGGAGGAGCCTTTCTTGTAATTTCACAATATATTTCTATAGAGTCTGGGATGGGTTGGATAATATGCGTGCGGAGAAGTGTTTGTTTCTTATTTCTTGTAGGATAGTTCTATAAAAAGGCGGGTTGGGTTTGAGTGGAGAAGTCAGTACATAGAGAACCCTTCTATACTCTCTACTCTATGCATCTCAGAAACCTGCTTTGTCTCATCTCAATATAAACATTGTGTAAAGGAACATAGATTTTTCTCTCTCTTTGTTTACCTTTAGTCGGATAGAAATATAAACAGAGAAGAATTGGATTTTTATATTCTTAAAACATTTTTATCCACCTAGTTTAAATTTTAGTTTATATGATCTTCGGTTTATAACCTTATTATCCTTTGCGGATTGAGGGAATTGAGGAGGTTTATTTAATATTAAGATGGTTTTTAGTTAATTTTCTGTAACTTAATTTGAAACCTAAAGAAACCGCCTTAAATATATAGATCTTTTGTTATTCGTAGGGTTAACAAGATTTTAATCTTTAGTTTCTTTTAGATAAATAATGTCCATAGGTCCCTCACTACCTTCTCACCTCCAGCATCTACGAGGAGGAGGAGAAGGTGGTAGTAGTAACGATGATGATGAGGATATTGGTCCTAGACTCCCTCATATACCCTGCAGGGGTCCTCGTCCGTCCATACCAGGTCTAAATTAAGAAAAAGGGACAAAATACATTGTCTTAAAATGTTTTTGTTTTTTAGAATTTAAAACTTCTTTCTTTTCTTGGCAAATCATAAAATAAGCCATTTAAAAACTACATTCAAGGCAGAAGACTGAATTTAAAGTCGTCTTTACAGTCTTATCCTTTGTGGGTAACCCTTGTCCCTTAACCACATGTCAAAATCGGTCAACTTTTGGTACAGAAAGAGTGGTAGCTAATGAGGTGCCCAAGGACGGGTTTATACAACAATTTTTTTTGATGACCCTTTCGGTCCCTGCTGGGGCACTGAAGTTTGAAAAACGGCCGTTTTTTCTTCACGTATTTATGGCAGCTTAAATAACTTGGGCACAGAAAACACTGGGTTTTGATAAAGCATGCAGATAGTCCAATATAATATGGGACGCTCTTCAGTTTCTCTTCTGGAGAAAAAGATTGCTGATCACAAATATTTTTTAATATGGGAGAGGGGATAGTAAAATGATTTATGACCAAAATTTACTTTTTCAAGGATTGATATTAGTTATAAAATTTTGAGTTAAATAAATTGATTCCGTGAGTTGATTGATTGTTTAATCTAGGAGTAGACCCAGAAGAACAGGATGAAAGCAGTGATGATGATTTCGGACCTGCTCTTCCCCCTCATCTTGCAAACAGGAATCATATTTCCGAACCTTTGTTTTCCTTTTAAGACATAATTTTAATGCCCAAAATGTTGATAAAACTGGGTCACATAAAATCAAATATAGGAAAGTAGCTAAAGCTATGAGGATATAATTAAAGATTTTTAAAAACTTTTCTAAAGATTTTTAAAAACTTTTCTAAAGTTTTTAAGAAGCCTCTTAAAACCCAAAAAGCTTAAATTTTTGGAAAAAATATAAGCAACTACACTCAGTAGTAGTAACAGTGAATCAGGATTGGTAATTTGTTGAATAAATTTTCCCCCTTTTTAAAAATAACTTATTCTTCCAAAGCTTTTTTGGAATTAGGAGGATTTTTAACAGTTCTTATTACTGAATTAAGGATTTTTTAAAGTTTCTTCAAGACGATAAGAAATTTTCCAGGTGTCGTGTGCAACTACACCCAACCCCTCAATTCCTGAAGTAATTGTTGTTCTAAAATCTACCGCTCAATCCTTGGAGTAATTATTGTTCTAAAATATACCCGGATACAGATTGAACCCTGGTCCGAACTCCTCCCACCAGGAGGATGAGAAGGATGAGAGCGAGGATGATGGTATTGGACCTCGACCTCCCCAACCCGGAGACTCTAGTTTACTCCTTCATTCTCAGGTAGTGTTAACATTTTTCTCCGTTTTAAACGATTAAAGGGACTGTAAGTAATTCTTTAATTTCAAGTGACCGGCCATTCAAAGATGGCAATGCCCGATTTACAACGGTACCCTTATAAGCTTTGCAAGTAAAAATTAAATATATATGTTTTCGTTTCTTTAAACTGTTTGTTTTTATTTGCGGTTTCTCTGCAAAAGTGACTTACGCCTTCTTGCTCATAAGAAGTAATGGAGAAATTCACAGAAATCGAGCAATGCCATCTTTGCATGGAAGATCTCTTGAAATTGCATACACTACCTTTAAGAAACTTTTTCTTCTTGAGTCTCCACAGAATTGAACACTTCAGCAAAATATGTTTTTGCTGAATTAAGAAACAAGTTTAAAACATTTTACTTCTGCGAAGTTCCACTGATTTTTAAAGTTTACTTATCTCACTAGGACAGAAAATGTAACAAAGTAAATCAATGGTTCATTTATGTCTCTTAATTAAACAACTATTAAATTTCAGATGTCCGACATTGAACGGAGAGCTAAAAATATGAAGGATAAAATCGAAGGAAAGGATAAACAGGTGATTTTTTGTCAATTGTTAGTTCAAAATAAACAAAGATTGAATAAACTTTGGATTTAATAATTTAGAAGACGGAACTTCTGGAGTATGATAACACTATTCCGACGGATTTACTTAATTCCTTTGGCATATCCTTTAAGATTCGACCAATTAGAAGCTTTAGCCAATGAGATATAACTTCATTTTTTGGTGTTAGATATTTTCCCAAAGGCATTTTCCCAAAGGCATTTTCCCAAGGGTGTCTTCCCTAGTAGCAGTTTTTCAAACATTAACTCCCCAAAACTTAGGCCTTCGGAGGCGCCGCAGGCTGCAATAGAGGCTTTTTTTCTTGGGCTAGGATGGGCTAGGGGGCCAAGCGTTGCAGGTAGAAAGTATTAAGGGGGCGATTTTTGAGGCTAGGACAGACTACTTGGAAAGTTGCCGCTTGGGAAAAGCCTTTGGAAAAGTACATAACATCATTTTTTTCACATATTTTTCACATATAAAACATTCTAATTAAAGTTCCAATTTAAGATTTTTGATATGCAGAACAGAAGAGCAAGAGATTGAAAGCAATATTTGACAATTTAAATTTAGTTTTGTAGGAAGTGAAACGTGAGACTTGGATGCTTGAACTGCCTGAAGCTAAAGCCAAAAGTTTTGGTTTAGGTCCGCGGACTTTCACAAGGAAAGGGATTACTCAACTCGGAGACAGGTTACACATTTTTTTAATTAACCGAAAAAAAATAAAATCTATTTTCAAGACCATTTTTTGGGAAGTTTAAGGATTTTGTGGGTTAACTAAATAAACATAATTAATCTTTGTCAAATTTCTTGATATCTCCGTCAATTTTGTTGTTCAAAAATGGCAGACCAGTTTTCAAGCAAAATTTGAAACGTTTAATATGTATAATATAGGTCAAAAATACGATTTGTAACGTAGTCACTCAATTTCCGCCTTTAATGGAACATACTGTAATATCTAGACCCTATATTTTATAGTTGGGGATGTTTATTGAAACATCCTGTATTTTATAGTAGAGTATGTTTATTGGAAAACCCTGTAAGATTGGTATGTTTATTGAAACACCCTGTATTATCTAGATAGGCATGTTTATTGTAACATCCTGTAATATCCAGTTTGGTATGTTTATTGGAACACCCTGTACTATTTAGATCGGCGTGGACGGATTCTCCTGAGGAGAGAGAAAAACGAGCTCGAGGAGAAATCCAGGAGAAAGAAGAAGAGGAATCAGTAGAACATATCATTAATAGACAAAGGTGAAAAATATTTCTAAAAATAGGTAAAATCCTAGGAAATGTCGCCTGTCTCTCCTCTCTTTTAAACAACAGCAACCTCCGTAGTCCGTGACAATCTTTCTGTTGCAAGGTACGCATCGTGACTTTGATCACGCCATTCCTCCAAGTTAATAGAAGACACTTTTAAATAATACAATTTAAAATATATGCAGAGATGCTGCAATGGAGAAAGTAACTGAGGAGTTGAGAAAGAAAAGAGGGACTGATAGTTTACTTAATATTCACGAAAAGAAGAAAAAGAAGAAAGATAAAAAGGACAAAAAAGACTCTGATGGACCAAAGGTATAATTCCGAAACAAAACAATTTTTTATCATCGATTTATAAAATTTGGCTGTTTTTAGGAACGGAGGCCGTTTGACCGTGACCTTGACCTTGGTGCAAACCGGTTTGACGAAGCTCAGCGAAAATTAATGATTAAGAAAGCTGCGCAAATTGACTCAAGATTTTCCGCCGGCGCACAGAAGTTCTTATAATTAATCAAACTTAACTTTCGATGAAAATTTCTAAGAAATTCAATGGAAACCTTGATTAAACGTTTCTTTTGATAATTAGATCTTGTTCAGATGGCCTTTAATGATTTACAGCCCATTTATATATATATAAGCAATCTTCGTGGAAAATCTTGTTTTTTGGAACCATTTTTTCATCTTGAGAAATCCACGAACAATCTGTCAATCTTTGGCGAGATCTCAGTACCTTACTGGATCTACCCTGAAAAAAATGGATCTGGATCCAGGCCATAAACATTAGTATTAGATTAACTGATTTATGCGGATCCGGAGCCAGGAAGCCAAAATATAGCGGATCCAACATATCCGGATCCGGTTTCTAAGCACTGGATCTTAGATTCTCTAGAATTAGAAGTTTCCGTTTATTTTCTAGATCTCATTCAGATATCGTTTCAGATGTTGTACGAACCAGGGTGAAAGCTCGGGTTAAAAATGTCGAGAGAAATCATGATGCTTCTTGTCTCTTGCTGGGTTGGAGAAGGGGATTCGTTGTTCAACCAGACTACTAGACCTGAGGGGATAACACTGAGTACCCAGACCAGTTTTATACCTGATCCAACCTCATTTTTTAAGCAAAGGTAAGTTCACTTTCTAATTTACAACATTTTAAAGGTTTTTTCTATGCTGAAGAGGGAAAAATATTTTTTGGATAAACAGTTTCTGATAGGGGGAAAACTTATAATCCCCCGCCCCAAATATGAACATTTAAAATTTTTAACCTTCAAGATAATGAAGGGTACTGGAGCTAGTTATCATAATATAAAACGTTAAAACTTTCCCGTTTAAAAATCACAATGGTGGTTGCTTCAGAAAAGAGAGTAAATAAACGATAAACATAAATTAATAATTTGTAATGATTTGTTTAGAGGAAGTAGTTTAGAGCTAGGCGATGAATTGATAACAGGAGCAGCTAAAACTTTAGGTCTTTACCTCCATGGGATAACAACTAAGGTTCTTATTTTGCTTTTCAGTCGATTCATGAAGAATTTTGTTGTATATTTTCATGAAAAAATCATTCACCCCCCCCCCCCTTATTCATTTTAGGGGTTTTCCTTGAATTGGGGAAAGGTAGGGATTTTAAAGGAAAAATTAACGTACGTGGAAAGGTATTAAAAAAGGGGAGACATCTTTACACATAATCTCTAATTTTCATCTTAAATCATCAACATTTTATTTGACGTCAAATGAGATACCCTTGCATTTTGGGAGTTCTAATATATTTTTGTATTTGCAGGAGCTTGCTATTGACGAACTTGAATCAGTTCTGGATCATACAACTTTTAAAGTACAGAAAACTTCAGATGATGAGACGACTCATCAGCTCGCAACCGTCATCAGCAATAAGATGAACAAATACTTCAACGCGTTGGCCAACATCAAAACCGGCGTGGAGCTTATTTACTTCAACAATTATCCAAAACCCAACCCGCTTTCAAGTTTTGCTCAATGCTGCGATTTCTCCTCTCCGCAGTTAAAGTACAGCTCCTCCTTCGGGGTTCCAGTGAACAAAGACTTATTTTGTGATACTCAGCATCAAACCTCAACCTTTACGGATCATAATTTAAGTACAAACCTCAGCTCCATATTCTCCTTAAACCTTGCAGATACTCCGGGTCTGAAGTGGCAATACCTGGTCACTCAAGGGGGGAGAGAGGTTGTTTTTCCGGGTTGGGGAAACCCTGGTCGCTCCTGCGATCCAGCCGGTGTTCAGCACAATCAGGTTTTCTTCGATACCTTGCATCAAACTGCCAAAACAATCATTATTATTATTGACCGAAGCTCGGTGATGACGTCATCCAAGATGGCGTTGGCCAAGCTGACCGCCAAGTATGTCCTTGACCTTATGACAGACAACGACAAGGTTTCAGTAATCCTTGTTGACAACACTGTCGTTGAAGTAAACCCCTTCCCTTCGGAATCTTGTCTTCAAGGCAAGGTTTTCCCGATCTCAGATTACTCCAGGTCTAAACTAGAGCAGAGTATTGATAACCTCTATGGTAACCTGGAGACGGGTAATCTAACTGCGGGAGTTGAAACTGCAGTTGATATGCTGCATCACTCAAATATTGGCGATGTTGCACAAATCCTGTTTATTACAAGCGGAAGTACAAGCACGAGACAAACGGTAAGCTTGGTTTAGTAATGGTATAGTTTTTTATTGCATACGAGTTCTGGACTTTCAAAAGGCTCCACATAAAAGGTTTGCTAATTTTTGCCTCACATCTCGCATAAAGTAAGCTTTAGATATTGTTTAGGGAAGCAACATTTTTCATATTACAAATTTTTATCGTTAAAGCTGTCTCAGATTTTAGTGAAGCCTACTGAAGCCTCATTAATTACGAATATATAAAATAAATAAATCCATGTAGCAATTTAATTTTTTTCTTTTCAGAATTTGACAAGGGATATGTCTGAGTACCTAAAAAAGAGGCAGCTTCGCCTTAAAATCTCAATCCTAGCATTATTTAATACTAAACCCGACAACTCCTCTGATACCGAAATCTATTGGAGGAGTTGTATCCCTGAACCTATTCTCGGATCCATTATTCCGATCTACTCCAACAAAAGTTTGTCCGCTCACAAGACGGACTACTTCGATGTGGGACGGAAATCAAGCTTTCATCCTGTAGTTCATAGACCGCATGTTGACCGTCTAGCCGGAGGGATGGTTGTATCCATAGCCCAGGTCGCTGCGATCAAGGACTTTGTGATCGGCGTGGTCGGATTAGATCTCCGGGTCGAAGAACTATTTGAGGACGTTATGTATAGTTCCTACTCAGAGTACACCAGGATATTTCTTATTGATGAGCATGGAACCGCTCTTGCTCATCCGTTTCTTCAACCATCAAATAGTTGGACAGCCCCGGAATTTCCACATATTAAAACCCTAGAGGTTACGGACGGATTTGATGCCGCTCTACATCGAATCCGATCCTTCCCGTCCGGAACATATGTGACCCCATCCAACCTTAGTTACACATGGGAGCAGGCGGAGGCAACCAACTACATAGTTGTGGTTGTATCCCTTCCCTCCGCACCCGGAGCTCAAACTATCTTAGACTCAGTCCCTGACCCTGCTCAGGGTTGGGAGATTCAGTATCATGATCTCATCCCAACTGGAAAAAGTAAACTTTGTAAACATATGAGAGAAGTCGCATCCATGGAAACTGCCGCATTGTACCTATCCCCAACCGCATTTGCCTCTCCCTTCGATCATATAAACGGAGAGAACATTCCGCTCCGAACCCAATCCTTCATGGCTTTCCTCACTGATCCGACAAGATTGATAGCGAACCCGGGACTAAAAGCCGGGGTTAAGGAGGATGTTACGCTTCTCTCTCATATCGTTAAACACTGGAAGGATCTAGCGTATTCGTCGCCGTTAAACAATTATATTGTGAGGAGAAGGATATTTTCTCCTCGAGGAGTTGAGATCTTGTATCCTGGAGCAGCTTTAGAGGAGGGAACCGATTCATCCAAACAACTCTGGTTTCTTAAAGCTGTGAAATCTCCGAACCAGGTTGTGGTTTCTCCGCCCCGGTTGGATCCAGGTGGAGCCGGTTTTATTATAACTGTTTCTAAAGCGCTTCGCGCCACCAATAGTTCAGGAGAGGATTATTTGATTGGGGTGGTTGCTGCTGATTATACTTTAGGATACTTCTATAAGGTTCTCAATGATACTATTCCTGACGGATTCTGCTCTCAATCTAACTCTCGGTGCTTCCTCTTGGACGATCGTGGAAATATTTTAGCCCATCCTGCGCTTGCCCGTGACGTCATTAAATATCTGAACTTCCCCTCGGAGAGCCAACATTTCACCCACATGGAAACCTTCATCGCCACTGATCTTCTTCAGAACAGAGAATTTATCATGAAGAAGGTTTGCCGATCCCAGAGCTCCGGGAAACTCCAACGGTACTTCCAGCTAGACTCGGAGTTCTCCGGAGTAGTCAGTAACAGTCGTTCTTCCGATCCTTGTATTCAGTATAAGCTGAGCAGGGTACCTGGAACCAACCTGTTCCTGGGCCTGGTCTATCAGTCTTGTAACAGCTCCGCCTTCTGCTGGTGTTCTACCCTAGATAGAACCTGTCTAGACTGCCAATCCTGGGAGCAGGGGGAATGTGAGTGTCCCTGTGAGTGTGAAGCCAAGGTATGATTAAATGGAGTGTTCAAGTAAAATTAACTTTTTTTTTCTAAATGACTAACTTTATAATATTTTTTTTTTCAATGTTTAATGTTTTTTAATTATTCAATCCTAGATATTTTCATAAAGCTTTAAATTGTTTTTTTTTTTGAAAAATTCGGTTGATGTGGCTACCTAGGATTATGAGTCTTTTCACTCTTGAGTTACAATTGATTTGATGAAAATCTAAATGCCAGTTGGCAAGTAAAAAATTACCTCAATTTAAAAAAAAATAGTTACAGAACAAGCATCAAGTCTTCTGATAATTGGTAATAATCCTAGCTTAGTTTGCGGATCTTTAATTAGCCATTCTTTACAGTTTAAAAACATTACAAAGAAAATTTTTGCAGATTTTTCAGTTTTTATTGGAAGATTTCTAAAATTAACAAAAAATCGATAGCTAATACCAACTAACACAGATAAGCTAAAAATTTGTAATTCTTTAGGTTGATGTTTGCCAAATATCAGATGAAAGTGATAATATACCTCCTTGTGAGATCCAACCCACTAAATACAAACCCCAGAGATATATGACAACCAGGTTGGATCATTATCCTCCCTGTATCTATACCGACTGCTCTTCCCGCACCCTGGAGCAGGACTGCTACGGGGTCTTGGGCTGCTCTTGGTGTGATAAAACCCAGGACGGATATGGGAATATCAGTTCTCCGCTCTGCTCCGACCAAAGGGAATGCTACGGAGGGATTCTCGGCTCCCAGAGTCCATATTCTAGAATCTTCGATCGATCTCTTGTACATTCAGTGGAGGATGAGGAAAGATCTCTCTCCCGAGCTGGTCCTATTGGTCCGGTAGCTGGAGGAATCATGGCGTTTTTTCTCCTTCTTGCCCTTGCGGTCTGGGGATATAAACATTGGTCAGCAGGTGGGTCTCCACTCGTCATCCAAGTAAAGCCAATAAAAATATGGAATAAGAAGACGACATGTATTTGATGTTGATTTAAAGCAAATATTTTTACCAGTAAATTGAAAATTAACTAATTAAGTGAAACGGTCTGTATGCACTGCACAGTTGTAGTGTTTCTTATTCATTGGATCATGTGAAATCATAACTTGTGTCAATAAGTCGGCTACCTATTCCAATGTTTAATGGGTCCCACTGTACAACCATTAATTCTTATAGTTGTAGGTTCTGAAATCTGAGTTTTCTAATACAAGAATTAATTTAAAATATATTTTCTCCTTTAAAGGAGAGAGAGGGTTACTGTCCCGAAGCCATGGATCCACCCTGCGTATAAACACTATAGAGGAAGAAGCAGAGGAGATAGGAGGGCCCCCTTCCGGACACCAAAACTACGGACTTCATCAACCTGATACTAACCAAGCTATCACTGTGGTTTCTCCTTATAGGATGAATCCTTCCTACAGGTATTTAGCAACTGAACACTTTCATCAAACTCTGATTTTCTAAACTATATAGTTTTAGTTTGACATCTTTCAGTTATAATTGCTGCATTATCAAAGGTTAAAATTGATCAATTTTGATTATTTTTTGAATTGGAATAATTGTTAAGGAGACCTAGACCGGCTGGGACGGATTCCGATCATGGTTACAGCACTATGACTCCAGGTGGGGATCAGGACAGCGAGATAATGTCCTGTCTCGGAGACGTACCACCTCATCCCAGGAGAATGAGACACAAGAATCCTCTCAGCCTCCAATCTGTGACCTCAGGAACTAGTTCAAGAACCTCTAGTCCTCTTCATGGTAAGGCATTTAACTAATATTAGTAAGACTCAAAAGGCAAGTTACAGTAACAAAAGCTCTAAATGCTAATAACTAGTAAAATATTGTTGACTTTCCAGCTAATAAATTTTAATGCAGACCGGCCATATGCTTTTTTCTAGGGTTTCCATCTGTGGTCTTCATTCGCAAAGGTTGTATTGACGTGGGAACATTTTTCATACTTTGCCAGACATTAGCCCCCCACCCCCCTCCCATCTTTCAAAAAATGTATATTTTTTCTTAAGACATATTTTTATTATAACGTTGTGTAGGACCGATGGAACTCTCTGTCTTCTCCGGGGATGAGAAACAGGGCAGTACTGACTCCAATGAGAGAGAAACACTGATGGAGGATTCTATCCATCCTTGTTCCAGGAGGAAGGAGGTTGACTCCAGGTTGCGTATCCGGGTGCAGGAGAGGAATCAGGTTCCCGAAGTAACCGTGCTCAATAGAAACCAAATTATTGTGTCCGCTACAGTTCATATGGTGGAATGAAATATGCTTTGTGAGGGCTTAGTTTGCAATAAGTTGTTTGTAAGACCAAATATTTGCATTTTTATTTAGTAAAAACTGAAAATTTAGCTTCCCGTATTCAGATTTATATACATTTGTATGAAATTTCTGCAAGAAAAAGGTTTATTCCATAATTTTTTACAGATTTCAATAACATAAACATAATTGTGTTTTAAGACAAAATATGCTGCCATTAGTGTAAAACTAATAAGTCCTGTTAAAATTTATCCCATGACTGATCTCGTTTTTTACCATTTTTTATCTGTTCGTAACTTTGTTAATATAATGATAAGTTTGTTTTTCTGTTAAATGTGTTTATAATATCATGTTTTTCGTTATGTGATCTTTTATTTTCAGATTTAATGATTTCCTAAATAAAATAATGGTATTTCTATTCAGGTATATATATTACAAAAATTTTAACAACTTATTTTAAAATAAAATCCCTTCTTTACCTTTGAAAGGTTATAGGAAAAGTATTACCTTGCAAATTGATCTTTCTGCTTCAAATGACCAGAATAAGTTTAGATATTGTCATAATTAAATTTAAGAGAAGAATTACGCGTAAAAGTATTTTTTACAACAAACTCTTTTAAAGAAAATTATGTAAACATTATTTTATTTCTTGTGGCATCAAAATGATAATGTAAAGTAATTAGTAAAATACTCAAATTTATCCATGGAAATTCTAAAACTGACGCCCATGGCAAGTTATACCGGGTGTTATGATATTTTACTTACACTGCAATGATTAATGAAAATGTTCTGACCCAACTAATACTTAGTGATTGATGATTACAAATATGACATTTTTTCTTTGTAGTGGAAGAAATAGATTTTTGAGTTTCCTTTATATTTTTCTGGAGTTTAGATGATGATTCGTGAATGGTAAGTTCTCAAAGCAGTACTCCACTATTAATTATCCTTTGGGAATGTCGTCTGCACTAAAACTACTATTTCTACCTTCATCATTATAAATAGGGTGTGCGTGAAAAATCCTAATTGTTTTTGGTCTTGAAAGCCCAATATTTTTTAATGTAATGATAATTTTAAAAAATATCTTGAATATTCGATTTTTAAAGTACACTCTGACGTCACCAGGTGCCTCTGACGCACAGAGTAAACAGATAGATAGATAGATAGAAAAATAGATGGACATACAGTATATACTGAGCTGAGAGAGCTCCCTCGATAGCTTTGCTAACCTCAAAGTTTCACGGACAGGGGAACCAGTAACAGTCTGCTCCTTACGTAATTTAAACATCAACAGTGAAGAAAGTTATAAAACCAGTTTTTTAATAAATTTTTTAAATTTCCTATTCCCTGTTATTCAATGATAATGAGTTGTTTACGCAAAAAAACATAAATAATTCAATGATGAAAATTGACATTTACATACACAATATTGGATAAGTATTTGAATAACTTCTTGGACTTATTCCGCGGCGGCGGTCGGCCCAGAAATCGTCTTAACCTAACCTAACCCTAAAATAATAAAAAAAATTATTCCAATGAGACAAAATACTTATTAGTAATAGAAACAATGTGAGAGTGATAGCTAGCGTTTGTTTACATTGTAATGTAAGTGATTCTATTCTTAACCATCAATAATTAGTAAACTTTGATTGCCCAGACCTGGCCTTATATTCAGAAGTCTCAGCATTGTTTACATTTTTTGTTGTTTACGATATAACATGTTCCTCAGCTGTCCCAATAGGTCACAGTAATATAAACAAGTCATATGAATCTCACTGGAATTCTTTTTTACATAAAAAGTTTCTATATCTATGTATATAATTAGTAATCTCTGCCTCAAATTTAATTGCGGAACCATGGGAATGTTCTTAGCTTGGTTTGTAAGTGTCAGTTAAGAAGGTTGAATGTTTAAGAGAGCTTTGTTTTCAGGTACAGCTGGGGGTTCCAAGCTAGTTTAATGAAAAAGGAAAAATGCAAAGCGCAAATATTACATATTTTTATTTTTTGTAATATGCATTTATCAGAAAAATGGGAAGTTAATTAAATTACTACGCATTATTTATATATTTCATGAACACGATAAATTGGCTTGATGCCCAGTTCTCGACCTTTTATTAGTCTAAAGCGTGATAAACAATTTCTTATATGGTTTGATTATTATTTAAGGATTAAATGCTAAGAAAGAGAAAGAGAAAGAGGGGGGGGGGGCTTTTAAAAGGTCTTTTTTTTACCTTACTTCATTTTTGGTCCTTATATTTTTTGTCAGGCTCAAAATTTGACATATTGGAAGAAAAACAAATGTATAAAATAAACAATTTTGAAATATATATAACTTCTCATATTTTGTGGAACCTTTGGTAGGTTCGAAAACTTGCCAAACTAATTAGCAATCCTATCAGTATAATATCCGAACCCGGATCCAGAAAGCCCGAATCTTGTGGATCCAACGGATCCGGATCCTAAGCACTGCCTGTACTTGTATAAAAGTTTACTTGTTAAAGTTCTGTACGTCTAATTTTATTATAATTGTCCCTCGAAATGCATCTTTAAGAATTTGTTAGTGCTATTCTTTTATTAATGTTTAAACCTTTTTTGTTTGTTAATAAAACATTTTTCTCAATTTCTTTTCATGTTTTTCACATATTTCATTGCAACGTTTTTAATTTTGGCAAATAAACTGTCCTAAATATATATAAAGTAGTAATCCCTGTTTGTCTGTGTATGTCAGATTAAAACGCATGAGCCCGTTGACCTATATAAACTCTGTATAACCACGGGAATCTTAGCTTTGTTTTAAACACTTGAGTCGAGTGGGTTGAATTTTTAGAGAACGTTTAGTTTTCAGGCAAAGCTGGGTTACCAAGCCAGTATTCTATAAATGTAAATATCCAATAGATAAGTGCTTTTATATATTTTAGTAAAATTAGGCATCTTCGTAGATTGTTAAAATGAAAATTGGATAAATCATACAATTTTCAAAATTGTATTTTCCAAAAACAATTTCTAATGTGTAATATAATTCTTTGCATGAGGATTTTTTATTTCAAAAATTATTTAATAAAAGTCGTCACTCCCCCCCCCCCCTTTCTAAATTTATTGACCAAAATAATTATATATTTTCCTTTATTCTATATTGTTGTTGCCTTTCATTCATTCTTTTGTCACTAGCTTTCACGGCCCTTCGATATAAAATTATAATGACCTTGTCCGGAGGCGTAGATTACAGGGATTAACCAGTTTTCATTCCGGGGTGTATATTTTCTTTAGAAAATCATTTTCCTTTCTGAAAATCCTTTTTGATATATTAAGGAAAAAATGTTTACGAGTATCCTCAAAGGGGTGGGGGCGGTTATGCAAGATGATGAACAGAAAGTACCCCCCCCCCCAAAAAAAAAGAAAAAAATTTTAAATTATTTCCCCCTGGGGTAAATACATAGTTCTCGAATATTTGGGGGGGGGGGGGGGGGGGGGGGGTTAGACAGAAAATAGGAAACGAAATATGGAAAGTTTATATCCCTGAATAAGTTATATTTTCTGGGAATTATTATTAATTCATACGTACAACGATTCATTTTAAGGGTAAGTTAATTATTAAGCAAATACACCGTGTTAGAAAGGAAAGCCAAAAGAATAATATTATTATTGTAAATATTTCAGAACCCTCTTATTCTTATCTTGGTTTTCAGCCCCAAGGGTCAGTTAAGTACCTTAACATCCCGCTGTCTGGGGAATCATGGGTCGGTAATGTTGGTCCAATAGCGTACAAAAAACACCCCGTAAGAATGCTACATAGGTAGAGGCGCAACTAGGACCTAGCAAAAGTCCTAGTTGCGCCTCTGTACATAGGGATGCATGGTAATAATGTGATGGTCATGTTATTGAAAGTGCGTATAAATATGTTTCATATACTAGACAGTTGACCAGTAAATATTGATAGAATTATTCTTATCTTCTTAAACGAAAAATTCATTTTATTTTTAAGTTAATTAAGCTTGTATAGGATTATATATTGTACATAGGCTTAAGAAGGTTAGTTAATACATTTTTATTTTTCTTATCCTAGATTAAATTAAATTATCTTAGTCTTTCGGAGAATAAAAAATAGAGAATTATATCCACCTCTTAACTATTATTTCAAGTTTAACAGAAACAATCCATTCTTATCATTCTAATGACGTTTAAACAAAGCAATAATATGTTCAGAAATCTATGAATTAAAAATGTCGGAGGCATTTTCAAGTTTACGAGCTTTAGTGTCCGGAGATACTAAAGTTGATGTACCTGTACCAGCCTGTCTAAATCATTGTATTAACCAGGAGGTGTTCAATTGTAAGGTAAGTCAACCCCTTACTTCATTTTTGGTCCTTATATTTTTTGTCAGGCTCNTGGAAAAATATCCCAAATGTTCGAGACACACTTAAAGAAGTATTAGGTTGAATCTAGCTTAAATTCGAAATTTTAGTTTTGACAATTTTTGGGGCATATTTAGACCAGTTTTGAACAGTTGGGATTTTTTTGGGGGAGGAGCCATCCTTACCTAGTCCCCCTACATAACATGTCTGTATACCCCTCTCCCTTTAGCCAGGAAATTTTGCTAAAATTCAACGGTTTAAATTTCATTTTTTCTACATAGCTAGAAAAAAATTCTAATTTTTTATGATGTAATTTTATTTTAAAAATTGAGATATTTATTTTGATTAATTATGTGCAAAAAATCAATATTTTTTCTCATTCACATTATGAATAGTTATATAACTATTGCGTTCTAACGTTTCAATAAAAGTTTATGTTTTAATAAATTCAAGACGAATTTTTATGAATTTTTGGTGGGGGGTTCTACGATAAAGTCTCTTTAGTGTATAATTTTTATTTTTTTTTATTTTTTCCGGAAAAATCATTTACCCCCCCCCCCCTCTTTTGAAAATCATTTTCCTCCAGAAAAAACTTAGGGTTTTATTGGCTTAGTTGGAACAAATAAATGATTTTTCGGGGAAAGTAATTAAATTTTGGGTTACAAGTATGAAAAATGAAGATAAAAATTGCTGCCTTTTCATGTCCAACTTTTCATTCCCACCCCCACCCCGGGATTGTAATTGTTAAAAATATTCACCCCAGATGCATATGACGTGCAGAGCAAAATTTCCAATGAAAAGGAATGTTTTTTTTTGATGAATTTTTGCTCCTGCTCACCTATTGTTTAGATTTGTGGAGAAGTTTTTGATAATATTCATAAATATATCACTCATGGGAAAGGACACAGGTAATTTCATTGAACAGAGGTCAGCTCGAAAATTTGTGAATGTTGGAAACTAATTTTAACTGGTTGATAAACTCATTCTCTTCCCAGATTGGTCAATGAGAGATTAGAAAAAGAACCAATTAAAATAAGTTTCGTTTAATACATATTCTAATTAAAAAAATATTTAAAGCAAAAAGGTTTTTCAAGCATTATCTTAAAATTCCGTTTACCTTTTTAAGAATGGAAGAAGTATACCAAATTTGGAGCATATTGATAAATTCCACAGTTTTTCTATGAAGAGGTTGATATTTTCCTGAAAAATCATTTCCACTCTTGAGAATAACATTTATCATATATTTTTGACAAGTTTCTGTTTTTTACGATTTGAACTGATTTACAGGGTTTACAGGTGTCTAGTGTCTATGTTTTGTGTGATGAACACCTTAAACAAACAATGAAACTTTGTTAAATAAATATCTTTTATGTTCTATAATATTTTATTGATTATCTGACACATGAGTCCAATGTCAACAACATTTATTTTTTACTAAAAAAAATAGTTTGATAAAAAATTAATATTTCTAAGACTAAAATGTCTGATTAGCACGAACATAAGTTAGATATGAAAAATAAATTTTAAACCTGGAACAAGAGGAATAAACTAATCTACACATCCGGATGCAATTCGCAAAATATGAAAATTACAGAAACATCTGAAAAGATAGATTAGATTTTATTTACTTTATTTAAATCTGAGAAAATTCTCGTCAATTTGAAGGTAGTGAATCGGTGGCTAATCGGGAAACACCAAGGCAAAAAAATTCTGCTAATTATTGTCATAAATGATAAACTACTGCAATGGTGTTCACAAAAAGATGCAGCGTTGATTACTTACGATATAAAGTCGCCAATTAATTCCCAATTTATAAAGGACACCCTCTAATAACTTTCATTTGGGTTTCTCTGTAACAGTGAACAAGGGAGAATATATCAGAATTTAACAATTTTGCAAGCCAGAGAAACGACGGGATTAGGTATAGAGCAGATTAAGAATTCAAGAATACCGTTGTGAATGGAGGGTTACATAATATCACAATGACTGTCCCTTTAAAACAAAACACTCCTGGAAGAAAAACAAATAAGATTTTATTGGATGGTTTTTTGTTTATTTTTAACGTTATTTTTAATATTTATTTAATTTATTTTTTGAAGAGGCTCAAGTACTGTTTGCGGGTTTTGTGGAGGGGTTTGGACCTCTTACTCAGCTCTCTGTATCCATCAGGTACTTATAAACTGGGGCGTACACAGGAATATTTCCGGGGGGCTGATATTATTTTCCGGGGGGCTGATATTTTTTACGTGGGGTGGTGAATGAAAACACCAGGGAAACCATAGATTTCACTGATCCAGGGGGGGGCCGGGGGGGGGGCAATAGCCTTCACCACCCTCCTGTACATGCCTCTGGTTTTCATTATTTATTTTTATAGCTTTTTTCAAAATTAAATTCGTTCAAGATTTATACTGACTTACCCCTGCTGAGGATAAAGATTAAACCAAACCCGTCCAACGCGGTGCACATTCCAGTTTGTGAGGAATGTTCCTAAAGCTTTTTATAGAAAGTGTGAATCAAAGTATCGAAAAGAAGGAATAGCTTTCCCTTTGATGTAAAATTTTGACCCCCAAAAATTTTAAAAATTGATTGCGCTTACAGGTAAAATTTCATGTTTGTCTTTTTATTATTTTTTTTTTATCTTTTATCAAAATTCGTTTAGAATTAAGTAGACATCAACTTAGTGAGCCTGACAACTAGTAAATAGTAAGCGAAGGAAAATACACTTCTCAATTATTTTTCATTTTCTTTATCTTAATTGCAATTTGGGTTTTCTGTTTAATATCTATAATTTTTAGTTGGTTTGGGAGAACAAGAAAACTTCAGACCCAATCACTGGAGGTAGTTACTTTTAATGCTTTTTTTTGGGGGGGGGGGGGGGGGGTTAATAATTTGACATAAAAAAGCAAGTTTTTTTATTCTTTTTGATATTTTTTTCTCAAAAATTGTTTAATTTTCCCAAATAAATCTTTCATTTACCCCGATTAAGCTAGTAAAACCTTATAAAAAAAATTATTTTCAAAAAGGAGGGGGGGGATTTTTAAAGAAAATATACTGCCCTGGTTACGAGTCAACGATCTTGTTTTCCTGACCGGCCAAAAAGAGACAAATTCTTCATGTTATTAGAATACTTGTTCATGTGTTAGGACAACTGGTAAATGTTTAGGAAAAAGTTAATATTTGATGGTTACGAAAATTTGTTCATGTTTATACTTAGAAAAGGAGTAAATTGTTTGGACGAATTGTTTATGTTCACGCTTAGGAAAGGAGTAAATTGTTAGAACGAATTGTTTATGTTCACGCTTAGGAAAGGAGTAAATTGTTAGAACGAATTGTTTATGTTCACGCTTAGGAAAGGAGTAAATTGTTAAAACGAATTGTTTTTGTTCACCCTTAGGAAAGGAGTAAATTGTTCGGACGAATTGTTTATGACGCTAGGGAAAGGGGTAAATTGTTAAAACGAATTGTTTATGTTCACCCTTAGGAAAGGAGTATATTGTTAGGACGAATTGTTTTTGTTTACGCTTAGGAAAGTAGTAAATTGTTAGGACAATTTGTTCATGTTCACGCTAGGGAAAGGAGTAAATTGTTGGGACGAATTGTTTATGACGCTAGGGAAAGGATTGAATTGTGAGGACGATTGTTTATGTTTACGCTAAGGAAAGGAGTAAATTGTTAGAACGAATTGTTTATGTTTACGCTAAGTAAATAAGTAAATGGTTTGGATGGAAATGGTTTATGTTCAGGGAAAAGGTTAAGGGTAAGGACAAATTGTTAATGTTAATGTCAAATATTTTTATAAGTATTGATGAATTAAAGCTTTAAAGGTTACCGTAATCGAATTAAAGGACTCTCCATGTAATATCAACTGACTCTATCGAAAGAATTACTTTTCCGATTATCAAAGGTACCAGTTGTCTGAAAATTGGTTCTTCATCTGAAAACTGACGCGGTTTGTCCATAAAAAAGACAAATGTGGATTTTTGCAGTTATTAGTTTTGAAAAAGGAAGGAAATTGACAACATTTATATTTTGCAAGGAATAGGACGGTATATTATTTATATTTAATCTTATTAAAAAGGAGGTCACTTAAGCTTATGTCGACAGTCCTTTTAAAATAAAACTTAAAGGGACTGGAAGTGTAATTCAATGTGACTTTCATTGCAAAGATGGCAATACCTGATTTACAACGGTATCCTTGCAAGCTTTGTTTGATTAAGTATGAATGTTTTTAAGTTTGAAAACTGATCATGTTCAATAATGTCTTTTCTGCAAAAGTGACAATAGCGCATTTCAACCCTAGAAAATCAATAATATCTCCCACAAGCTTGATCAGAAATGTTTCAAGGGTACCGTTGTAAATCTTTGCATATATGGAGTGTGTCTTGACATCACGCTTACAGTCCCTTTAAGATTACGTTGGCAACATTGTTTAGGAAAGAAAGTTGTGTGTCCGCTAGCGTGTGGACTAGACTCCGCGACCTTACCGGAGATTAAATCCCATCTAATGAGCTTTCACGGAGCTGAACCTGACCGAATATCTTCTGTTGAAGAGGTAAACCAACATATTCAGAGAAGCGATAAGGGGATTGGGAGAACTAATATTTTGCTTAAAAATGTTCGAAATTTTGGAAATTTTAAATTTTTCGCAGACAAAATTATGTTAATTTTTTGGCCTGAAGTTTTTCCTTTAAAATTGGCATTATGAAATATATAAAGTATAGAAGAAAGGGAGGGGGATGAATTGCTGTCTCATCTTTTATAGAAGTATGATTCTATTTTAAGGACGGAAATGTTAGACTAAAAGTAGAACTAATTGAGCCAGCAACCTGCCCTAAATGTGAAACCAAACTTTCTAAAGCTCAGGTACTGTTTATGAATAGTAAGGTATAAAAATCACTATAAGTGGTTGAAAAAGACTGAAAGATATTGTAATAGATTGTAAAAGAGATTGAAAGAGATTGAAAGAGATTGAAAGAGATTGAAAGAGATTGAAAGAGATAAGGATTCACACGAAATGTCATTGTCAGTACTTCAAGAGGATTCGTTGTCAGAGTTGTCTAAAATTTTCATTCAAATTATAAGATTAGAAAACATTATTCATTAAAGGGACGGTTGACGTAATTTAAAGTGACCTAACATTTTAAAAGGGGTGGCATGTCCGATTCACAGGGGTAACCTTTAATTTGGAAAAATGACAATATCTTCCTTATGTTACTCAGATGAAGGGTTAAAGGGTACTGTTGGGAATCTGACATGCCACTCCTCAAACAATTATCTTTAAGTGCTTTTATTTTACTCGTGAAATATTCAGTAAGTGCTCTTCAATAGATTAAATTAAAATTATGTTAAAACCCAAATAGATAATCAAGTACAATTAAGGTGGCAAAACGTCACAAGTGCCAAATGTAACAAGGAAGACGACATCTTACCTACATTTATATAAGCCAAACAAATATATTATGTTTATAGATTTAAATTAATTTACTAATTATAGCACTTTTTTCATTTTTATATAGATCTAATGTGTTACTAAATTTTGTCAAATATGACACTTCAGAAAAAAATGTAATACCCTTGGAAGACGACATTTCATAAGAAACTAACTTTTCTCATTGCCTGCATTTTCCCCGGATCTGGGGGTTTAACCTCGGTAAAACCTCTCCAAAGGACTTCCCCGAAGATGGATTAAAAACATTTCTGAAATATGTTTTAACGTAGTATATCCAAATTAAAATATAAGAGCGTAATGTACAATATCAGTTTCAATCCGTTTATTTAGTCAAGAGGATATTAAATAAAAAAATGTAAAAACAGAAAATAAAGAACACATAAAATTGCACTTATTTCACTGTAAGTAAAGCACTTCAGTCTAAAATGATCACTATAATTTATAATTTTGTCAGACACATAAAACTCAGTTGACGCTTGTGACGTAGACACACCTGAACTGAGAATATACACACTCTGCGTTGCCACCTATTGTACTTGATCATCTATTTGGTTCAAACCAATATTTGCATACTAGACATTTGAAAATTCACGATGTGCGTCCTCCTTATTAGTGGGACGCATATCTTTAATAACTAAGAATAATTTTTTAGTTTTCTCATGATATATAGATATTCGTATTTAGGTCAGGTTGGATACTCACATAGCCTTCCAGTGTTTAAAGCGTAGCGGACCCGTTCAACAAAGAGTAGCAGAGATAGAAAACCAAGGATATCAAGCTGGAGAGGATCCTATACTCCTACTCCTGCAGGAGATACAAGCTCTCATACTACACCTGAAAGGTAGGAACCAAGGATATCTATGAGAGGATCCTATATTCCTACTCCTACTGGAGATAAAAGCTCTCATACTACACCTGAAAAGTAGGAACCAAGGATATCTATGAGAGATCCTATACTCCTACTCCTACAGGAGATACAAGCTCTCATACTACACCTGAAAGGTAGGAACCAAGAATATCTATGAGAGGATCCTGTTCTCCTTCTCCTACAGGAGATACAAGCTCTCATACTACACCTGAAAGGTAGGAACAAAGGATATCTATGAGAGGATCCTGTTCTACTCCTACAGGAGATACAAGCTCTCATACTACACCTGAAAGGTAGGAACCAAGTATATCTATGAGAGATATCTAAGTATCCAATGATTATATTATCTAGGATTGCTGGAAAAGGGAGAGTATCGGGAAAAGTATCTTGAGGAAAGTATCCAGGCGGATAAAAAGTACCCAAAACTCCCTCCGTCCTTCTCTAAGGAGTTCCTTACCTGGGTTCCTGTAGGATACACGCTTCAGGTCAGTTTTAAAATAACAAAGGTCGAAATTTATGAATCGTGAATGCTTTACTAAATCACTAATCCGTATCTTCTTTAGTTTCCACGGATTAAGTTAGTTCTCCTAAATTTCTCTGTAGGGTTCAGTAAAAAACACGAATCAGCTGTTATTCATGAATATTAATCTCTTCAAATTAAAAGTTTCTACTATCTTTCTTGTGTTTAGACGTTTTCAAAAGTTCCAACCTCGGTTTACGCATTTTCAAGATTTCCTCCCTTCAAAATAGAATTAGGTTTAATTTAGCGATTGAAAAACTTCTCAATTTCATAATATAAATAACGAAATCTATACAGTTTACTCCTTTATTTTTCTCAAAAACATTCACTCGATTTGAGGTTAGAAGAAAGTTTTAAGCAATTGAAAATCGTCAATAATATGGGCAAATTTACTATTCTGTTTCTTTTCAAAACTTTAAAAATAATTCTGAAAAATGTTTTATTGTATTGTCAGTATGAATAAAAGACTAATTTTTCACAATTTTGATATTCTTATCCAATTATTTTCTACTGCTTGATTGACACCTTTGGTAAAACAAATGTTCAATTTTTATTCTAACGTGTCTCAATTATATGTGTCATATCTACTCCCCTCTCCTTAATATACTTTTCTCTTCCCCTAATCTACTTTCTTATCTCCTGATTTACTTTCCTCTCTCCGTTTTAATAAAATTCCTAAATTTTAGATTTTAGAATAAATTCGAGAATATACAATGGTCGGCGTTTATATCAATATACTGAAGACGATTTTTCTTCAGAAATATGTTAACGTTTTGATTTCTAACAATCTTTTTTCAATAGGTTTATAATCAAACAAAGAGAAGTTGTTAAATGACAGCTTCTTATTGTTTCCTTGTTATATGCGTATCCATGCTGTTTAACAAGCTTGGTATAAATTAAAAAATCTAAATCGAAAGTCGTCTTCATTGTATTGATATATATACAACGACTAAACACAAAAATCAATGAATCAGAAGTACTAATTCCTTATTTTTTACTTTGTACTAAACCTAACTACAGTTACAAATCTAAAAATCTTCAAATTCGAGTTTTCAAGTTTCTGCAGAAAAATCTAAATCCAAAATTCGTTGCAGGTTTTGATCTCAGAGGAAGAGAACTTTCTAGTAATGTTTGATATATGGAGTCAAGTTGTAGATAAACTCTCAGGACCAGACAATCTACAGGTAGGGTTATCCATAAACACAATCTACAGGTAGGGTTATCCATGTACACAATCTACAGGTAGGGTTATCCATATACACAATATCCAGGTCGGGTTATTCATATACACAATTTCTAGGTAGGGTTATCCATATACACAATCTTATACACAATCTCCAGGTAGGTAGGGTTATCTATACTCAATTTCTAGGTAGGGTTATCCATATACACAATCTCATACACAATCTCCAGGTAGGTAGGGCTACACTCAATTTCTAGGTAGGTTTATCCATAAACACAATCTCCAGGTAGGGTTATTTATATACACTCTTCAGGTAGGGTTATCTATATACACTCTTCAGGTAGGGTTATCTTTAATCCGTCTTCAGGTAGGGTTATCTATACAGAATCTCTAGGTAGGGTTATCCATATACACAATCTTCAAAAAGAGTATTTTCATCATTTTCGAAAGTAGCGAGGATTTACATATCAAATATATTTAAATTTTTTTTCTAAGTTTAATTTTTGCTGAGTAACAAACTTTATTGATATTTGGGATTTAAATATGAAGTAAGAATCAATAAGTCTGTAGTTTTTTAGGCAGTCTGAGAAATAGATTTTATTTGTCATGAAACAAAAGTTGACAGCCTTCAAACATGGTATTGAAACTTTCTATTAATGTTTCATTTTTGGGGGGAATAAAATTTCTCTTATTTGTTTCTTGTAAAAAACACGCATTATTTGTCATGGTTATTATTGGAAAATGCACTTATGCACTATCGATGTAATCTTATTTTTTACATTTTTGAATTTTCAGAAGCCAGCAAATAAAGCATACACGGAAACAGCAGTACACTTTATTTGTAAACAAAGCTATAGGAGTTGCATCAAAAAATATAAAAATGTGAAAAATGTTGGCTATCTGTCGTGAAAAATGTTCAGAGGTCTCAAAAAAGCATGATTTCCTACCTTTTTTAGATTGATTTTATTCAAATTGTTTTATTCAATTTGATTTACAAATTTAAATTTAACAAAATGACCTTACTAAATGTGTTCAAGAAAATGTAAAGAAATTATGAAAATATCTTCTAAAACTAAATCATTAAAAATTTATCAAATACATAAATGTTTCCTCAAAGCTGTCACAAAGTATTTGTTTTTATTACGCTTATTTTGTCGGAATATTATAAAATTATGAAAATCATTTTAATATAAAGTGTCTGTGTGTATGTCCGATCAAAACTCAAACCCCATGGCCGATTTGCTTCAAATATTATTTGGATGGGGGAACACGGTTGAACCACGACAATGTTCTGAGCATTGTTTAAAAATTCTATAAGTAGTAATTTGACTTTTGTAGGGAACACTTGGTTTCCAGGCAAACCCGGGTTCCTAAGCTGGTTTTAGATAGTATTTAACCAACTTACCAACTTAAAGTTCTCATTTTCAAACTTTTGCCCTGTCCATCATATTATATCAATATTTTCTTCCCAACAAGTTTTTTACCTTAGAATTTTTTTGTTTTTCGGGAAAGTTTTTTTATACAGTTAAACCCAGAATTTGGAGATAATTAGTTTTCTTAATTCTGCAGATATTTAGTTTTCTTTATTGAATAATTATATGGAGCTCTATAAAACTGTTCACGCATATTTCATAGCTATTTGTTTATTTTCACAATTACTGAGATTTAGGATAATAGGTATAAAACCATTGAAAAATGGCAAGGCGAAATTTTATTCTTTATTTCGATGTCTCCAAATACCACTGTTGGAATATGCATCTTAAAAAAATGATCGATGATCCTGTATCCCAGTGCTTATTTTGAAGCGGATCCGGATTGTAGATTCGCACCGGAAAAAAATGGACATTTCTTTAAGATCTATTGATTTTTTTTAACGAGAAGAATTTTTAAATAATTTTTATTCTTTTTTCGGTTTTTTAAGATATTGTTTGATGAACAATTCAGAGATAAGAAAATTTTGGATAAAATAATTTTTTTCAACATTTCAGATATGTGTTTTGAGAGCAAAAGATTTTTTATTGCAGTTTTGGGTTATTATTTTGCCCCTTGGATCCGCACATTTTTGCGGATCTGGATTCAGGAAGCCAAAATGTTGCGGATCTAACGAATCCGGATCCTAGGCACTGCTATAACCTTTGCTATATTTCCCCCTCCAGTAATTCTGGAAATTCTCTGGTTCAATATAAACTCAATTTATCCTGATCAAGGGAACCCTTTGTTCAGATAATCGTAGGAATTCATTTTCAGAAAAATATTTAGTGGGTTTTAATAAAGCTCGCTATTTATATCAGAATAAAATGAAGGATAGTAAATTAACAAAAATATAAAAAAATGATAAACTTGAACCATAAGGTTAAACTATATATGATAATAAACGTTAAAAAGTTAAATCTATAATATATGCAAAAGTTAAGATACAGGGTGTTTCACTCAGACTTGAAGATTGTCTCTGATTTTTGATAAAATTTGGTTGACGAATTTCAAAGATCAAGATCATAAAGACTCAACTATAATTTTTAGAAGGATTCGTTGCATGTCTAAGTTTAAGCTATTTCTAGGTTTAAGATATGTCTAAGTTCAAGCTATGTCTAGGTTTAAGCTACGTCTATGTTAAGCTATGTCTTAAGTTTAAGCTATGTCTTATTTCAAGTTATTTCTAAGTTTAAGCTATGTCTAGGATTAAGCTATGTATAAGTTTAAGCTATATCGAAGTTTAATCTATGTCTAAGTTTAAACTTCGTCTAAATTCTAGCTTTGTCTAAGTTTAAGCTACATCTAAGTTTAAGCTATGTCTAGTTTTAAGCTACGTTTATATTAAGCTATGTCTTAAGTTTAAGCTATGTCTTATTTCAAGCTATGTCTTATTTTAAGATATGTCTAAGTTTAAGCTATATCTAAGTTTAAGCTATGTCTAAGTTTAAGCTATATCTAAGTTTAAGCTATGTCTAAGTTAAGCTATGTCTACGGTTAAGCTAAGTCTAAGTTTAAGCTATGTCTAAGTTTAAGCTATATATAAGCTTAAGCTATGTATAAGTTTAAGCTATGTCTAAGTTTAAGCTATGTCTACGGTTAAGCTAAGTCTAAGTTTAAGCTATGTCTAAGTTTAAGCTATGTCTACGGTTAAGCTTTAAGCTATGTCTAAGTTTAAGCTATGTCTAAGTTTAAGCTATATCTAGGTTTAAGCTTTGTCTACTATTTAGCTATATCTAAATTTAAGCTATGTCTAAGTTTAAGCTATATCTACGGTTAAGCTATGTCTAAGTTTAAGCTATGTCTAAGTTTAAACTATATCTAAGATTAAACTATGTCTACGGTTAAGCTATGTCTAAGTTTAAGCAATGTCTAAGTTTAAGATATGTCTAAGTTTAAGCTTTGTCTAAGTTTAAGCTATGTCTTAGTTTAAGCTATGTCTAAGTTTAAGCTATGTCTAAGTTTAAGCTATATCTAGGTTTAAGCTTTGTCTACTATTTAGCTATATCTAAATTTAAGCTATATCTAAGATTAAACTATGTCTACGGTTAAGCTATGTCTAAGTTTAAGCTATGTCTAAGTTTAAGATATGTCCAAGTGTAAGCTATGTCTAAGTTTAAGCTATGTCTCAGTCTAAGTTTATTTATTGAGTTACTACGTCTAAGAAGGTACAATAGAGATAAATCTAAAGAAAGATGAATCAACTATGATTGTTTGACAAATCAAATCAAATATAATTTATTCTGACAGATACAAAGAAATAAGCATACAATACATGTATGTTTTATAGATCATAATAAAAATAAATATATCCTCATTTTAGCGGGTTTTTTTTAAAATATCTAAATAATGATATGCAGTTTTTTTTTACATTTAAATAATTACAACAATTCTTAGAAATTATCCATCCTGCATGTTCTATGACAGTCGAATCTTTAGTATCTCTAAGACTATTTTAATTTCAACTCCTTTTCTTGAATAAAGAGTGAAAAAAAAATATATATTACTCTATCTTTGGTCTTTTGAGCAGTGCGGAGTCTGACCTCTCAAAAATGTCCCTGAAGGCAGGAAATAAAGTGTAGTCCAAAATTGGTAAACAATCCTTTTAAGTTTTTCGGAATATAAACTTATTTAAACGATGTTTTAGGATGTCACCTTGAAGCTAGAGAAAGAACTCAGCCAAAATGTTAACTCAGGATTTCTTCCTAGGTAAATTTTTTTAGTATTCTCTTCAACTTTTTTTCTTCCTTACCATGAGAATCAGAAAACTGTGGAATAGGATGACGACTTTAGACTCAATTTATGATTTTAAATAGTCCAATGGCCGAGTTTAAAGTATTTGAGCGGCGGTTTAAATTTAAGCCGCGGCTTAAATATTGTTGGTTCCACTTAAAATTGTATCATATGTTTCAAGATTTAAGCTTGCGCTTAATTTAAACCGGGTTTTGGCGGATTTAAACCGCGGCTCAAATTCTTCAAATTCCATCTCAATGCGCATGAGACTTAGTAAGTTTGCAGTTTACACGGACCAATTTCATTGAATAAGGATATTTAAGCTATTAGTAAAATTATTTGCTTTGTTGTGACATCAAATAATCATGAAGACTGCTTTATTCTCGTCTTCCTTTTTCATAGTGTTCTGGTTCTCATTGTAGATATATCTTTTTCATAAGTTTTAAAACGTAATTAGAATCTTTTAGAATTAAAACGATTTTGCTAGTTTTTAGTGATTTAATTTATTTTATTTTATTTTTACATTTCCGAAGAAGTCTTGTTAAGTTAGTTTTCTTCCCCCCTTACAACTTATAAGTCCTTTGTCAAGTTTTCTCTAAAGGTTTATAATTTATTATTCAAACAACTCTTATATATTTATAAAAGGGGGGGGGGGGGCATTATTATTAGAGAAGGGGTATCTACCGACCATGATAAAAATTTTACAGCCTGTTACTTATTTTGGACTACCTTAAAATAAATTCTGTGTTTTTTGCACTATTAATACTAGCACTTTCAAATGGGTTAGATATTTAAAAAAATTCTTTCAAATTTTAAAATTATTTTTACATTTCTTCATTTATTTTGAATATCTAGGTGGGGTAGTTTAATGTTTGATCCTGCCATGCTGGACCCCCCGGAGCAAGACGTCCTCTCTAGACTAGAACGAGAACTGGGATGGGTTAAATAAACCTCTGAGCTCCCTGTATTAAACTGCGTACTAGGATAAAGTGTAACCCGACTCTTCCCTGAACCTCTGGGTTTGCAGCAACATTTAAACGAATCTCAGATGGATTTGTACTTGGTAACTGGACGATCTATTAACCTCAGTCATTTTTAAAACCTTTTATACTTTTATACTTTTTTATGTCAGTTTTAGCGTTTTTGTTTTGTATGATGGATTGTCGTCCATGTCTATTTGCACCCTGTTGGCCATGAGCAGTTGCTATTGGAATTTTGAAATTTGATCGGAGGAGAGAGAAGAGGTTTCCGACTAATGTACCCCCCTCCCCCCTCCCCCATTGTTCCACCCCGCAGTAGAACCTAGTCTAGTTCAAGTTCAAGGATAAAGTTTCACTCACTTTAAATTCAAATCCTCAGCTCAGATTGTAATTAATAATTTTCTCCATCTTATCGTCGTGCATATTTTGAATTGTTGAATAAAGGGACTGTCACCGGATTTCTAAGTGACCCAACACAAACATTCATGATTCACAATCGTGTCATTAAGAAATTGTTGTACTTAAATGGAAAGGCTCGTCTAATGTTAAAGAAATCCGCAAGTCATGTTCTGAAAATCCGCGGCACAGAAATATGAATTTTCTTATTTGATAAAACGAAAATATCCCCTGAATAACTTGTTTAAAGGGCATCGTTGGAGAATTTTAAGTAATCGTAGTTTATGTTGATAGTCTCGTTTAAGTTTTGTATCTCTCAGCTTTGTGATTGTTTCAGAATATAAAAATGTCAGATGGGGGGACTCAGTACTTTTCACTTCGTTGGAACAATCATCCGGTCAACCTAGTTTCTGTTTTTACAGGACTTTATCAGGTAATTCAGTACATATCTATACTGTACAGGTACATGGGTGTATATTTTCGACACGTTGGTAAATACATTTTAGGGGCTTAACACTGAATCAGGGGAATTAAATTATTAAAAGATGAACTGTCTGAGTTTTTCGTCATAAGATTTCAGATTTCAATCAAACAATTGTCTAATAATCAATAAATGCATCGGTTACTTTTAGAGATACTAAGAAAGTAGTTTTCATCATACATTACATACAATACTAGCTGAAGGGCTCGGCGTTGCCAGTGGAATTTTTTTTTAGGAAAAAAAAAATTCATAAAAATTTAGATTTTTTAACCTATAGCACCCCCCCCCCCCCGCCACCCATGAGTGTCCATGGCCGGCTACAGGGGACATTGTTAATATTTTAATTATTATATATTAATTACACACTGTTGTGCACTATATCTGATATCAAATTGAAATTCTAATTTTTATGTTTATCGAGAGATATTGAAATCGTCTTTTTTTCTTCTCTTTATTTAAACCAGATTATAGATTCAACCCATATTTTTTCCCTCTTCTCAAATATATTTTACCAATACTGTTCAAACATATTTTTTATTCATGATGAAACTGAATAATGTATAAAAGTAAAAGTGATTCACAAAAATAAGCTTTCTCTACAATACGCTTCAAATGAATAATTAATAATCGCTTGCGTCACCAGCTGAATAGATTAATACAAAGAATAAACTAGACTCCTCCCCCCTTGGCTTTACATTTTTATAATAGACTAGCTGAAGAGCTCGGCGTTGCCCGTGGAAAAAAAATATGTTTTAAAAATTTGAAAAAAAATATTTTTGATTTTTATTTTTATCCTATATAACACCTCCCGAGAACGTCTTGTTTTATTATATAGATAGATAAAAGATTGCTGCAATTGAAAAGAGAGGGGGGGAGGAGATTATCCTTCTTTTGTACACTTTAAAATAGTGAAGCGTAATTCTAAGCAATTTTACTTTCATACATTAAGATATCGATCCTAGTATGGATCCCAAAACTGATAAGTTAATTTGTCTATTGATGATATCATGAAGATAGATTGATACCTTAAATTGAGCTCACGGATATTTACGATACCAAGAAATGTTCAACTTATTATCATTACTTTTTATTTGAGCACTTGAAGCAATATAATCTTTAAAAAACTAAGGAAGCATAAAAGAATCAATCAAAACAGCATCCTAATAAAAGCAAAAAAAGCACAGCGAAGTTATTAGATTTATAATTTGACTGGCGGTGTCTTATTCTAACTACCTAGTCTTAAGCCGTTGCCAGGCTTGAAGTGCACTGATCAGCTGTTTAAAAACCGACTTTGGTTTGTGGAGTTTCATGAATGTATTTCGCACATTTGAAAATCAGCTGAAATAAAATAGATCGCTTATTGTGTGAACAGTTATTGCTTAAAAAAAAATATATATTTTTATCTATATAATAAAACAAGACATTCATATATATATATATGTTCCCTCTGGCCGACCAAACGGCTGGACCGAATGGGCTGAAAACTTGTGTGGATACTCATCGGTAGCCTGGGGGTAACAGAGGCTAAAAAAAAAAATCACGGGCATTTTAGCTAGTTTTTAATAAAATGAGATTCAAACTAAATAAAAACAGGGTCCACAATTCAAATTAAAGTGAAATAATGTTAGATTGACTTCTATGTTTTCAATCCTCTACTTAAACTCAGTTTCCATTTAAGACATAATACCATGAGTATTGCTAGAATTAGAATTGTTTTTATTTTGTTAACCTGTTTTCTTTATTTTTCTATTTTATTATTCTCGGGATTTGGTGGAGTATACATTTAAGAGAATTTCTGATTAACGTTATATGTACTATATCAGAAATGATGCATCCACATTGCTCTGCAGATAATATTTAGATCTATGAATCTGTTTGAGCTCAATCATAGAGAAAAAAGTCCCCCGCCTCCCCCCCGCTTCATAAAAAATATGTACATACATGAAATATATGATATATATATAGTATTAGTCCAGGGTTAGGTTAGGTTACGTTAAGACAATTTCTGGGCCGAGCGCTGCGGCTAGGACAGACTAGGGGCCGGGCGCTGGGCCACAAATTCATACTTTAACCATGAACATTTATTTTATGAAGGGAAAGGGGGGGGGGGTACAAAAATCCTTCTCTAACAATGTACCTCTGTTTGGACTCTAGGCCGCTATCTGCACGGTGCATGGTGAATAGTCGGGTTTTTTGTTAAGGCTGAGTCACTTGTCGATGTATCACTAGCAGCTGAGGGCAGACATCTTCAGGCACATAAGGTAGGGTTTAGAAGACAACTTATTTTCCAGTGTCAAGTGTCTTGGTTTGGTTTGAACTTGTAATGTCTTTCTGTTTTGATATATTAAAGATTGAAGTTTAAGTTTAAGTTTTTTATTAGAAAATTAAGGTATTCATAAGAAAAATTTGTTCAGTAATTTCTTTTCGTTTTTAACTAATTTTTTTTTTGAATTTCAAATTGAACCTTTAACAAACCTTATCAACAAAAATGATTTATGAATTGATGTTGTTAAATTAAAAAAAAATTGATATTATTTTGTTGAAAATATTCGAAAATAATCTGTATTTAACATTTTTTGATCTAATTTTTTTTTATCTTCATAGTTTTGATCTTTTCTGAAAGCAAATTTTAAATTAGGTTGTTCTCTCTGCGTGTTCAGATTATTTCCAGGCTCTCTTCGCCGCTAATCCTTGTCAGGTATATTTATCCTTATTGATAAACCACTTTAAACATGTCAATTCCTTTATAAAAATAAACATGTTAAGTCACCCCCCCCCCCCTCCACCGTATATCTATAAAAATCTTAGAGATCCTTATAGTTATCCCTTGATCATATTGATCCCTAGTGATCTCTTGTAATCCCTTGTAACCCCTAGAGACCCTTGGGAGACCCCCAGAGATCCTTACGAGATCCGTTGAGACCCCTTCAAGATCCCTGGGGATTTTTAAGAGATTCCTAGTTATCTTTAAATGATCCCTTGTAATCCTAAACTTATCCATAGTGATCCTTAGAGACCCTTTGTGATCCTTAGAGATCCACAGCGATCCTTGGAGACCACAGTGATCCTTAGAGATCCCTAGCGATCTTAAAGAGATCTCTAGTGATCCCTAGTGATTCTTAGGGATCCTTAGAGATCTTTAGTGATACTTAGAGATCCTTAGCGATCTTTAAAGAGCCTTAGATCCCTGTTAATAACCTTTATTATTTTGTTATTTTGTTAGAAGTCTTCTGAAAAATATTTAATTTCACACGTTCTTTGTATTGTTGGTTTAACGATTAAGAATTAGTTCTTGATATAAGATTTTTTAGTTTAGAACGCACGTACTTTACTTGCCATTCATGTTTTCAAAAAATAGATTTTAACAAATTTAACAAGCTCTCGTTTCCAGATATTTTTTTTGACAAAATTACTAAAAGATTTATTAAATTATTTCTTGACTTAAATTCCAAATTTACTGCTGGTCAGAACTTTCCTTCGGGAAATAATAATCTGATTTACGTTAATTCCTTTTACAACACAAAAATACTTTATCATTACTTCATCGTTTTAAACTAATAGTTTTCGCTTGGAATGTCGAGTTAAGTCGAAACTGTTATACAAAAGGTCTGACCTTGGTTTTATATTGTTTGGTTTTAATTAATTGATTAATTGATTTATTAATTTGGTTAATAATTGATTGCATGTGTCTTTCAGCACCCAATAGTAATCCTGAAGGATGTCTCGTTCGAGGATCTGCAGATTGTGGTTAAGTTTATGTATCATGGTATAGTCAATGTATCCTCAGATAAGCTACCAGGGGTTCTCAAGGTAAATACGAAAAATCTTCAATCATTTTTTTTTTATCCGCAGAAACGCGTATTATTTTGTTTTTTTTTAGTTAAAATTTCCCACAAAAATAAAACTGAACATATAAAACCAATTATTGCATTTTCATTGAATGAAAGAGAGGGAAGAGAGGGGGAGCCGAATTTCTGTATAAATATATAACAAAAATTGTTCATATTTTTTTAGATTTAGACTAAACAAATCATATGCCTCATATCTCCTCCCATAGAATACATTTTTAATGTTATTTGGTTTGTATAGACTGCGGACGCTCTGCAGATCAAAGGTTTAGAGAAAAATAACGAGATGTTAAGTCCTTTCCTTGGTACATCCCGTCTCTTACCCGTTCCAACCCATCATGGTAGACAGCCTAGTACAGAGTCATTGCCGGAGTACCTTCATAGATCCAGGTATAGATCTTTATACCATCATAGATCCAGGTATAGATCTTCATACCTTCATAGATCCAGGTATAGATCTTCATACCTTCATAGATCCAGGTATGTACCTTCATATCTCCATAGATCCAGGTATATACCTTCATACCTCCATAGATCCAGGTATATACCTTTTACCTCCATAGATCCAGGTATGTACCTTCATATCTTCATAGATCCAGGTATATACCTTCATATCTTCATAGATCCAGGTATATACCTTCGTACCTCCTAGATCCAGGTATAAATATCTTCATACCTCCATAGATCCAGGTATGTACCTTCATATCTTCAACCTTCATAGATCCAGGTATATACCTTCATACCTCCTAGATCCAGGTATATACCTTCATACCTCCATAGATCCAGGTATATATCTTCATATCTCCATAGATCCAGGTATGTACCTTCATATCTTCATAGATACAGGTATTTTCCTTTATATCTTCATAGATCCAGGTATATACCTTCATACCTCCATTGATCCAGGTATATACCTTCATACCTCCATTGATCCAGGTATATACCTTCATACCTCCATTGATCCAGGTTTATACCTTCATACCTCCATTGATCCAGGTTTATACCTTCATACCTCCATAGATCCAGGTGTGTACCTTCATATCTCCATAGATCCAGGTATGTACCTTCATATCTCCATAGATCCAGGTATGTACCTTCATATCTCCATAGATCCAGGTATATACCTTCATACCTCCAGAGGTCCACGTACAATCTCCATAGATCCAAAGATTTAAACAAATTTGCTAATATATATTGATCGGAGAGTTAGAGTATGGAGTGAAAAATCATTTTTTTTCATCTAAAGATACTAAACCAATTTTCTGTTCTAGATCGGAGGGAGGATTCTTCCCACATCGTGCTCACTCCGCTGAATCCAGAGGTTATAGCTTTGACTCTGGTCCTCTGGAGATATCCAGACATAAAAGATTATTATCTCCTCCCGGCAGTCCGGCTCATAATATACCTCCAGGTAGGGAAATATAAAAATCATCATCAGGGGTGTACGAGGTGGTACAGGGTTACCCACAAAGTATGAGATTATAATGAATATATTAAATGTGATTATTAGAAGGTATAATTTGAGTAACTGCCTTTCAAATAGTCTCCATATGGTTTATTCAATGATTTAGTAATAGTTGCGGAGAGCTAGGAATGTAAGAAAAAGAAACAAATTCCTTAAAATCGTCTCTTAGGTCTTATCTTCTATGGGTAATCCAACCGCTGCTGTATGTTAAAAACCGGAATTTTCTCACTACTTTTGAAATATTGGACACAATAAAACTTTGGTACCATTGGAAAGCTGTGGTCATAAAGAATTTAGTAAAGAGCTATTATTTGATAGTTAGAATCAGAACAAACAAAAAAACACAGGGCGACGCCATTTGTTTTGTTATTTTCATTAAAAGAACTTCTTAATCTAACAATGGGTCAATGACAACAACAACATGAACCTGCAGATTTAAAACTAATAAGTTTCAGGTACTAGTCTAGCTCGGAAGAAGTTCCGGAATCGGTCTGAGCATGAGAGCACCTCTACGGAGGACAGGGGGGAGGGGGAGGTCAAGGTAGGGGTATATATAATATATATATTAGTAGCTGAATGCTATGGCTAACATACAGGGTGTCCTTCAATCTTGCCAATTTTCAAATTGCTGTAACTTGTGTTATTGTTTGGAATTTTTCCAATCAGTAAACAAATTTGAGCAATCAAAATATGAACTTTTTTTTGTATACAATGAAAATTCACAATTCTAATAACAGAATATGCGCAAATTCAGTAATTTCATTTGAGTCACATTCCAATATGGTGTTTTCTAAAGAAGCCAATATTTGGATTGTTCAGACCTATTCTTCTTACAAAGGATTAACTCAGCTACGCAGGGATAACATTGTTAACTTCAACATCACTAACAAGAAGACTGTTCCTGTTGTGGTTACTATATCATGCAAGACGGAGCTACCCCTACCTATCCAACTGTAAATTCACTTTTTTATCTGAAAGAAATTTTCTGACAGAGTAGTGAGCAACAAGACTGACTTTCCCTGGCCCCCAAAGAGTCCGGGCCTAAACCCTTATAGACTTTTATTTCTGGGGTGTAGCTGAGAAAAGAAGTCTGATAAGAAACCCAAATCGTTGAAAGAGCTTTAACTCATTGTTGAGAACTTTGCCAAGGGAATCTCACGAGATACTCTACTGAGGTTTGCTGATAATTTTTGTACCAGAGCCAAATTATTCATTTAAGAGGAAGGTGGCCATTTTTAATATCTGTTAAAGAAAAAGAAGTGAACCAATTGATAAAACAAAACGTTCATATTTGAAGATTAAAAATGTCACTGAATAAATGTAACCAGAGCTGAAAACTTTAGAATGATGGATATCAAGATTAATGCTCCTGTGGCCGAATTTAAAGAATTTGAGCGGCGGTTTAAATTTAAGCCGCGGCTTAAATATGGATGGTTCCACATAAAATTGTATCAAATGTTTTAAGATTTAAGCCGGCGCTTAATTTAAACCGGGTTTTGGCAGATTTAAACCGCGGCTCAAATTCTTTAAATTCCATCTCTGGTTTTATTAAACCCGAGATTACTTTAATACATTCGATATCCAAGAAAGAAGTATAAAATTCAACAAATGAGCGTATCATGTCAAGATGTACTCTTCAACTTTGGGAAAACTGTTTTTTTTTTTCTGGTGTTAATTGTGTAATATCAATTGAACTAAAAACATCGATTAAATAAATTTAAGTTTTGGATTTATGTTTAAAATGTGATAAAATATTTTTTAAATAGGTTCATATTAACAGGATTAATTCAATATTTGCTTAAATGCTCTAAAAGCCGGCTTGTGAACGGCTGACTTTAATTCAATCGCATATTAGTTCAATCGATATAGCATTGTTTCATTAATTGTATCTTTTATACTGTGGGGATATCCAAAAATGAGGATCAAGAATAAAATTAAAAGTGTGTACATTGGATACTTAGATTAAGCAATCAGGATTAAGGATATCTCATTCTAAAGTTTTCAACTCAGATCTTTATTTCTGTTCATTATTAAGGTTTCAAAATTGGTACAATAAGAAGGACACCCTTTATATATATGAGCGTTCAGCTTTTTAGGTCATTCATCCTTGAAGTCAATGTCATGGATATTCTTCAAATTTTTCATTCACCTAGCATATCAAAAGAAAACCTTTAAACCTAAATTTCAGGCTCCTCAGAGGTCACCTCTGGATACTTAGTTCCGGCCTCGAGGCAAATTTCCGCCTGACCTCGCAAGCCTTAATTGGCAATAACTTTTTTGTTAAGCAAGATATTAAGCTAATTTAAACGCCACTTTTAACTAACCAGTTTGAGATCAAATTTTAATAGAAGATTTTTTTATTTTACTGATTGAATATGCTCCAAATTATATTTTAACTTTTTGACCTCAATTTTTTTATGAGGCCATCCTCCAATTTGCGCTAATTTTTTTTTTTAAGATTTCCTATGATGTATTAATGATATTGCACATTTTCATTTCTGACAATTACTTGGTGTTGGAACTAGAGCTTTAAAACCATAATTTTATGACGCTTTTTGAAAATTTGTCTTGCAAAAATGACGACTGTGGTAGAGTATTTTCGGAAAATTAACTAAAATTATGGGTTTACAAATTATATGGCCTCAGAAAAAAAATCGAGGTAAAAAAGATAGAATATGATTTGTGAGCATATTTGAATAACTAAAATAAAAAAATTCTACTTATACAACTTGATCTGGAAGTATCGAGCAAAATAATGGCGTTTAAATTAGCTTAATATCTTAATCAACAAAAACCAAAAAGTTATTGATGTTTGAAGGATGCGAGGTCAGGCCGAAAATTGCCGGAACTTCAGTAGGCCATAACTCAGCAACCAGAGGTCACAGGAGCCTGAACATTTTGTATTTAATGATTTCTCATAATATGCTAGCTGTGTGCAAAATTTAAAGAAAATTCATGACATTGACTTCCATGGGCTGGCTGACTTGATAAAGAATTTTTTTCAATTTTGATGGAATTTATCACACCAAATATTTCCCGCTGAAGGGTTGAAGACTTTATTGCCCTACAACAGGGCGAAAAAGTATCTTTTTCACCCTGCTATTAAAATTTCAAATTTCATACTTAATTTTTCTCATTGTAGGGTGATAAAGTTACTTAATCACCCTACAACAGGGTGATTAAGTAACTTTATCGACCTGCTTCTAAAAAATTTGAGCAAAATTGAATAAAACTCATGTTGTTGAAACTAGAAAAAGTAAAAATTCCGTCAAAAACATTTTCGCACTTAATGATACCCATTACAATGACATAAATAGATAATTAATCCCCACGCTTAAGTTTTTTTTTTGCCTAGTACATTATGTTTATTAATTTTTTCGCTGAATTCGGGTACATTTATGATTTGTGTGTACAATACGTGTTTACAAAGGGGGAGGGGGTCATTACGTCCAATTTTTCATTGTATTTGCCCCAAAATTCTCGAAAAGAAATTTCCTTTGGAGTAGGAATTGTTATATATACCACTTGGTTAAGGAGGAGGTGAAAGAAGATAAGTCTCCTAGTCTATACAGTGGCTCAGATACTGAACATATCGCTAAGAAGAAACGAGCCATGTTCCAGGTATTGTACAGTCATATTCTTAAAGATGTGGAATTTCTAAACCAATTGAAAGAAGGCTTGAATGTCTTCTTTGACATTAAAATAGTTTTAGGGATTCATTCGCAACCCTAGGCCTGCCATTTTAAAATGAGGTCTGCCTTCTTTTGTTCGATTTCATAATTACCTGAGATAAATTTTTTTTGTTTTTGAAATTGAAATCCAAACAAATATAGATAGATAGATATTTCTAAAATTAGGTGGACAAATAAATGTCGCAGTTTATTTCAAAGGCCAAACTACGATTTTCTTGTCTTTAAATTTCATTGTAGGATATACAGAGTGTCCCACATCAAATTAGACCGCGTCAATGGGTCTAAATTACGATTTGGGGGACAAATCAGAAAATTTAAGAAGTATGAATTGTTTTGAAAATGCTAGATTTTTCGAGTATTATGTGTCGAGTATTATGGCTTTTAAGATTGGATATTCTAATATGATATGGGACGATCAGTAGGATATATTATACTATTTATTTCATGGCATTCTTTAAACTTTCAATTGTTCATTAAAGATTATTACCTAGAAATATTTTAGAATATTTTAACAACAGTTTTCAGAATTGTTTCTAACCAATTTAATCGGATAATAATGAACATTATAAATATTTTCTTGGACCAGTTTATTGTTAATGTGTAATAAAATATAATTTTTAAGAGGTAACTATCAAGTAACAACATCAAAAAGTCGGGTTCATGAATTAGAATTTAATTTCCAACTTAGCTATCTTCCATTCCCCCTATTAACCCGGAAACCTCTAAATAGAAGCTACACTTTATCAGTGTATGTATGAGTGTTGATTTAGCTGGGTACACATGATGATGTGAATTTAAGTAGAATAATATTCCTGATACATTGGATTTTAGGTTTTTTTACATACGAATTTTTACGTTTGTCATAAACGTATTTTTACGAATTTAAATACGTATTTTTACCAAGGAAAGGGTTACGAAAATACGCACGTCATATGTATGGAAAATCGTATTCCAATCCTAAGACACGTATATATACGAATGTTATATGTTTTTTGGGTCTTCTGGTTAGTAGTTCAATTAATAATTACTTAAAAACAAATTCCCATAATTTTTGATTTCTTATTTTTAGTCACAAAAATGTTCGAGTTCAGGATCAAGAAGTTCTGAGCTTCATAATTCAAGGTTTGTTAAAATATTTACACACTCATTATTCCCTCGTTTTATAATACAATAACGATAATAAATTATTTCAAACTAGATTTTTTAAAATAGCATTTTTTTAGTGAGGGTCGAAGTGATAAAGAGAATAAACGTCAAGGATCCTTATCCAGTAGTCAGAGCATATCCCATAGTTCGGATAGAGAGGAGCTGGAGATTCATCAGAAGGATACTCTTCAAGTTCCAGGAGCTCATTGTAGAACTCTAGTCAGAGCAGCTTCAACCTCAGAACTGAACAGGTATATAGGGTACCTAGATACAGGATACAAGTACTGAGTGGCTAGTTACTAATCGAATTTATAGGTATCTAAACCCTTCTTTAGAAAAAAAGACTAATAGAATTTTTTTAAAGATAATTTAAGGTTAATACGGTGGACACTGGACATCTTAAGTCAAACTTAAAATTTTTTATTTTTTAAGGATGAAATTATTTTGTTTGAATATTTTTAAGTCAACCATTAAGGAAGTGTGTAGATTTGATTAAACTATTTTTTGTTTCCAGAGGTCGTATCTTGAAGAGGCAGCAATGCCAGGAGTCAAACGAGGAGGGGGAGGGAGTCACTAAAATTGAGCCTCCGACCTCGCCTCCGAGAATCACCGTTAACACACCTCCGGTCAAGCGACCTAAATCCTTCTCTCCGTCCCCCATTCCTTCTCCACCTCCTGAAGAGCACCCCATATCCCCTGCTCCCGTCTCCCCTCACCCCGAAACCTCCCGCCAACCCTCCATAGATCCGCTCTGCGGCCTGGAGTCGGTTCCTCTGCTCTACTCCAGCTCCGGACCTGGACCTAGACTTCCTCCGTCAAATCTCCTCCGACCCCATCTTCCCTCTGTTCGTGTTATACCTGAACCTGAACCTATGCACGAGCTTCTTCCTCATCCCTGTCATCAATCCGTACCGTCTCCCTCCCTCCTCTATCCCATCGTGCCGACGTATGAGCATCTGTCTCCGATGCATACGGAGAGGAAGCCTCCGAAACCCCGGCACACGGAGAATTATATGCCTCTCAGTAGCTCCTCTGGAAGACCGGTAGGAAGTATGGAACAGTTTGGGCACTGTCCTAAGGTATATTTTTGTTCTCAAAATAAAAATCTTAATTATCGACAAATTTTTACAACAGTAGAACAGTACAGCCNCCTAGACATATTTCTGTTACATTGAAAATATATAAACCAATTTGTTTGGTCCAATTTCTTGGTTCCCAGTGTATTTTAACTTGAATAAAGTTATTCATAAATTCTGCCTATTTTGAACTAACCCCCAATAGGAGGTCAGAAATTTGGGCAAGGTTCTTATCTTATTGTTCTTGTCTAGATTTATATCATTTCAACTATAATGGGATCCACAAACCTTCAATAGAAAGACGACTGCTAGACCTAATTTATGATTTTATATCCACATAGCAACAAGAAGCACAGCAATCGTATAGTTTAACGGATACATTTCACTTAATAAGTTATTTTTAAAGCTACTAATAAACCTGTTCGCATTCTAATAGAATCAGAATTGCTTAAATCTCGTCTTCCTATTCCACAGTTTAATGGGTGCAGTTTCTTGCCATGATTATAATTATTTTTATCCAAAGTGATCACATTTTGCATTTATCCCTTTATAAATGTCATACTACAGTGGTCGGCGATTATATCAATACTATGAACACGACTTTTTTATTTAAGTTTTATTGTTAACAAGCTTTTTTCGAATAACAAGTTGACAAGTAATTGAAAAGATTGACGGATTCTCTTTGTTTTATGTTTATGTGTATCCACCATTCTGTTTGTAAGCTTGATATAAATGAAAATTTAAATCGTAAGTCGTCTTAGATGTTTTTATATATGCGACGACGACTGTAGACAAATATTACGTTTCCAACAAATATGTTAGTTATTTGTTGGTGGTTAGAGATATATATATATTATGTACTGTTGTCAATTGCTACAATAAATTGGCCATAAAGTAGGAAGTCCGTACAATAAAGTAAAATTAAAATGTTACATCTTAAAGATTAATTTCTTAAAAAATAGATATATATGTATATGTTCTAGGCTCGGGATGGGCCGGCTTTATCCTGTAATTTCTGCTGGAATACAACGGACGGAAGTGGACGAATATTACGACGAAAAACTAAATATCATTGCCCAGAGTGTCAGACCAACCTATGTATAGGTAAATATCATTATTATCTTTTTCCGAAATTCTCGAACGAATTTTAAAACAAACAAACAGGGTTGTATTGTGTACTGTGTGTGTATGCATGCTATAATCTGGGGGTGTGGGGGGGGGGAGCGGGAGCACGCAACATTAAGATTTTTTTTTGTTTTCAATAATAACTACTCATATTGAATAGCCATTGAGAAGAACTGCTATGAAATTCTAATACGTAACCGGTTAAATTTTGTTTTCGCATACTTGTACGCAGATAAAAACTTTTTTTTTTCTTCTTAACTTTATTCAGTGTCAAAAAACATATCAGCAATACTATATCTCATTTGCAAAAAATGGAGAGAAAATTTCTCTCATTATATCTTCGTATCTATTGCTGTAAATCTAGAGGAGTTATTATTACAAAGTTTACCAGTAATATAGTATAAATTTGATCATGACCATTCTTGGAAAGGGGTTGCTCCCCTTGTATGCGCACTTTGTTCAAACAATTTGCAATGAATCTGTTCTGAACTACTTCAATATCCTTTTATATTGGTATTTATAAGGAAAGACTATATTTATTATTTACTATCATTACGTACCATACAATACAATTGTTAATTTATTTTTAAAATAATTATTCATTTTCTCTTATAAAAGAGGTCGATTATTTCTGAAGATTTTTTTAATATTTTGATTGGGGAACTCGAAATAACATAGAAATTTTCTATACTCTGTTTAAAGATTTTAAGTTTTGTGAGTTCACTTTTTAAGGGAAAGTACAGTTTCCAGTTAAAGCTGGATTTTCGAGCTAGTATTTTATTAAGGGAGTGCTTATTATTTTTTTCATTTATAATTTATGTTTCTGTATTTTATCTCTATTGGGATGGTTTTTATTTTGAATAATAGGAAAAATATGGCGGCCACGTGTTTTCACAATCTATTACCAATCAATTAACTTGCTTACTAGTTTTAAAATCATGAATACTCAATTTAGTTTGACATTTTTAATGTTTAGTTCCGTGTTTCCAACAGTTCCACGAAGCCCTTGAATCCGAACCCCAGAATAACTGACATCCATACTACCACTAAACAAGGATACCATCCGTCCTTGGTGGAACTCTACTTCATTCTCTACCCGGAGCTAAATCCTCTACCTGGAACTAAATCCTCTATCCGGAGCTAACCCAGATTTCTTCAAGAACTGAGGCGTGCGCAGTCTGTTAGGATTAGTTTGCGCAGACTATTGTTGTTGTGCATTGTACAGAATACATGAGAATTCACGTTGTAAAATTAGACGGGGCATTGCGCTTAACCAGCTAATGTATCGTGTATTTATACCTCATTTATTAAAACCGAATCGAACAAAGACATCTGAATCTTTTCTTGAGATTTATTTTTCTTTAATCCCTTTCTTAAACAAAAAGAAAAAACCAGTCATAATAGTTTTTTGCAATGGATGCTAATTTTGTTTTAGATTTTGATGAAATATTTGAAATGTTAATGTTTCCAAATTTATTAACGATCCCGGTGTTATGATTATATAAACTTTTACTTAATGTTGTAAGCAAAGATTTTTTATTTTATTTTTTCTAGCTCACTTATGAGCCCTGTTAATTGTGTACTTTGTTATGTATTGTTAAACCCACCTACACTCCTTTGCCACTTTAGTAATTGTAAATTGGTGGTACAGTCTAAAGAAGGACTGCAGTATATTCAAATGTACACCGGTGGGGCATCCACCCGCCTCTAAAGCGAGAAAAAAAGAAACCAGAGGTGGGGGAACTCTTGTATTTGATCTCGGTCTGTCGTTAATCTACAGATTAAATTAATCTTGATATTCGATATCCCGTCAAGATGACCAGATAACCACTCAAGACCCGGTGTAATCCAATCAGTTACTCCTAAAATATAGAGGATAGAGTACTAGATATAGATTATATTATATATCATTTTAACCCTTCTTCATTCTAAACTGCACCATTCCCTTTGCAGATAATTGGGATAAAATTTATTAGTGCCCACTGTGGATATCGAGATCAAGCAATAGGAATAAAAGGTATCCAACACAAAATTTCCGAGCTTATCCCCCCCCCCCCCAAATAAAAACAAAGTTAATCTTATAATCGAGTCATTTTTTGTTCGAAACTTCCTCTTATTTGTATGTACAAATTGTAAAAGATGTATATTTTAAAATTTGTAATTCTTTGTGCTAATCGTAATATTCATTATATTTTGTGTTGTAACATCCACTGTAAAGTAGTTAACTGTTATGAGTACAACCTTTTTAACATCTTCGTAAAATAATTCTGACCCACTAAACTAACAAACCCGACATCTAATATTGCTGGGGGAAATTTACATTTAAAATCTATCTGTACAATATTTAAAATAGTTTATATCTATATATTTATTTTTGAACTTGTGCACTTAAACAACATGTATTTATAATATATAGAATATTTGTTGAAGTACTGCATTATCTGAGAATACCGGTGGCATTATGTTAAAATTGAATATTGTGATAATAGTGATAAGTGTTCAGCACTTTTTTCTCTCTTCTAGCACTTTCACTTTTCTTTTTTAGAATTTAAGATTGATGTTGTCAAGTGAATTTAATCTTTTAAAATTCCTTTCCTTTTTCACATCATTTGAACTTTTCCCGCCAAAATTTTATTTTAAAGGACTAAATTTTGGCGCAATAAAAAAAATTATATATTGCGCAAATAAAAACTGTTGTAATACCCTTATGGGGCCAAAAATCGATCAAATCGAGGGTTTCTTCCCTCATTGGAAAGAAAGCCTAAATCATCTTACTTTATTACGGAGAATTATTATTAGGTTTTATTTCTTCTTAGTTTCTATCGATTCTGCAATGGAATGGTAGATTCAGGTTAAAATTAGGTTTAACAAACTAAATTTATGTCTAAATGTTGAAAGTTTAATTTAAAGAGCAATATATATAAATCTCATATGATTTATTACATGTTAAAAACTATGATCATCTTAATACTAAATAAATTTTATTTAATATTAATTATTTTAAATCCTTAATCGTAACTTATCATATTTGAGAAGTTGCTTATTCTTTTTTAAGTTGTTTAGAAGCTTGATTGAAGAAAATGGAGAATGGAGGTATTTATGGGAACTTGATTCAATAGATGAAAAAATGGAGAATGGAGGTACTTGTGGAAGTTTTATTGAAGAGAATTATAGAGTGGAGGTATTAATTGAAGCTTGGCTGATGAGAATGGAGAATGGAAGTATTTGTGGAAGTTTGATTGAAAAGAAATGTAGAATGGAGGTTTGTGGAAGCTTGGCTGAAGAGATGAGTAGAATGGAAAATAGAGGTACTGTGAAAGCTTGATAGAAGAGAATTGTTGAATGGAGGTATTGTGAAAGATTGTCTGAAAAGAATGAAGAATTGAAAATGGAGGTATTTTTGGAAGCTAGACACCGAAGAGAATGGAGGCTATTGTGGAAGCGTGAATGAAAAGAATTGAGGTAATTGTGAAAGCTTGACAAATGACGATGGAGGCATTTGATTAAGCTTGACTGAGGAGAATTAAGGTACTTATGTATGCTTGATTGAAAAGAACGGAGGCAATTGTGGAAGTTTGACTGAAGAGAATTTAGAATGTAGGAAATAGTAGAAGCTTGACTGAAGAAATGAGAAGAGTAGAGAATGGTGGTATTTCTGTAAGTTTGATTGAAGAGAATAAAGAATGGAGGTATTTGTGTGTATTGAATGTACTTATGTTTTCCATTTGGATGAATGAAGATGTATTGGAGTAAAGAAAAGAAGGAAAATGGGTAGGATTCAGAAGAGTAAAATGAAGAAGGACTCAAGTGGGGGTATCTGTATCTAAAAATGTTGTACTAGCTTGGAAACCCAGCTTTGCCTAAAAAATATATATATTATGGGACACCCTATTGTGTTCATGTTTTGCAGGTTATACCAGGAGATGGTGTAATATAATTTAAATCACATAATTTCATTCAGTCTGGGGAAAGGGGGAGGGGGCGTGCTAATACTTCCAGGTGGTTACATGTAGGGGGAGGGGAGTGTTCTTCGGCTGGATGATTTTCTCAAGAACTAAATCAGTCCGAAATTCTCATGAGGTTGAATTTATCATAGTTCTCAGCCCCCCCCCCCCAGTCCGTTCCGCTCTGTAATCCCCCTTCCTTTTCCTGGTCCGTTCTATTATTTAGAGACTGTAAGCCATCTCAAGTTAAACCCTCCATGAATGGATGGCAATGCTCGATGTACAATATATGGTACCAATGAAACCTTTATAAATATATCTATATGTAAATAGTTGTAATCTCTGTTTGTTTATTTCTCCGATCACAGCTCTGGAACCCCTGGACCGATTTGCCTCAAATTTTTATTGGGGAACTCGGGAGACCTTTGGGAATGTTCTTTGCTTGGTTTTGAGATTTTAAATTGAGTGGATCGGCGTTAATAGCGAAGATTTAGTTTCCCGGCTAAATCGATCAAGTGCGGGTAAACGGCGGAAGTAACTTTTGGTAACTTAGTAGCAGCGCTTTGAGCCTTTCCATCATAGCATAAAGGGCCACTTGTAATTACGATAATAGTCCCAGTCCCTTTAATTACAGAAAATTTTAGGATTTAATTTTCTATTGTTTTGAGAAGAGACCTTTTTCTGGTTAATAGTTAATCTAAAATTCTTAATTAGATCTTCATTAATTTCAGTAATATACATGATCTTTTCAAGATTTTCTTAATATCGGTTCAATAGAGGTTTATTCATTTTTCTTACTAGCATTCAGGCTTTTCTTTAGAACTTCTTGTCTTTAACATTATTTTCTTTAGATTTAGAAAAATATTGTACAGCACATTAATTCAAATATGATTTGTACTACACATAGTAAACAAATACTGATTTGCACTACACATAGTAAACAAATACTGATTTGCACTTCACATAGTAAACAAATACTGATTTGCACTACACATAGTAAACAAATATTGATTTATTTTACACATAGTGAACAAATATTGATTTGTACTACACATAGTAAACACATACTGATTTCTACTACACATAGTAAACAAATATTGATTTTTACTACACATAGTAAAAAAATATTGATTTGTAGAGCACATAGTAAGCAAATATTGATTTGTACTACACATATTAAAATCAAATATTGATTTCTACAAATAGTAAAAAAATAATGATTTGTACTGCACATCGTAATCAAATATGATTTGTACTGCACATAGTAAACAAAAATTGATTTGTACTGCACATACAGTAAAAAAAATATTGATTTGTACTGCACACAATAAAAATATTGATTTGTACTGCACATAAGTAAACAAATATTGATTTGTATTGCACATAGTAAACAAATATTAATGTGAACTACACATAGTAAACAAATATTGATTTGTACAGCACATAGTAAACTGCAAATATTGATGTGTACTGCACATAGTAAACAAATATTGATTTGTACGTCATATATGGTAAATAAATCTTGATTTGTAAAGCACAATACACAATAGTAAACATAAACAAATATCTTTTATAAAAAAGACAGTCGGCGTAATTTCAAGTGATCCTTCATTAAAAAACAAAAAAAAGATGCATGCCCATTCACAACGGTACTCTGGAAACTTTCATCTGTCTATAATATATAATTCATACAAGATCATCACAACAATACCCTTCAATGCTAATTGTCTGATCAAGTATTGTATTATACATCCATGTTTCCCATTTTAAAAACTAATAATTTTTATTTGTGGTTTCTCTACAAAAGTGACTCGTGCATTTCTTGCTTCAGAAACGATGGAGAAATGAAGGTTTCAAAGGTACATCGGACATACCTCATAAATGGAGGGTCACTTGAAATTACAAATTACATAATTATAAGTATAATAAAAAAGTTTCATTATTAAAGCTTCATCAATACTGCCTTTATGGTAAATATATATCTGATATCAATATTTATACTACAATATATATCGAACCTATGAAAATATAGATATATTTTTAGAAACGTTTCCATCTCTATTTTTCATCCCTTGAAGCTTACACCACAGTATTAAGAGGGATTGTCGATGAGTCAACTTACGAAAATTACATAAATAATTTATTAACACTTGTAATATGGAAGTGCTTATGATCGAATAGTTTATATAGTTAAAAAAGGTAACAATATTTTTTGTAAAAAGGGTTTTAAAGGGGGGGGGGGCACTAAATTTTTTTTCTCTCGTACGCCCCCTGGACTACCTTTAAGACTATATCTGATTAAGTATATATTTTAGATATCAATGTTTATAATTTTGAAATCAGATTAATTTTCATTGCGGTTTCTTTACCTCTTGAATTTGACTTGGTGACTCATCCTTCCTGTGCACTGCAGGATCATTTCTTAAATATNAATTCCCCCCGTCCTAAGCAAGAACATACTCAAATATTATATTTATCTAAATACATCACCAAACCTCTCTTATCAGCTTTAAATTCCATCTGCTTTTGCTTGCTTGGGTAACTTTAATGGAGACCCCCCCCCAGGCGCGTACACAGGAATTAAGCCGGGGGGGCAAGTTTTCGCGCAAAGCTCGGAAAATTTTTTTTGCACCCCCTGGGCGATTTTTGCCCCCCCCCCTGGCCTTAAAAATGCTGTTATTCTATATTAAGTCTACTACATGTCCCCTAGGTGGCCCATTTAATATTCAAGGACTATATATTACAATGTATCCCTCTGTTTAGTTCTGTATTAATCTCTGAAGTCCTGAGTGGTCTCCTGAGACTATACTCCCCTTTCTAGTCCACTGTAGTCCCAATTCAAGAACTACATATTATAATGTATCTATCTGTATATGTATTACCCTCTGAAGTCCTGAGTAGTTTCCTGAGACTATTCCCCTTTATAGTCCACTGTAGTCCCAATTCAAGGTCTACATATTACAATGTATCCATTTGTTTAGTTCTGTATTGCCCTCTGAAGTCCTGAGTAGTCCCATGAGACTACTCCTCTTTGTAGTCCTCTGTAGTTCCGATTCAAGGACTATATATATTATAATATATCCCTCTGTATAGTTCTCTCAATTCCTGAGACTACTTACCTTTGTAGTCCACGGGCTATATATTTAAATGTATCATTCAGTATTTTCGGGAAAACATGCCAAACGCTTGCATAATGCATATATCTATAGTTGTTTATCAAGTATGCGGGGGGGGGTGGAGATTTTAGATAAAAGGGAAATACTACGGTAAAATTTGAAAATAAATGGCGAAAAAGCACCAAGAAAGTTTTCAACTATACTTTTTAAGGGGAAAACACCCCTTTGATGATGAGGGCAAGCTCTTTTTTTATTACCCAGAACACCTGATTTTTACCTTTGCTCATAAATCCCAGTAGGGGCACGAGGACTACTGCCCCCCCCCCTGTGTACGCGTCTGTGCATAACGCATATAGCTATCTATAGTTGTTTATCAAGTATGCAGTGGGGTGGAGATTTTAGATAAAAGGGAAATACTAAGGTAAATTTAGAAAATAAATGGCACCAAGCGCCAAGAAAATTTTCAACTAACTTTTTAAGGGGGAAAACACCCCTTTGATGATGAGGGTAAGCTCTTTTTTTACCCAGAACACCTGATTTTTACCTTTGCCCAAAAATCCCAGGGGGGCAGGGCCCCCCCTGGAATGCTCAGGGGGGCAAGAGGACTACTGACCCCCCCTTCTTGTGGGATCATTACTTAAATATTGTTTTAATCTTAATATATCACAAAACCTCTCTTTTTAGCTTTAGATTCCATGTGATCACCAGAGCGTAGAGATCACTGATGCTCGAGTTCGATCTTGTTAATCAGTGTTTCCGGTTTGCATGTTTCCGGTGTCTGAAGAGACTCGTGCCAAGGTTTAGTTCCGGTTATTTAACTTTCTAACCAACCATCGTGGCGCCGGTTTACAATAATTAAATTTGGTTTAACTAACCGCGTTTTATTAGTCTTTTTCTTGAAAAATATTTTTTTTTTTGGCATTTTAGAGTAATAAAAGTTGTTGTTTAGAAAATATACAGGGTGTCCCAAAAAACATAGGAATTCAGTGACGAATTGGATATCGTCTTTGTTATAAATTAGCATTGTAATACCTAATTGTAAAAGCCATAATATTATTATGTCTGCTAGAGTTTATTTTATGAAAAGGGTAAAAGACTGTAAAGATGTGTCTATAATGTCTCCGCAAGATGAACAGTGAGGATGGACAAGTTTACTCTGTTTATATACTGCAATTTTCTTGTTTTACTAAGTACAACCGTATGCAGTCAAAACATAAACAAACAAAATGTGAACATAGCAGACGAAACTCTTACAGATTACAGCTTTCTCAGTAGGTATCACTATNCCTACTTTTTTTCACAACAGAAACTTTTACAAGTCATAATTATTTTCTGGACCTTTGTACTTCTTTTCATCTCATAGAATTTAAGTTTAAGTTAAGTTTTTATTTTCAAAAATGTCTTTTACTATCTCTAGTTTAAATACTAAATATACCTATAAAAGTATAATAAAATGTCGATTTTTTAGAAACAATGCTTAGAAGGTAATTATTTGGACTGTATGTGTGCCTTTTAAGTATCTTATACTTATGCCTGATATCCAAGAAGCCAAGTGTTATGAATTTACAGTTCGAATTTTGCCCCCCCCTAGGAGCTCCTAGGGGGGGGCAAAAAAAATTTTTGCGCTTCGCGCAAATCTTGCCCCCCCTACATTTATTTCTGTATACGCCCTTGTACGTCACTGAATTACTTTGTTTATTGGGACACCCTGTATATTAAAGATATTTGTTCAATAACTTATAAACAAATATTTTAGAATCCTCTTTACATTTTCTTTTATCAGGATGTTTTATCTTTATGTAAGGATTAAGGGAATGAATTCGAACTAAACACTGGCCACAAATAATAATTTTATAATCATTAAACCTATGCAACTTAATTTCGTGGACAAAAAACATATCAAACTGTGAAATCTGTTGAATGATCAAATACTCTAATTTGGAATATAAAAGTTTTGTACTTTTATAGGTTGCAAAGATTTTGGGATTAGAAAAATGAAGTTTGTGGCAAACGTGTTAATTTTTTTCGTGATTTTTCATTTCTGAGTTCTTATATGTAAACCATGTGTTCTCCACTAAACATAATCATATTTTATTTGTGAACCTAATTTTACTAACTTGAAAGAATATGCAATTTCAAAGTGTGCTTTGTGTTTTAAAATTAAAATTGAATCATAAAAATTTCCATATTTTGATATTTTTTAAAAACTATGTTGTCTCCACATCCAATATCTTTGTTAATTTTAATATTTTTTATATAGGTTCGTGATAGCAAACGAAGTCGTTGTATCTAAAATACAGGGTTACCAACAAAGAATGAGACTGTAGAGACGACTGTTTCCTTATATTCGGTATTTCTTGCAACTGTATAAAATTGTTTCTTTCTTAGCCAAATCATTTTGTAAACCATTAAAAGGTAGAAGACTAAATTATCGTGGGATCGTTATATTTTAAGAATTTCAGGTCGTCTTAACAGTCTCATTCGTTCGGGGTAATCCTGTACAATGTTTAAGGGACGCACTATTTTCAAATTTTAATGTTTTATTTTTATTTTTTAACCCTTCATTTATAAGAAATAATGAATATATGTATTTATTATTAACATTTTTCCAGTTAATTTTTTATTCAATCATTACAAACATTTCACATGTGATTTATAGTGAGTGTTTGTTTACTGCACTGCACAATGACGGTGTTTCAAAAACTCATTGGATTATTTAAAGTCATAACTTGGGTCTAAATGTCGTCTTTCTATTCCAGAGTTTCATGGTTCCCACTGTATGTATATTTTTTTGTATCAGTATATCTTGACAAAGAAAATATTTAATTTTTGTGTTCATAGCTCTCCGAGCAGATTAAACTGGAAAATACATTTCTGTTTATAAAAGATTCCTTCTAAGATTCCTAAGATTCTCGTTTACTGATTTTTAAACTAATTGTGCAAGTTATTATACTCTTAATTTTCCATAATTATATGTTATTCCCCATTCCGTTTATTAGGCTTATTTGTGAATTAATTTTCTATTTTAATTAAGTATGAATTATTTAAATTTAAAATTGATAAAAAAAAATAAAAGGGCCATTAATAGATTTTCCCTATGCTTAAAATCGACAATTTTGCGTCTCAATGTCTCATTTTAACGTCATGTCATAATCGGTTTTCTATCCTGAGCTGGAAACTTTGGAATGATGGATATCGGGATAAATGCTTAATCCACTCTTTTTCTTAATCTCCAGATTAAATATTGCTTGTTCTCCTCATGAATTTAATCTCCAGATTAATTAACAGATCGGGATTAAGGATACCACATTCTAAAGTTTTCAGCTCTGTACTAATTACTGAATATACAAGTAATTACCGAGTTATTACTCTCAGAATTATTAGAAAGTATCGGTATGGAGTTTCTGGACGCCAAGACCTCACCCACGAGGTGTACGCTGAATGCCGCGCTCTTGCTTGGACACGTAATTACCCGGCGCTGGTTTCCGGTTTGGATATTCACACGGCAACAGATGTTTCCGAAGATAGTTTCTTCTCAGGCCCTAATTTACTTTCTGGCACATGTTTGGTTCAGGTTCGTGGAGAGGTGTTGAACCGAACAATTTTTTGTTTTTATGACAACCCGTGCGAAATAAAAGATTTCATGAAACCACGGGTTTATACGAAGAGCTGGAGCATGAATTTATATATCAGTCGGAAAATGGGATGGAATGATTTGTTAAAGAGTTTTTATAATCTTATTTGGATTTTTGACGACATTTTGGACATTTAGGGTTTTAAATGGATGCAAAATTGATAAATATACTTAGCCATAATTTTATTGAATGTATTGTACATTATTTTCAATGCTCGATAAAAACAACATTATTAGTAAATATATTTATAAATAATACAGATTTTGTCATCTTTAAGAACTGTAACACACGTAATTGTGTAATTTAACTTCAGCAACAATTTTAAACGAGAATTCTCATCTTTATTAAATTATCGTCATACGCTAATAAGTTCATTAAAGGACTGCAAACATAATTTAAGGTGTTTCTCCATTAATGGCATGTCCGATTTACAACGGTACCCTTTAAACATTTGTCTGCAAGCTAAATTGATTGAGCTTTCTGTCCTCCTTACCTGTACTCCCATTCGGCGAAAGGAATCGATGTATTCCTCTACCGAACTGTATGGTTCTCCCTTACCCAGGTGGAGCTGTATACCTGCCTCTTCTGATCAACCAGCCTGTGACGGTACATCTGACATTCATTAGAATAGCTGTTGCATGTAGGCTGGTCGACCTGGTTGATCTACCTGTCCTGCTATATGCAAGGTTTGGTCGGTCAACTCTGCTGACCGGCTCTGAATAGTTTGTCGAGCTGAGCTGATTGGCGTCAAGCAAGTTGTTGTCAGCCGGTCGACCTGGTTCCCCCTGGCCGCTGTCCCATGGCCGGTGAACTCAGCTAGGTTTAAGGGATATCATTGTGAATCGATCAAGCCACTCTACAGATGGAAGAACACTAAAATCATGTTTCCAGTAATTCCATTTCCGGGCCTTTAACGCAAAGATAAATTACCCAGATTCTGTGTTAATCGTAAGTGTAAGCATCATGTTTAAAATAAAAAATAAAGAAATGAGTTATGTTAATCAGGCGATTTTCAAAGTTTTAGGAAAATTCCCCTTTTTTATTGTCTTGCAAAGTTTAGCATTAAACAAGAAAACTACAGATTTCGAGGCTGTCTGCAGAAGCATCGTTAAATGAAGGGAGCAAGTATGGGGTTTGGGGACGACTTACGATGATCTAAAAATAAAACTAAATTAAAGTGCTTGAAGGTGCCTGTCTCTCTATTTCCTNTCTCCAATCTGTAAATGTATAAATTTTTAAACTCGTTTTCCTCATGTAAGCAGAAATGGGGGAAGCAATAAACACAAATCTACAAAACGCATTATTTCCAAGTTTTTAGCATTTAAAGATGTATTCCTTAATTATGAAAAAAAATTGAAAAAGTATAATCATAATGCACATACGTCAATATCCAGATATTAAGATGTGAAATAGTATTTTAGAAAGCATGGCAGAAAATATTAAAAATGAATTTATTGTGGAAGTGGAACAGATCGAAGAAAAAGTGTTTATCAAAGAAGAAATAAAGCTGGAGGTTAATGCTGAAATCAAAGGTATCTAAAGTATAGCGTACATTAGTAATTGTTCACTTTATCAAATAATGTTATAAACCCACAACAATTCCACTACAGTGGAAACCATAAAATTGTGGAATGAACATGAAACACCGCAATTGTGTAATGTACACAGACCCATTTTATTCAATACGTTAGTTTTAAAACTAGTAGTAAAACCATTTGCTCAATACACACAAGATTATTTAATCTTCATCTTCATATTTAACAGTTTTTTGAGGGACGTCTCAGTAATTTAATATTTATTTTTTAACCTTTATTTGTTAATAAATACATACAGGGTTGCCCGCATGATGAGATTTCGGACTTTAATCAGCATTATTTTTTTTACTTACAATCATTGTTCATTCAATATTTGTAATTGTTCTGTTCATTTAATTGTACAGAATTCGATAGTCTTTTACTTACAATTGTTCCTTAAAGCAAGGTAAAGTCGAACCTAATACCTTAATAGGTAAAGTAAAAGGTAAAGTCGAACTTCCTTAATAGGTAAAGTAAAAGGTAAAGTCGAACTTAAGACCTTAATAGGTAAAGTAAAAGGTAAAGTCGAACTTAAGACCTTAATAGGTAAAGTAAAAGGTAAAGTCGAACTTCAGACCTTAACAGGTAAAGTAAAAGGTAAAGTAGAACTTAATACCTTAATAGGTAAAGTAAAAGGTAAAGTCGAACTTCAGACCTTAATAGGTAAAAAAATTGTTAGGTCGTCATTAAAGTTGCATCCGTCGTGCGTAACCATGTATTTAGACAAGTCATTTTTTGTTCTAAAAATTCGTTTCCAAATAATCTATTGGATATTGGATAAATTTAATTTAATGAAATGAATTTTGTTTTTAGATGAAATAGTTGAAAATACGAGTCAAGAAATGAAGTTTGAAATTCTACCATGTTGTACTGTAGAAGATACGTGTACAGTTTATGTACAGGTCGAAGATATGAAAATGGAAAGAACAGAAATGAAAAGTAAGAAAAGAACTGAGTACTCACCTCACTCTTATATTTTATAATCCCTAGATCTTTGCTACTTGATGGTGGAAACCATAGATTAATTAAAATAACAGATAGGACACTAGATGTAGTCTTTTCAAAATTTATGAGTATTTTGTTCACAATAGCCCCCGAGGCAGAAGCCCCAAATGAGTTAAGCGTAGTCGGCGTAGAACATGCTCTGTCTCTCTTTATATAAGACAGTTTTAAATATTTTAAAGGTTTAGATAGATAAGGTAGCAAAGAAATAAGGATTAGAAAATAAGAGCCATTTATCCCTCTTTTTGAATTACTAAAATCTTAGTTTTATTGTTCTATTTACATAATTATGAATATTTTGTGAATGTTTTCTTCTCATTTATTTATTTCATTCCTAAAACACTGCCTGAAAGAGACTGTTTATTTCTTTCTGTAAAAACACCAAACATATTTTGCATTATTTTATCACTAGAGAACAACCCTTGTCAATGTGTAGGGTTACCCAAAAAGGATATGCAACCTGAACCATTTTTACTCTAAAGTCATGAAAAATTAATTTTGGGTTCTAATTAAATTAAAAATCCGAATTGGTTAAAAAAGTTCTCTATCTGTAGAATACACAACTCAAAGTAGGAAAACATCAGTTTTTGGACAGATTTGACCAGTAAATTATAAATTATAAAGTAATTAAATGGGCAATTATTACAAAATTTGTGAAATTAGAAGACAAAGTATTTATGAGAAAAGAAATTTAACAAATGATTGGCCTTACGAATGAGAAGCTGCCAAATAAAACTAGATATTCAAGGGGAATGAGGAGGGAGTTACCAATGGATGACTGTCAAATCTGAAGTTACTGGGGGGGAGGGGTGGGGGCACTATCCGTCTTCTATCTTCATGAAGAACTTGAAAATATTGTGTTCCCCTGGAATTAAATACTTAACAATTGTGCCCCATCTCCAAATCTGGATTTGTGTGAAAACAACTTGGGAATATGATTCATAAAATTGTTTAAATATTTTAATTTTTTTTTCTTTTACCTTGTCAGATGATATTGATAATGACGAAGAAGATCCTCTCTTCCCCGAACCAAAGAGACCGAAGAAGCAAGCAGGACGTAGATATGCTTGTCTGGAGTGTAATCATGTGACCACTGATGCAACTAATCTTAAAAGACATATTGAATCCAAACATGAAGGCGTGGGATATCTTTGTAATCAGTGTGATTTTGTTACCACTGCAAGTAGGAATCTTAGAAGACACATTGAATCTAAGCATGAAGGCGTGGAATATCCCTGTAATCAATGTGATTATGTGACCACTGCAAGTAGGAATCTGAAACGTCATATTGAATGTAATCATGAAGGACTGAGACATACCTGTGATCAGTGTGATTTCTCTGCAACTAGAAAGGGGGATCTAAAAGTTCATGTTGAACGTATTCATGAAGGAGTAAGATATCCCTGTGATCAATGTGAATATGTTGCCACTACAAGAAGGAATCTGAAAACCCATATTGAATGTAAGCATGAACAAGCAAGATTTCCGTGTGGTCAGTGTGAATTCTCTGCAACTAGAAAAGGGAATCTGAAATCTCATGTTGAACGTAAGCATGAAGAAGTTCGACAGCCTTGTGGTATCTGTGAATATTTGCAACTACAGGAAGTAATCTGAAAGCTCATATCCGATTTGAGCATAAAGGAGTAAGATATCCCTGCAATCAGTGTGATTTTGCTGCGCCTAACGTGAGTACTCTGAAGATTCATATTGAAATCAAGCATAAAAGAGTGAGATATCCCTGTGAATTATGCCATGTTGCTGTCGCTACAGCTAGCAGTTTAAAGCAACACATAGCAAAGCAGCATTCTGGTTTAAGATATCCCTGTGATCAGTGTAAATATTCTTCAAATACTGAATTTGAACTGAAATGGCATATTAAAGATAAACACCAGTAAACAAACTGTCAACCATCATTCCGCAGGTATAATGGCCGGGTTATCTGTATAAAGTATTTATGAATATTATATAATGTACAATGTAACTATTTACCAGAATAATATGAATTTATTGATAACTTTAAAGTCACCTTTGACCCGTAGCAATGGTTTGCGGCATTTAACATAGGTATTAGGTAACCTGTTTTAGCTATATTTGTAAGACGCAAAATCACATTATAGCTCTAGTCCTGTCATTCCAAAGTGTGGTCTGCTAATTTTGTGCTTTTATAATATTTGTTTCATTAAAAAATATTGCTAAAATCAAGTTGAATGCCGCAAGCTTTTTTAAGGGAAAGACGACTTTAAAGTTATCAACCAAATTATATTATTCCGCGTTATTTAGAACATCACTGTATAATGCTTCAACTAGGTATAAATTATCTAAATTGATAAAATGAGAAAACATAATTAACGGATATATAGATTTAGCAAACCTCATGTTGTTTTTTAAATTTTATATCCCTTCATTGGGAATAAGAAATAAAACAATTATTGTCTATTGGAAAATGTTGTGTCTAGAAAATCATCAGTGCCTTGTTATATGTTATTTTTATTTTTAAATATTATTTCCTCCCAAATTTAAAAAATAATGCTAGTGGTTTTTATTTATTTTATAATTGATAATTTATCTAAAATTCACAATATGATAAAACATGATAAATGAATATTTTCATTTATCATGCATGTGATATGTTTTTGTTTTAGCACTATTTCACCCTAAAATGAAATTAAATATGATTACTTTCGTTGATGTAAAAAATTCTGTTTGTATCTATAATATCTTAGTTATTAAGCATTGCTGCCTTATTTATTCATCAGTAATCTAAAAATTCACCAAATAAGAAAACTCAAAAATGGATATAATTATGTGCCATGTGCCAATATAATTATGTGCCATGTGATATGTTATTTTTAGAAACATTACTTCGCCCAAATATGAAATAATTTTATTTAATTTTCAATTTTATAAAAAGTTTTTTTTGAAAATTCTAATTCTTTTTAATCTATAATTATAGTAATTCTGTATTCTATGAATTCTAGAAAGAATGGCTGAATATCTGAACAAAGAGAAAGTTCCTTTCAAGGAGGAAGTATCTACTGTAGAGAATAAATCAACAAGAAGAAATCTCCACTGTTGAACATCCATGTACTGTTTATGTAAAGGAATAAACATCTACTGTAGAAGATACATGTACTGTTTATGTAAAGGAAGAAACATCTACTGTAGAAGATACATGTACTGTTTATGTAAAGGAAGAAACATCTATTGTAGAAGATACATGTACTGTTTATGTAAAGGAAGAAACATCTACTGTAGAAGATACATGTACTGTTTATGTAAAGGAAGAAACATCTACTGTAGAAGATACATGTACTGTTTATGTAAAGGAAGAAACAGCTACTGTAGAGGATACATGTATTGTATATGTAAAGGAAGAAACATCTATTGTAGAGGATACATGTACTGTTTATTTAAAGGAAGAAACATCTACTGTAGAGGATACATGTACTGCATATGTAAAGGAAGAAACATCTATTGTAGCGGATACATGTACTGTATATTTAAAGGAAGAAACATTTACTATACAGTATATGTAAAGGAAGAAACATCTACTGTAGAGGAAACATGTACTGTATATTTAAAGGAAGAAACATCTACTGTAGAGGATACATGTACTGTATATTTAAAGGAAGAAACATTTACTATACAGTATATGTAAAGGAAGAAACATCTACTGTAGAGGAAACATGTACTGTATATTTAAAGGAAGAAACATCTACTGTAGAGGATACATGTACTGTATATTTAAAGGAAGAAACATTTACTATACAGTATATGTAAAGGAAGAAACATCTACTGTAGAGGATACATGTACTGTATATGTAAAGGAATAAACATCTACTGTAGAGGATACATGTATTGTATATGTAAAGGAAGAAACATCTACTTTAGAGGATACGTGTACTGTATATGTAAAGAAAGAAACATCTTTTGTAGAGGAGTCATGTACTGTATATGTGAAGGAAGAAACATCTTTTGTAGAGGGTACATGTACTGTATATGTACAAGAAGATAATGTGAAGAATGAAAGTACAGAATTTCAAGGTATGAATTAATTTAACAAAAAATTTTAAATGAGTCATAAAAACAGAGTATAGATATTATATGGAGATGAAATGAGAGGATAGGCTCTTCTAGAGTTCACATTTAACAAAGAAGCTTTCCTTCTGCTAGCCAGAGGGCGCCTTAGAGGCTGTACTTGCAGGGTAAACATTCTCCTAGTTTTTACAGTCAAGTAATTGCATCTTCTACTGATGAAAAAGTTAAGATAGCCTCCGGTCTTTCTTCTCTCTGAAAATGTTATATATCTTATAACTTGCACCAAGCAAGATAAATCATGTAAACATCCAACTTCCAAACCCGTTGGAGTTCATTTTCGTACCAAGGGGTCACAGTTCTTGTAATATGCAGATTGTCCTTTTCGGGAAAGTTAGAAGCAAGGATCCATGGACAAGAAAAGCCATAAAAAATATTATATCCGTAAATAATCTTAATAGGTGTTTTTGTTAGCCTCTTTCTTATTGTTTTATAAAGTTCATTTAGAATTTTAAAATTTTTTGTTTATTTCAAAATCAAAATACTTTTGAGACAACATTTTTAATTCTGAGCATCCAAAAACCTTCTGTGGGGTCATAAAAATTGGGCCCGATCATTTCAGCCGTTTTGATGTTTATTGGTTACAAACAAACAGACAGATAAGCATAGTATATAGACCACAACTAAAGTTCAAATTCAGACAGCTTCCACCTACATTCTTGGTAAATACATATTATACTGTGTTTGTACGTGTTAATTATTTGTAAAATTTAATATTTTCAATTATTTAATTTTCCTACTACAGTTTTTGTTCATATTTAATCTCTAGATTAAACTTTGTCTCGAAAATAGTATATAAATGATTCATTAAATGGTTTGGCAAAGAAACATAGAATTCTAAATCAAGTCTCATTTTTTTTTTGGGGGGGGGAACCCTTTGCCATCAAATATTTTTATCAGATTTAAGTACCATTTAAACATTAGCACGCCCCCCCCCCCTCCTCCCTCCCAGTATGCTACTGTCTGATTCTATTCTTTATTATTAATTTCAAATATATTTTATACAATGAACCTGAAAACCCAAGCAGTTGTTTATGATTATTTGGTTGGAAGCAATAAAGCAACCAACCAATTTACCAGAAAATAACATTTAATCATAACTATCTAATATATTCATGTTTACTGTTAGATTTACAAACAATAACAGTTCAATATATTTGGGATTCAGGAAGCTAAGCATACAGTGAAATCCAGAAAACTGTGAAATAGGAAGACGACATGTAGACAATATTATGTGTATTTAATGTTGTTCTAATGCAAATCGTTTCAGAGGAAGTAGCTTGAAATCCACTTATTACATTAAATGAGTCTGTGTACACTGCACAATTTCGGTGTTTCATGTTCACAGGACTATTTAATTGAACAAGAAATATCTTAAATTGAAAGTTCATGTTATATTAATAATGTCTGAAAAGTATGAGGAATTTGGAGAACATGTAGATGATAAAGTGGGCGCAATAAAACTGTTGTACAGGGAGATGACATTCAAAGAATATTATGCGTATAGTATAATATTCTTTAAATTTTTTATAATTTACAATTATTTCAAGATTGACATTGTTTTACATCATACCAATTTCAAGCTTGTTTAAATTGTGCATTAATTATCTCCGTTGCTATTTCCATTTTTAAAGAAATGTCGCTAAAAAAATTTAGTTTTTAAATTTGTATTTCTTTATCTAAACTGTTCAAGAATCTTTTTAGAAATGATCGTGATTTAATGATAATAGTTTAAAGAAGAAAGAAAATAACATTCCAGTGTTTTCTGGTTACCACAGTACACACGATTTCCGGCTTGAAGAACAACAATTGTAGTACTACATATGTACAGGACTGCTATTTACAGCAGTCCTGTAGGATTTTTAGGATCAATTGTACACGGATTTCTGGTTTAAAAAGCAGAAATTGCTGTACTTCATATGTACAGTACTACTGAGATTAACTGTACAATGATTTCCGGTTCAAAGAGCATACTACATATGAACAGGACTGCTAGGATTAATTGTACAAGGGTTTCCGGTTTGAAAAGCAATAATTGTTTTACTACATATGTACAGGACTGTTAGGATTAACTGTACAAGGGTTTCCGGTTTGAAGAGCAGTAATTGTTGTACTACATATGTACAGGACTGCTAGGATTAACTGTACAAGGGTTTCTGGTTTGAAGAGCAGTAATGGTTCTCTCCAATGCTTCCTCAGGAGTAAAACCAACTATCAACGAATCTCCCCTATAATCAATCAAATAGTCAAATATTCTGCAGACTAAAATTTATTTTGATTTATCCCCCTATATATAATATATTTATTCTTTAAAAAGTTTTTTATATAATTTTTCCATAATCATTTATTCAAGGCTGTATAGTTGGATTTGCGAATCCCGAACTATACGTCTTGGGTTAGTTAAGATAAGTCAAACACATAAAGGCATTTTTTCTAATTTCTAATTGGCATTTTTTCTACTCTTAACAGCATAAAGAATTTATATAATACGAAAATATTTAAAAAGGCCATTATGTGGATCACTTTCTTTAGGGCAAGAGGACAGAATGTATTCCATAATAACTTAATTTGTCGTTTTCTTGTACTTTCCCAGATATTTTTAATTTGATGTTTACACATTATTAAAATGTGATGAATGTAAAAAAATGAACATTTATCAAGTTGTAACTTTCGGCATGGAAAAAAACATATGTGCGTACTTCGGATGTGAGCCGATAATAAAAGAGATATTCGAACAGCGAAACCGAAATAATCGAGTTAAGAAATTTAAACTTTATTTGATAAGCCTTTCAAAATGCTATATGCTAATGTGTCAAACCCCAACGAAACCGGGTTTCATATATGTGTACTATCAAAAGTTCCTTGTACAAAAGAAAACGATAAAAGATGTGTTTCATATTTAGCCTTGAGATATTTTAACCAAAATATACTAGATTCTAGAATATACACGTAAACATGATCTACGTACTTCAGGATGTATGACGAAGCAATTTGGATAGTTTCATAGACTTAAACATCTGTAAACTTTTTAAAAGCTTTTTATTTAATTTTTTGCCACAAACTCTTGATTTTCTAATCCCTATATCTTTCAACCCGATGTTTAATAACATTGATATTTCAAATTATGAATTCTGTTAGATGAAATAATCTAAGTTTGAAATATAAAATGTTTACACCATGAGGTTGCAAAAATATAGGGACTGTTAAATCTAGAGTAGACTATTTTTAAGCATGAATTTTCTGTAATTTTAATCATAATTTGCCTATTTTCTCATTTTTTCGTCATTTTTGTGTTTAACCCGTTCATAGTTCAGTGAAAATGTTCAATATTTTGATTTTTATTTGATTTGACTATTTTCCTAATTTTTGTGTTATATTTTGAGCAGACTTTTGCAGTTGCTTCCTCTATACACCTTGGTAAAAAATGTAAACATAAATGCAACTAACATTTCTAATTGTTATTTGAATAATGGTGAGTTAGTCTAAAAGCATATTATAAATAAATATGAAGTCAGGGGCGGATACAGGATTTAAGTGAGGGGGTTGCTAGATTATTTCGGAACAAAAAGTGATGATTCAGGAACCAAAAGTTACACGCCGCAGGCGAAGATTTTTTTAACTTTCCTAGGTCTTCTTTCCCTTAAGTGCTATTAAGAAGCTTTTCTGAAATCTCAGGGGGGGAGCTACGCCCCTCTGAATCTGTCAGGGGGTGCAAGGTCCTGCCGCCCCCCCCCCCTGTATAAAGTTATTGAAATCTACTACTGAGCTTATTAAAATTAAGTAAAATTAATTAAATATAACAGGAATTTTCCTCTCAAAAATGACATTTTTTCAAATTCAGCGTTTAAAATTTTAAACATTTTGGGTGGAGATATTTTGATAAGGATGGGTAGGGACTAGGGGGGGATATAAATATGTTTCCTACCTAAACCTAGTCCTCCAAACCCCCGGCATTATTTCTTGATATACCTCGTCATCTTGGTTTAAAGATGCGGGAAACATGTCTACATTGCACGCTATTTCTAGACCACCCTAAAACAAATGTTTCAGCAATCCGCTGTAATAATTAGAAATTGCTTTCTGGGAGTTTTAGGAGAGATCTCTTGCTCAATCAATTGCTTGTCGAAGAAATAATTTCTTGTGGATTTACGTGTTTTAAAATTAGATGATTTGCAGTTTTATAGTTTAATAAAGTATTTATGTACTGTTAGTATTTTAGTTTTGGTGCATTTGTAAATTTACAAAGGGTACGTGACGGAGATAATCAAAAAAAGCAGAATGATTTTAGTCTTCGTGTTTTCTGTATTTTTTTAAATATGATGATCGGATTACAGATTTTGTAGTAACTTAATTGGTTTATCATTTTTAGTGAATTTTAATGATTTGTATTTTTAAACTATGTTCCGACCAAACAAAAACGGAGTATAAAACTCATTTCTATAAATATGATTTGACATTGTTATTCATTGTTATGTTAAGGTTTTTGTTTCGACATTTTATTTTATGTAGTATTTGAGACGTTTTGAGTCATTTGAGTCATTTACAATCTTCGTTTTATATGTAGACAAAAAATAATGTTGTAAAGTTTATGTTATGAATAATGTAAACTATTTAGCTTTAATCAATATTTTCCCAAGCAATAATTTAATTTAATTTTAATTTAATAAACTGGATGATTGCAGTCTCTTAAAAAGACAGAAGTGAAAAGTATTTTATTGTGGAAAAATGTTTCATGAATTTTCGTTGATATTTCTCTTTATATTTTGAATTTTAGAAGACTCCCTATAATCTAGCTAAGCAGATATATTAAAATTAAAATTTTAGTTTTTGTTTTAAATACTTGGTGTGGAATTATGGCTGATCAACAGAACTAAATACCTGGTGTGGAATTATGGCTGATCAACAGAACAAAATACTTGGTGTGGAATTATGGTTGATCAAGGGAGAATACACAATACTAACCTTGGTGTTAACTTACGGTTTAAAGGGAGAATACATTGGTGTGGAATTATGGCTGATCAACAGAACTAAATACTTGGTGTGGAATTATGGCTGATCAACAACTAAATACCTGGTGTGGAATTATGGCAGATCAACAGAACTAAACACTTGGTGTGGAATTATGGCTGATCAACAGAACTAAATACACTGGTGTGGAATTATGGCTGATCAACAGAACTAAATACATGGTGTGGAATTATGGCTGATCAACAGAACTAAATACTTGGTGTGGAATTATGGCTTATCAACAGAACTAAATACATTGGTGTGGAATTATGGCTGATCAACAGAACTAAATACATTGGTGTGGAATTATGGCTGATCAACAGAACTAAATACCTGGTGTGGAATTTTGGCTGATCAACAACTAAATACTTGGTGTGGAATTATGGCTGATCAACAGAACTAAATACTTGGTGTGAAATTGTGGCTGATCAACAACTAAATACATTGGTGTGGAATTACGGCTGATCAACAGAACTAAATACTTGGTGTGGAATTATGGCTGATCAACAGAACTAAATACTTGGTGTGGAATTATGGCTGATCAACAGAACTAAATACATTGGTGTGGAATTATGGCTGATCAACAGAACTAAATACCTGGTGTGGAATTATGGCTGATCAACAACTAAATACTTGGTGTGGAATTATGGCTGATCAACAGAACTAAATACCTGGTCTGGAATAATGGCTGATCAACAACTAAATACATCGGTGTGGAATTATGGCTGATCAACAGAACTAAATACCTGGTGTGGAATTATGGCTGATCAACAACTAAATACATTGGTGTGGAATTATGGCTGATCAACAGAAAATACCTGGTGTGGAATTATGGCTGATCAACAACTAAATACTTGGTGTGGAATTATGGCTGATCAACAGAACTAAATACCTGGTGTGGAAAAGCCATGGCCGAAACACCTCTAAACCCTAATTCCCGTTCTCGAACCCTCTTTAATACTTCATCACCTAAAATCAAGTTTACATGAGTGGAAAGTTCCATATCTTTAACTTTGTCATCTTTTCACCATATAGCAAATATTTCAAGGGAAGAAAATTTCATATTCATTACTTCCCCGAATATGCTAGACTTAGAAAATAATTCAGGGGTGGAAAGTTTCATATTCTAAACTTCTTCAGTCTCCAAATAACTAAAATTTCGTAAATAAAAAATAAAATTGGAATTGCATTTAATTTTCCCTACCTCTTAGTTAGAACTAACTATTTAATATTTTGTAATTATTTTCAGATGAGTTCCAATAATGATTCAGATAGTTCGGATTCGGAGTGTTCCACGGGTTCAGATAGTTCAGTTACATATTATTCTGTTAACTATATCCCTCCGTACAACACCTCTTTCCGTCCCGAAGATGTTCTTCATCCTAGTCACCCGCATTGGAAATATCTAAGTAAGCTGAAAAACTTTTTATGAAAAAACTTTTTATAAAAAGAAATGGATCCTTTGCTGGGGTAAATTTTTTCAACAATTAGATTTTTGATGCTCTGGACAAGAAAAAAAAGTTGATTTAAATTATCATTTTGATATTTTTTACCCGAAATTTTAAATTTTCTCAAATTTAGCAAATAAAACCTTAAAACAAATTTTGCACTCAACTCAAACATACCCACAATTTTGGGGGCAAATGATTTTTCAAGAAAATATGCACCCCTGATCATCAATGTTTTTAATCATAGACTAACTTCATATCGTTGTAAAAAAGTGGTTTTTCAAAATTTACTCGATGGAAATGGAAATTAATGAACCTTAGCCATTAATCTTTAGCTTTACTGTTAATGTTTACTGGGCAGAACCAGGTTTTAAGCCAGGGTCATCATTTATTTGTACTTATTGTCACTTAGGGCTAAGCTCAAGTCAAAGAAAAGGTAGATAGGTTATCATCTTTTAAAATCTGGACTTCAGCTTATTTGAAACCGACCAAGACAAATGTATAAATTGGTTGAGGTTTAATATTTTTGGACATATCATTGTTTCTATCATTAAACTGCGAAGGACTGTGTGAAGACGCCGAAAGGTTAAAGAGGATCAGTTTAACTTCCAAAGTAGTGGGAGAACAAGATTAACTCTTCCGAGATAAGCTTATCTTGACCCTTTCCCTCAAATTTCCTGGCTCTGTCTATGTTAATCAGCTTATAAATATTTTATGTGGTATATAATTTTCTGTAAACTGTCCTAATTGGCAAAAAAAGGGGATTTATTAACTACAAGAGTGAAATTCTTGCAGATAGAAGAAAAATTTGGTGTTGGAAGTTTCGAAATTTCGATATTCATATCATATCAGTCCTTAAAGAATATGGTTAAAAATGTAAAAGTACTAGGCTTGTGCGCCCATCTCCTATTTCAATTGTGAACATGTTCTCTTTGTATACATTGTAAAACAAAAACAAACAAAAAATTTTGCGGATTTTATAAAAAAATTGTTGTATGACCCTTAAAAAATATTAAATTTTTTTAATAAACCTGTTCTTGGGCACCTCATTAGCTACCACTCTTTTATGTACCAAAAGTTGACTGATTTTGACATAGGCTACCCCGTATATGTAAAGATGAAAAACTTTAAAATTTAATTTGTTTTTTATAACAAAATTTTGAAATTAAGACCGGAAGTCTGCAGCTGAACTGGCACATCTTGACCCTAAAGACGTTTACCCAGCCTGGCATAAGTATTGGAGGAACAAGTGCCCTTACAGAGGTACACAATACACATCTTCACAATACTTTTTTTTATTATTTTCCAAAATTTTATGAAAGTTGTCAATAAAACAAATAGTTTTTTTGAAGCAAATTTGAATGGCAGAATTTTTAAATATGAATATTTAGATGATCCAATTGCTTCACCAACTACTTCCAAGGCAGCAACAAAGGAAGCTAGTACTCAAGTTGAGCCAGAGAAAGAACCAGATTCAGATACTGAACCACAACGCAAGAGGTAAAGAATATAATTACTCTCCTCAAACTCTAATAATATATTCCTTATAGTTTTGCAACTTAATATTAGAGACCTTTGATATGTCAAATTATGAATTCTGTTAAATTGAATAGTCAAACTTTGAAATATCAAAGGATCAAGTTGCAAAGATTACATGGATTAGAAATATAGAGTTTGAGTAAAATAATCAGTTTCTTAACGATTTATATATCAATCAATATATAAGATTCTGCGTCTACATTGAAGACCTAGGGCCTGATTTAAACCATGAGAAGGAAGAAGCTTTGAAGAAGGTAAAGTAGTGATAGTGAAAACTATTCTTTCCAGTGTTTGATATTTAGTTTTTATCTACTGAACCATTTAAAATGATAATGGACCCCGTGCTGTACTATTATTCTACTTACAAAGATGTTTTCATTTGCTTAAAGGGACTGACGTTGTAATTATAAGTGTTTCTTCATTTAAGTAGTTGAATGATGTCCGATTCAAAACCCGCGTAGACCCTTTAAACCTTTATTTTGATCAATAATTCTAAAAATATCATCGTTTTCTAGCTTGAAGAAAGCTATATTTAATCCCAATACTTTCCTCTGTTGTTTTTGCAAGAGAAATGCGCAAGTCACATTTGTAAAGAAACTACAAATGAAAATAATGAATGTTAATGAGATATACAGGGAATATCTTATTTATCCTTCAGTTCAGAGAAAGCTTTTAATGGTACCGTTGTGAACCTGACATGTCAGCCTATAAATGATGAGTCACTTTTGAATGAAGAGTACTGCAGTCCCTTTAACTAGTTTTTTCCTTTTACCAATTTTTGCATCTTGAGTTTCAAGTGTGATATTGAAGTTTGTCATATAGTAGCTACTCCCAACACCTTCAACAAATATTATTTTTTTAAAAACGTTTTTCTTAAATTAATTTAAGACAAATTTTATTTAAACTAGTGTATTATTGAAACATATAAGTGTTTTAAGATTATTTCAAAATTGAAAAATGTCTATCTGAAAAGTTAGTTTTTAAAGGGACTATAGGCGTAATTTCAAGTGAACCTCTATTTAAAGAGGGACATGCCCGATTCACAATTGAACCCTTTGAACCTCTCATCAAATAATGTAGAAGATATTGCCGTTTTTTAGTTAAAGTGTCAAATTCTGAAAAATTAAACTCCATTGTTTCTGTAAACATAATGCACAACTGTCCCTTTAAAAAATTATAATTTCCCAAAGAGAAACATTGAGAGTTCTTGATCAGACAAAGGGTACCGTTGTGAATCGTACTTGCCATCCCAATAATGGTGAATTACCTGAAAATGCGTCTACAGTCCCAAGTTTAATCTTTAATTCTAATCTAAATACCTGCCTGATAAGCCAACTTGAGGGTTATAGGTCCCCATATCCGGGGTCTTCTTTATAACACTATTAAACCATCCAAACTAAAATAAAATTATATCTTCCATAACTACCTGGAAAAATATGTTTTAAAAGGCACAATTTTTTCTTTTATTTTGATATATTTTTTTTTAAACATTACAGACATGAATTATAATATTATTTGGTTTTATTAAAGTTCATTAGGAAGTTTTATAAGTGTTTTTAACTTAGATAGCTTGTTTTTTCTAAACAAGTGGGGTTTCTGTCATTTATGTAAATAAAATTTTTACCTTCTTTTTGTAAAAAATATAATTTGAAGTTTGTGTTTTGTTTTAATTTTTATTATTACAAGTTTTATATGATTTTTTTCATAAGTGACATTTTTTAGTTTTATTTAGGGTGCAAGAAGGTTTTTTTCAAAATAAGAATTATATATTTTTTATTTTTCTTAACATTTTCATGATTTACAAGTATGCCTTCAGTTCTTGATATATATCATATTTATACATAAATAATTCGATTTTAAGTGAATTTTTATTTTTATTAAAAATACCTCTTTTCTTTTGTTTATAAGTGTTCTATTGGTTGGATCAGAGCCTCCATAAAAATAAAACGAACTGGAAACATTCTACAATATAATTATTTTTAGGAAATACTGATTAGTTTTTAAAAATAAAATTTGATGATTAAAAATTACTAGTGCACTTATGTTACTCTTCGTAAATTTTAGTAAAAAGGTCGCCAAAAAGTTGCAAAATTTTGCAAGATTTTTAGAAATAATCTTTTTAAAAGTTTTTAAATTTTTTTTCAGGGTGCGCCAATTGAATAAACTTTTACCTTTATTCGTTTTTTTTTCACAAAATTTGTAACATTTCCATTCCTAATTTAGTTATCAACATGCACAATGCATATCAGTTATTATAGAGATAAACAAATGCACACATGCCCCAAATGTGTTCTTGAACTACACAAAATAAATCGATCGATCAATCAATATTTTTCAATATTTTCGGCGCAAGTACTTCTAACCAAGGTAGAATGTTAATTATTTTTGTGTGATCAAATTAGACCATTTCAGATAATATACCTGGACAGCATCATCTCAAGAATTAAACCATAAAAACTCCTCAATCTTAAAAAAAATCTTTACGGGGGGGGGGGTAGTTTTTGATGAATTGGGGAGGGGAATTAAAATTTTACATCAAAAAATAATCTATTTTCCAAAATTCAGCAAAAAAACACCCTAAAAAGAAAATTTTGCTCTTCGCGCAACCATTTATTATTTCTCAGCAAACTATATGATTTTCTTAAAAGGAATGGAGGAAAGAATTGTTTAGATGCCACAAAAATATTAATACTCAAATCAGATTCAGCCTTTTACCAAACAAGGGATTTGGGTTTACCGGCTTTGCTAAACTTTTTGAGTTTTTTTCTTGCTCTCCTTCCACATTACCAGAAGGATAGATCAGATATATCATTTTGTTTTACCTTTAACCTCTGATATTTGGACCCTGCTTCATCCCTAGGAAAGTTCGGTTTATACCTGTTGTTCTATACTGTTTGCAATTTTTCTTGCTATTCTTCCACATTCCTCCAAGGATATATCAGGAGTAAGAGGATGAATAGGAATTAGATCCACTGCTCCAAGTCTACAGAAGAGAATATAAATGAGGGGAGAAAAAGGGTTTATATTGGCCTAACTTAATCACTCATATATATTTTGACTTGTCGATTTGTTTGTTTGTATCCAAAAACATATTTTAAAAATTTGGCTCTCGAAATTTTCGATTTAATTTTTTTGGGAGGAAATCCACCAATAAAAACAGGAAAATCTGCAACAAAAATAGTTTCATGATATACGAAGGAAATATTATGTTATTGCAACACCTTGGGTGTCCTCCTTGATGTACCCTAATGTCTATGTACTTCATAACCTAAATACAAAATATATTGAATAGATCATGATAGAAAAAATATCAATTAGGCTGTGCTTTTTTGGCTCCATACTAATAATTGCTGAAGTCCCATTAGCTCTAATTAAATTGAAAATATATCAGGGTAAAATTAACGGTTAAAGTCTTTAGAGTTTTTATCAATAGCGGTGGAAACTAAATACTTTTTCCAATTATGTACAGATCTTAGGTAGAAACTTTTTTGCTAATCTACAGGGTGTCCCAAAAAACATGGGAATTCAGTGACGAATTCAATATCGTCTTTTTAAATAATTCTTTGATTTAGTATAGTGATACCAACCGAGAAAGCTGTAATCTGTAAGAGTCTCGTCTGCTATATTCACATTTTGTTTGTTTATGTTTTGACTGCATACGGTTGTACTTAGTAAAACAAGAAAATTGCAGTATACAAACAGAGTAAACTTGTCCGTCTTCACTGTTCATCTTTCGGAGACATTATAGACACATCTTTGCAGTCTTTTACCCTTTTCATAAAATAAACTCTAGCAGACATAATAATATTATGGCTTTTGAAATTAGGTATTACAATGTTAATTCATAGCAAAGACGATATCCAATTCGTCACTGAATTCCCATGTTTTTTGGGACACCCTGTACAACGCTTGATCTTGATTTTACCAGTTGCCAGTTGGTTTCGACCAAATGGCTCAGCTGCATTTTGCCTAGTCACAATTTGCCTAGTCACATTTTGCCTAGTTACAACTTGCCCAGTCACATTTTGCCTAGGTAACATTTTGCCTAATAACATTTTGCCTAATAACATTTTGCCTAGGTAACATTTTGCCTAGGGTAACATTTTGCCTAGAGTAACAAAAGAGCGAATTTGTCGCCTAGTCTATAATTTTTTCACAAAGAAATTTTCAACAATCCGATAATTTTTTTTAAATACGCAAATTTTTTTGCAAAAATTGCGCAATTTTTTTTAATAATTCAATTTTTTATAAACCAATCAGATCGAGTGACACATTGAAAATGGCTCCCATGATAACTGCAGGGCTTACCATGCGGGACAGGGATAAGAATAACCATGGCCTTACCAACAAGCTGCTGAAAATTAAAGCCACAGAAAAGATTGAGAAATAAGATAAATAATGATAAATAAAGATATAACTTGTACAAGATACAATTCAATTGTCCTATAACATTTAATTCATTAAAATTGAACTGGTTAAGCTTAAAAAAATGTTCAATTTTTGACAAAATTTGTTATAAAAAAGCAATAGGCAAAAAACATGCTCTTGCGTTACCTAGGCAAAATGTTACTGGGAAAACTTGAACTAGGCAAAAAGTTACCTAGGCAAAATGTTACCTAGGCAAAAGTGAACTAGGCAAGTTGTGACTAGGAAAAATGTAGCTGAGCCGACCAAATTATATTCATGAGAAATTACTTAGTCATCCTTCAGATGAAAAAAGGGATTACTGTTTGATCCAAGAATTAACAATATCACATAAGTTCAAAACCACTGGTGTAACTTTTTAGAGAAACTTAATCCATAACAAAACAGAATGGTAATTATGAAACCCCATAATGCTTAACCTAACATGATGATGCACTTGTAATTTTTAGGAAACTTAACTTAACTTTCAGGATACTAACTCTGTATACAGACAGGATACTAACTTTCAGGGGACTGTATACATACAGGATACTAACTTTCAGGGGACTGTATACAGACAGGATACTAACTTTCAGGGGACAGTATACATACAGGATACTAACTTTCAGGGAACTGTATACAGACAGGATACTAACTTTCAGGGGACTGTATACATACAGGATACTAACTTTCAGGGGACTGTATACATGCAGGATACTAACTTTCAGGGGACTGTATACAGACAGGATACTAACTTTCAGGGAACTGTATTACAGACAGGATACTAACTTTCAGAGAACTGTATACAGACAGGATACTAACTTTCAGGGAACTATACAGACAGGATACTAACTTTCAGGGAACTGTATACAGACAGGATACTAACTTTCAGGGAACTGTATACAGCCAGGATACTAGCTTTCAGGGAACTGTATACAGACAGGATACTAACTTTCAGGGAACTGTATACAGACAGCTTTCAGGGAACTGTATACAGACAGGATACTAACTTTCAGGTAACTTTATACTGACAGGATACTAACTTTCAGGGAACTATACATACAGAATACTAACTTTTTGGAAACTTTATAAAGATAGGATACTAACTTTGAAGAAACTTAATCTTTACCCTGACAGGATAAAACTTAAAAGAAACCTGATCCTTAATCTGTCAGGATGCTAACTTTTAGGAAACTTTATACAGACAGGATACTAACTTTGAAGAAACTTAATTTTTAACCTGACAGGATACTAGGTTAAAAGAAACTTGATTCTTCACCTGACAAGACACAAACTTAAAAGAAACCTGATCTGACATGATACTAACTTTTAGAAAACTTTATACAGACAGAATACTAACTATGAATAAACTTAATTTTTAACCTGACAGGATACTAGGATAAAAGAAACTTAATCCTTAACCTGACAGGATACTAATTTTAAAGAAACTTAATCCTCAACCTGACAGGATACTAACTTTTAAGAAACTTAATCCTCAACCTGACAGGATACTAACTTTAAAGAAACTTAATCCTCAACCTGACAAGAAGTTGATGTAACTGCATCTGAAACTCCTTTTTCATCTCCACATATTGTTAACACAGTTCTAAAAAATTTAAATTTATGCAAAGTTAATATTTTTTCGAGTTTAAAACTTTTTCACTTCACAAACTTTACGGAAATTCTTAAGTAAAATGTGATGTCTAAAGCAATCTAAAAAGGATTTGGGTCTTTGCCACAAACTCCTATTTTCAAATCACTTCATCTCAACCCAATGTCGAATACATTAGATATTTCAAACTATGAATTCTGTTATATTGAATAATCTAAGTTGTAATTCAAAGGTCTAAACTATCAGATTGCAATTAGAAATTTTGAGTTTGTGGAAAAGGCTCAATTCCTTTATTTAAAGGTCGAAAATCTTTTTTGAAGTTGGATAATTTTGAACTTGGTTCAGCAATAAGGCTCATTTTAAACAAATTTATTGACTGGTTAAGGTCATGAATTTTAACAAGCAATGTTTTAACCAACAAAAGAAAGAAAAAAATCAATATATTTTATTCTGGAACGGAATAAGTCTAACTTAATAAATCATTCAGTTTATCCATTCTGAAATTTGATAAACTGAATTTTTAAATTTTAATATTTAAGAAAATTTTTAATCTTCCATCAAAAATAATTCAGCTCAGGCAAAGGTTTTGATACCTGTTGTATTCTTTGTCGGAGAAGGTACTGATGATGGTTGCAGTGACTCCTCCAGTTACTATTGTCTTGATGGTTTCATTCAAAATAACATTCAAGATCTTCTCTCTTCTTCCCTATACCATAAAAACAATAGGATTTAAGTTAACTCATGGTTCTCTCTAAGAGTTTAATCAATATCAAGGTTCAACTTATCTCAGGGCTCAACTTTACTCAGGGTGCAACTTATCTCAAGGTTTAACTTTACTCAGGGTTTAACTAATCTCAGGGTTCATCTTCTCCCAGGGTTCAACTTATCTCAGGGTTCAACTTATCTTAGCAGGGTTTAACTTATCATAGGATTTAACTTGTCTCAAGATTCAACTTATATCAGGGTTTAACTTACTTACCTTAGAGTTCATCATATCTCAGGGTTCCACCTAACTCAGGGTTCCACTTATCTCAAGGTTAAACTTATTTCAGGGTTCAACTAATCTCAGGGTTAGGGTATAACTTATCTCAGGATTTAACTTATCTAAGGGTTCAACTTATCTTAATTCTCATGGTTCAACTTATCTTAGGGTTTAACTTATCTAGAGTTCAACTTTTCACAGGGTTCAACTTATCTCAAGGTTTATCTTTTCTCAGGGTTCATCTTATCTCAGGGTTCTACCTTATAAAGCGATCACACAGACCGCCCTACGTACTTTTCAATGATCTATCTATATCCCTATTAATCTATAAAAGAAAGATCGTCTTTATTTTATAGAATTCTAAGAACACGTTTAAAATGAGCTATATATACAATCTTTAGCTAATATTTTGAAGAATAATATGTTAAAAGATTTAAGGTAAGCCCCGTCCTTTACAGTATAATCTGACTAAAAGAAATAATCACAAGTGATTTGGTCTACCCTGTACAGCACAACTTATCTCAGGGTTGAATCTTTCTCAGGGTTCAACTTATCTCAGGGTTAAACCTATGTCAGGGTTTAACTTATCTTAGGGTTAAACCTATCCCAGAGTTCAACTTATCACAGGGTTCCACTTATCTCAGGGTTCAACTAATCTCAGGGTTCAACATATCTCAGTGATCAACTTATCTTAGAGTTCAATTTATCTCAGGGTTCAACCTATCTCAGAGTTCAATTTATCTCAGGGTTAATATTTGGATGAGATTATAAATATATTACCTCTGATATGTTTAGTAAGCAAGCAATCAGTTTTCCCTTTTTCATTCTTTACTGGAAACCTAATCAACAACTAACAACTTTGAGACTCAAGTATTGATTTTAAAAAGTCCAATGAACATGAAACACAGTAATTGTCCATCGTACACAGAACCATTTCACTTAATAAATTGATTTTCGAGCTACTTGTAAAGCTAGTTGTTTTATGTTAACATCAAATACAGATCAAATTGGTCTTTTTCAATTTCAACGGTTTAATGGTTTAATTTTAATTCTTAAATCTCGGATCTTTTTAGTCTTGTGCACTGGTTTAAAATAAATGGATATTTTGGGTGGATTGGTAGGATTGGTAGGATAGCAAGCAAACGTATTCTTTAAACCCAGAGCCCGTTCTCTCTATAGATAGTGGTCGTGTAGTTCACGTACTTTGGGAGACGATATGCTGGCCGCTAGATGTCTTATGCTGAATTCTTATCTGATAGATAAATAATTTCTCCGTACACTTGACGACTAATATAGGAGACGTCAAGTTGTCGACCAATGTAGTGTATTGAAGGAACGGCTTCTAGCGTTCATTTTTCTATTGTCCTCGTCGTATATATCAATACAATGAAGACGACTTTAAATTTCATTGTAATTCTTGAGTTTTACAGTGCAAAGGAAATATCTCACCTCCCATCATTTTCTGGGAAAAACTGAAAATTTTATGCAGTTTGTTGTACGGATATGAAGTGTTTAACTGTAAGAATGTTAAAGAAAAATTACAGGGTATTCCAAAACTAGGATGGTTTTACTATACTATCATTGATTCTAAAGTATCTCTAGGTATAAAATGTAAAAAATTATGGCATGTTTTTGTGGACACTAAGTTTTTAAGGTCATTATTTTGCGAACACCCTGTGTGTATTGGATGGGTGCAGGAATGTGAACCAAGTGGAAATTTTGAGGATTTTTATCTGAAACCTGTTTCTCTACCTCTCTCTGGGTTCAAGTTCTAATACCAAATAAATAATTCAGAATTTACGTCACTATTTTACCAATCCTGGAGAATTTGTAACATGGAATTGAATGAAGTATTCAAACCCTATGGATTGATGCGTAGATAAACTGGATTTAACTTGGTAATCTGTCCTTAATAGGTCTGAGTTAGGGGGCCTGGCCTTATAAACACTTGTCTCTAGCTTACTCCAGTCTGATCCCTGCACCACTGCTGTGTGGCAGATTAGGAAAAATATTCGAAGATTTGTGTACTTTAGGCTCAATTCAGTGCAGTGCAGGAATAAAAATAAATCCAATAAAAGCGTAAAGGAGAAGAGTGGGACCATGGGATGGTGTTTGTTAACATTTTACTGATGACGTACAGTGCGACTCATAAAACTGTGGAATTGGAAGACGATATTTAAGCAAAGTTTATACTGTTATACAGCAGTTAATATTTTAACCGGTTGCATGATAACCAACCAATTAAACAAATAAGTCTGTGTTAACGGCACAATTGTTGTATTTCATGTACTTTGTACTTTTTAAATTCATAACTTATTTTGTAACAGTCGTCTTCCTACTCAACAGTTTAGTGGGGGCCACTGTATTAATTGAACTCCCTCAGAAGTTAGTTAAAACAAACCCTATCCATAGTTCTACTCTCATTGAACCACCCTTTTACTTACTTTTGGATTGGGGTGAATGTAAACACTGTAAAGTTCATTGTGAACAACTCTGTACACTACCGTACAATTATAGTACATGGTACACATGTACTTTTATTTCTCTTGAATTACGCTTCTAGTTAGTATAAACATTTGAAATTATGGTTTTATGTTGGAAAATTTTAACGTTAGTTCTTTTTGGAAAACTATACCAACGCTGGAAATGGTCAAGAATTGTAAATATCATAAAATTTTATAAAAGCCTAAATTTTTTTTTTTTAATACATGAAATGATTTTTTATCAATTTTAAAATCAAAAACTTACCTTATTTACTTAGAAAGTGTATGGCATTTCATATGTACTAGACTTAAAAGTATTTTTACAACTTGTATTAATACTTTCAAAGAATAGAACCAAATCAAAACATCTGTTACCGCCCCTCCTGTCCTCTCCTTTAGGCCTAGCTTTCCATATAAGACAATCAATTAGTAATCCATAAAAATACTGTATACTCTGTAGAACCTTGAGAAAGCTTGTGTATTAGGTTACAATGGCTCCAGTAGCAAACTCAACCCTGATCACGGTTCCTAAGTTCTCCGACAACTGTCAGAACCCTCCTCCGGTGGCTCCGATACCTCCCGTCAGAGGGAGAACCCTTTCAACCTGTTTGAATAAGCCAAACGAGATGAATATGGTAAATACCAAATTTTAATCATTTAAAAAAAAACATTTTTATAGTTAAGCATATACATTCTATTGTGCTTTTCTCTTCAAGGATTTTTTGTGAACTCTCTGTTTAATTAAATAATAATTTTGAAAAAGTGTGAATTTGTTTACATTTTACTAAACTTATTAAGACAGATCAGGCATTATTTTGTTATCAACAACATATTCTTGTTGGCTTTAGTAGCATTTCACTTTGTCTATTATTAATGATTTACATTTTAAAAAATATACATATTTTATATATTTTGTTTTTATTTAGTTTGTTAAAAACATTTGTTCTTAAAAAAAAATTCTCTTAAACACTTGCATTCAAAAAGAAAGGTCGAACTCTCTTGTTTAGGTTTAACTTCGACTCTTTTTCACTTTTTTGTACTTTTTATTAAAAGTGGTACGCGTCATAATTTCCCTTCTCATTTTAAAAATGTTTAATTTATTTTGTAATGGACTGTAAGGGTAATTTCAAGTGATCCTTCTTGCTTTGTCTGATCAAGTATGAATAGGATATCCATGTTTTTGTTTCTTTAAACTGTTTTTTTTTATTTGCTATTTCTCTGCAAAGTAACTTGTGCATTTCTTGCTTATAAAAAGCAATGGAGAAATTATCCGAATTAAACACTTCTTGATTTAGGGAAAATACTTTGATGAGATTAATGTTTCAAGGTACCTTTGTAAATCGGGCATTTGATGAGATTAATGTTTCAAGGTACCTTTGTAAATCGGGCATTGCTATCTTTGCATGAAAATTTACTTGAAATTATGCCTACAGTCCTTTTAAGAAATAAAACAAACCTTTTTTAAATGAGAAAAAGAGTCCATTTAATTTTTAGATCCGTCCTGACCTACCTAGCAGATGTACCTGGACTCCATCAAGTAATCCAGCAGATTGCCCTCACTCTAGGGATACTGTGTAAGTATCTATTCAATAAATTGGGAATTTTTATTTTTATATTTTCAATTTCAATATTAAGTAATTAGTAATTGATATTATTTAATGCAGACAATAGTTTTTCAAATATTCTTCTTATTTTTCTGAGAAGCATTAATTTGAATAACATAACTCTTCTCAAGGTTATGAAAAGCTGTATAAAACTGACTTCGGATGTTTAAGAATGACTTAAGATGTCTATTTAGAAGTGTCTAGGTATGTCTGTGGAGGTCAAAGAATGACTTCTGATGTTTAGAAGTTTCTAGATATTGTCTAAGGAGGTCGAATAATGGCTTCTGATGTCTAGAAGTTTCTAGATATTGACTAAGGAGGCCGAATAATGACTTCTGATGTCTAGAAGTTTCTAGATATTGACTAAGGAGGTCGAATAATGGCTTCTGATGTCTAGAAGTTTCTAGATATTGACTAAGGAGGTCGAATAATGACTTCTGATTTCTAGAAGTTTCTAGATATTGACTAAGGAGGTCGAAGAATGACTTCTGATGTCTAGAAGTTTCTAGATATTTTCTAAGGAGGTCGAATAATGACTTCTGATGTCTAGAAGTTTCTAGATATTGTCTAAGAATATTTAGGAAGGTCTAATAAAGATACATCGATGTTTAGTCTAGGTATTGTCTAGGAATATCTAGGCATGTTGAAGAATGTCTTAAGATGTCTAGAAATGTCTAGGAGGTCGAATAATGACTTTGGAAATTTCTTTGAAATTCCTAGGATGTCTAGGATATCTGTTTACGTTGTTAACAAATGTCTAGGATACCAAATTTATCTGTATCAGTTGTCAACAAATGTCTAAAATACCAAGGCTATATCTTTAAGTTGGCAACAAATGTCTAGAATATCAAGGATATCTATTTAGATCTTCAACAAGTTTACTGAAATTTCTTTAAATATCCATGATATTTAAGATTTTCTTGGGTGTCTCGCATTACGAGGAATGTCAATGTAAAGAAAGTCTAGAAATCTAGAAACCACTAGGATGGAAATAAAATGTCTAGATTTTTTAGTAATATCTAGGATGCCTAGAATTGTTCAGAATGTCGTTATTTGTCTCGAGTAACTTGTGATTTATTTGTATTTTATCCCTATTTAATATTTTCCATATGTGCCTTATTACGCCTAGCTATTAAGATTTGGTTAAGGATAAGAATATTCGAGAAAAACTAGTTTATATAGAAATTAAAAATATAGAAATATTAATTTTGCGTATTCATGCATCTTTTTAGTGCATAAAATTTTTCAATCCAATATCAGAAACTGAATATTTTTTTCCCACAAAGAAAAGGATCAAATTATTAGCGTAATTTCAAGTGACCCTCCATGCAAAGATAGAATGCCCGATTCACAAAAGTTTTGTCTGATCAATTATTAAATAGATATTAACGTTTGACTTCGAAAAATAATTTTTTTAAATTGTGGTTTCTCTATAAAAGTCACTTGTGCATTCTAAAAATTAGGAACTAAGAATTAATCCCTTTTTGAATCAAGAAAAACGACAATATATTCCCCATTATTGGTCAGAAAAACGACAATATATTCCCCATTATTGGTCAGAAAAACGACAATATATTCCCCATTATTGGTCAGAAAAATGTTTTAAGAGTTGCCATCTTTGCTCATTTAAAAATTAAGCTTACATAGTTACAGTTCAGAAACTGTTTACATATTTAGATCATAATAATAATAAAAATGAAAATATCTGTATATTATTTTAAAACAACTGTTAAAATTTAATACTAAGCAAAAGAAAAAGTAGGGCAAACCTATACAAATATTTGAAATAATTACTTTTAACATGATATGAAATATTTTGAGATTAGAAGAATAAAAAATGTGCTTAAATTTTTTTGTAAAACGCACAAAGGAAATAGGAATGAAATTTGTAAGTACAAAATTGGATCCTGAAACCATGGTTTGATAAATGTAATGTTTTTCTAGGAAACAACCAGAGAAGATTATGCCGAATGTTCTTCATAACATCGGGAACACTCCCTTAGTGAAGATAAACAAGATTAATCAAACTGCTGGGCTTAAATGTGAACTATGTAAGTTTTAATGTTTATTTTTAAACCTCCCCTTTGCCAAAATCTCTTAGTTGCGCCTCTGTTTTGTAAACCATAGACGACACATTACAACTCGACTACTTTATCCATAATTTTCAACAACAAATCTTTAAAACTTTATAACATTTATTACGAAGTTGAAAATTTAAAAATATGTTATACAACAGCTTGGAAACCTAGGTTTGCTTGGAGGCTAAACTTGCGTTTTAAAAGTCAACCCACTTAATTTAGAATTTTAACCAAACTTTGAACATTCCCGTGATTCTGAGTTCCCCAATAAAAAAATTGAGTCAAATTGGTCAAGAGGTTCCGAAGTTATGATCGGACATGCAAACAGATATTTACAATACTATCATATTTATTGGTTGCCAAAATAAAGTCTTCGTAAATTCAATCTAAAGATAAAAACGACTTTGTGCGCCCCGCAAAATACCACGTACCATTTTTGGCCATAGGAGTCATCTTCCTTTTCCACTTTACTTTGAGCCTTTCTGTAACTCTTTATATTTCAGTGGCAAAGTGTGAGTTCTTTAATGCTGGAGGTTCTGTAAAGGACAGGATTGCTCTGAGGATGGTGGAGGATGCGGAGAAGGAGGGAACCTTGAAGCTCGGAGATACCATCATCGAACCAACCTCGGGCAACACAGGGATTGGTATTGCTCTAGCCGCAGCGGTCAAGGGATACAGGTAATACATTGGGTATTGTGAAGAAACAAGTTCCAAGTTTTCTTTTGAAAAAATCATATTTACTCAATTGAAAACATTAATGTATGAATGTATCTTCAGGTGTATCATTGTCATGCCGGAGAAGATGTCAAATGAGAAAGTAGCGACCCTCCGAGCTCTAGGAGCGGAGATTGTCCGAACCCCAACCTCCGCTAGTTGGGACTCCCCGGAGTCCCATATCTCCGTCGCCCAACGTCTATTGACCGAAGTCCCGAACTCGATTATCCTGGATCAGTACCGGAATCCGGGAAACCCTTTGGCGCATTACGACACCACAGCTGAGGAGATTATTGAGCAGTGCGGAGGTATTGTCGACATGGTCGTTATGGGTGCTGGTACCGGAGGCACGATTTGCGGAATCGGGAGAAAGCTAAAAGAAAAGTGTCCCAACTGTATCGTGGTCGGAGTCGATCCGGAAGGTTCGATTCTTGCTCAACCTGAGAATCTGAACAAGTCTGAAGTAACCTTCTATGACGTCGAAGGCACAGGATACGACTTCATCCCAACCGTTCTGGATCGTAGTGTTGTTGATAAATGGATCAAATCTAACGACAAGGAGTCCTTCATCATGGCAAGACGATTGATCAAAGAGGAAGGTTTGCTCTGTGGAGGAAGCAGTGGGGCGTCTATGTCCTGCGCCGTCAAAATGGCAGCTGATCTGAAACCTGGACAGAAGTGTGTTGTCATCCTTGCGGACGGCGTAAGGAACTACATGACCAAGTTCCTGGATGACAACTGGTTGGCGGATAGGGACATCATCCAGCTCGACGTGGAGGACATGAACCCCTGGGAGAGAATGAAGGTCAGTGCCCTGGAGCTCTCCGCCCCACTCAGCATTCTTCCCTCCGTCTCTGTGGAGCACGCTATCCAGGTTATGATCAATGAAGGGTTTGATCAGCTCCCTGTTATCACCAAGACCGGAGAAATCACTGGAGTTGTTACTCTTGGCAGTCTGAAAGCTAAACTTCTGAAGGTTGGTTAGATTACATCTTTTCCTCGTATTTATATCTTATTTATTATTTTATAATTTAGAAGTATTTCAAGTGACACTGTGTAGATTTTTAAGAAGTGGCATGTTTAATTCACAACAGTAATTAAACCTTGATCAAGGATAAATTATAATATCATAGTTTCTAGCTAAAAAATGATAATTTTTCATGATGGTTCCTGTACAAAAGTGACTTGCAGATTTATGTTGCAGAAACATTACAATTAAGGAAGTTTTGAGTTTTAGAATTGTTAAAATAGAAAAACAACGATATCTTCTTCTTCGTTATTCAGATAGAGGTTTAAAGGGTATAGTTGTGAATCGAACCTGATCTTTAATAAAGGTTCACTTGAATTTACGTGGACAGTCCCTTAAGTAATGTATGTTGTAGGGAAAAGTGATGTCTGACGATCCTATTGAGAAGGTTGCCTACTCCACCTTCCACAAGGTCAACCTGGACACCACCCTGGGCAAGCTCAACAGAATCCTGGACGTCGAGCACTTCGCCCTCGTTGTTCATAGTCAGAGATTATGTAAGTTTGGAATATTGTTGTTTTATCACTGAACAGAACTGGAGACTTTGGTTGAGATTAAGCTTTAAACTGTAAATCCGAAAACCTTTTAATTTAAGAATGAAATGATGAGACCTTAATGAGGACCTAACATTGTTTAAATGCAACAATCTGAATATTGGATTAGACCTTCACTGAAGAGGGTCTTGTTGCTAAGGCTAAAATATTATTAAATCTAGGGGACGATAACGGAATGGGTTCAATTTCAGCTCATTGTGGTAGGATTACTAATCAAAATTATTAAACTACAAATATCCAAATTTGATTGAAATACATAATTTTGCACTTTTTTTCCGAACAACCAGCCCAAAATACTAATTCCAAATTTTATCCTCAATCCTTTAAAAATTACTTTTTCCTGATGTTAATTTAAAGTTCCAAAGGACTGTAAAGGTAATTTCAAGCGTCCCTCTAATAATATAGTTCCATGTCCGATTCACAACGATAACTCAAATTCTTTTTATGATCAGGAATGAATGTGCTTTCCATGTTTTTAATTGGGAAAATTAATTATTTATAATTGTCGTTTCTCTATATGAGTGACTTGAGGATTTCTACTATACAGAACCAATGGAGAAAATGGTCATAACAACTTTTCAAAAAGAAAAACTACAATATCTTTCACATTAATTAGCAGATAAATGCTTAAAGGTTACCATTGTGCATAGGACATGCTCCTCTTTCAATGGAGGGTCTCTTGAAATTACAACAACAGTCCCTTTTTTACAAATGTTGTTTTTGAAATTTAGACTGGTTTGTTACAGCTTATAGTATACGTTAGGAGAGAGAGCATTGCGGCTAGGATATGCATATTTAAAACTAAACTGTCTTATCCAAATTTATGTATTGATAACCAGTAAACTGTGTAATAGGAAGACGACTATATAACAATACTTAATTGTATTTGATGTTGTTTCACAGCAAAATGTTTTACCAGACACTTATTAAATCACTAATTTAGTTGACACTGCATTGACATGAATAATTGCAAAGTTAAAGCTTGAGTCTGAAAGTCGTTCTCCTATTTCAGAGTTTTCCGGAAACAATTAGAAGAAAACAAATATTATGAAAGCAAACTTTATTTTTATTTTATTTTTTAGATACGAATGAGAGGGATGTTGAGACGCGTGAGGTGATCGTCGGGATCGCCACCGATATCGATCTGATTCACTATATCAGTAAGTCGGAGCAGATGAGGAGCAGCACCAGTTCATCTGTATCCTCCAAGAGGGTCTCGGAGTCCGACCAATAGATCAAGATGCAATCTGAGAATTCTGCATTTTGCGCATTTTTATTTTGTGAAAGAAAATTATTTTTGACTAAACATTTATTTTTTTCGGCCGTTTGTAAACATTTGTTCATTATTTTTTATGTACCATATTATATCAGATCACAATCCAGTTATATAGTATTCATGTTTCAGATGAAAATTATCCATTTTTGAAAATATACACGTATTCAATGTTTAATGGTTTATTGAAGGATTAAGTCATCAATATTAGATTATTTTTAAATATGTAGTTTTTAAGCAGATACGAATTCAAGTGTCTAGAGCTAATGGTTGCAGTCATGATAACATATACACAATACACATACAGGATAATTCACAATGGATGAGGCTTAAATGAGGACATGAAACTCTACAAATGTAACTACAGATAAGATACGCCTGAAAGGGAGTTACCGGCTACGTAAGGTAGTTGAACTGAGTATGCAGTGTTGTGGAAAACTTCTTTCGGATTCATTTGAGACATATTAAACTTTTTAAAGATCTGTAAATCCTGAGTTTGAGCGCAAAGTCTACGTTCAAAACTTCTACTTTGGGGGTGGTTTTTTAATTATTAAATAACGACAACGAAAAATAAAGTAAAACTAATTTTTGGAACACCCTGGTGTGAACTAAATAGATGGCAACGGAAACTAAACTTTAAGCGATAAAGTTAACTTAATCAATTCAGAACTTTTATTTTTCAAACAAACCTGAGAACATTTCCGGGGAACTCCTAGCTCTCCTAGCAAGTTTCTCAATCAAAATTTGATTCAAAATGGTCAAGGGGTTCAAGAGTTATGATCGTACTATATCGGTAGTATTAGCACTGTCAAAAATAAAAGCATTAAAACGAACGGATAAATGAAAGTGAAACAAAAAACCTAAGAAGTTACTTGATGTAATATATATACAGGGTGTCCCACGAAACAAGACGAATTTTAGGTAGTTTTTGATCTAAAAAAAGGAATTGAAAACTCGCCTATAAGTTTATTGTTTTAATCCTCATATATTTGCACCCTGGTGGTATATTGTAAACTTTTAAATCTCCCCAAACGTCCACTAAAATTTTAAACATAAGCATAATTCATTGTTTGCATGAATTATGAAACATGAAAGTTCAGGCCCGTAACCTGAAAGGTTTTGAGGGGAGGGGGGCAACGCAAAGATACATATGATCTCACAAAGGATGAGACTTCAGAGACTATTGTACGGATCTATAGTGTAGCTGTTTTCTGTTTATTCCCTGCAACTGCAAACAATTATTTTTTTATTCCAAATCATAAAAACAAGTCATTATATTATTAATATCTACAGAAAGACATAATTTAACATAAAGGGATCGTCACCTTTATAAAGTTTCCGGTCGTCTTTGCAGTCTCTTCATTTGAGGGTAATGCCCAGCCGTGTTTGTATTGTAAAATGATTGTTTAAGTGCTCAGCTCGCTCAGCATCCTAAATCATGCAGGAGATATAACAATGTCGTCATCCTAGTAGCATCACTTAAGATGAAAATGTAAAATCGTATACGCGAAAGCTGTAAATGTATCATATGGATCAAATGAGCAGAGGCGCAACTAGGACTTTTGCTAGGGGGGGGGCAATATATTATTATGTAATGGTCGGGGAGTATTCAAACCCTATGGATTGATGCGTAGATAAACTGGATTTAACTTGGTAATCTGTCCTTAATAGGTCTGAGTTAGGGGGCCTGGCCTTATAAACACTTGTCTCTAGCTTACTCCAGTCTGATCCCTGCACCACTGCTGTGTGGCAGATTAGGAAAAATATTCGAAGATTTGTGTACTTTAGGCTCAATTCAGTGCAGTGCAGGAATAAAAATAAATCCAATAAAAGCGTAAAGGAGAAGAGTGGGACCATGGGATAGNTCTATCAAAATTCGATCGTCATTAAATTTTTTAAAATTTTGAAAATCCGCGAAATTTTTTGTAAAAATCCGCGAATTATTTTTGTTTAGTTTTACGATGTACACAAAGAGAACATGTTTACAATTAATTTAGAAGATGGGCGCGAAGCGCCCTCTAAGGCTAGAAAGAAGGGCGCGAAGCGCCTTGAATTTCTAGTAATTCTATATTTTTCTCTGAAGTCCTGAGTATTCTCCTGAAACTACTGAGTCTATATACTATATATTATTATGTATCCCCTGTATTTGCGGGAAGACATGCCACACACTTGAATAATTCGCCAAATGCATGTGTCTATAGTTGTTTATCAAGTAAGGGGGGGGGGGAGATTTTGAATAAAAGGGAAAAATTAAGTTAAAATTTGTAAATAAATGGCGTGAAGCTCTAAGAAAATTTTCTACTCCTTTTCATGGGGAAAATACTATTTTGAAGATGAGGGCAAACTCTTTTTTTACCCGCAACATCTGAGTTTAACCTTTGCCTATAAATACCACGGGGGACAAAAGGACTACTGCCCCCCCCCCTTTGTAATCGCCTGGGGCTCATTTATGAAATGTTTTTTCATGATCTAGGTGAAAACAATAAAAATTGAACATCAAAAGGCAAGCTTTGTCATCCTTTTTGATACTTTTACCATAAACTTCAGGGTAAAGATTATTATTAAAGAAACTGTTATAATGATGTGAGTAATCACTTCCTTTCTTTTTCAAGTTTTTTATTACTACAGTCATATTATTTATTTATATATAGTACGTTATATCTTGGCTGCAACTTTTATTTGTTAACCCAAGTTACAAACCCTGGATATGTGCTCTGGTCGAAGAAGTCCTTCTAGTTCTGTTCAGGCAAGTGTCGCCTGGATACGTCTAGGATAGGAACAGAGTAGAAGAGGAGTAGATGAACCGTCTGGTCTAGCTCACGCTGCAGGAGCACGACAGAGCACAGGACTGGGATCAGAGAGAGAGAGATAGATCCATGAATGGGAGGGATCCAGGTAACGATACAATAATAACACAGGAAGGCCTTAGGACCTTCTGATCATTTATCTCGAATATAGCACCACTATAGATATGACATTGGAAAGGATAAGAGACATGGACATTGAAGAGATCACAGTATTACGACTATAGTGGTGCCATATCAAAGGTTAAGAGGAAATGAGACAGCACAGCAAATAGAACCTTGATAAAGGATCTAGATAAAGTGGGGTGGTGTAATGATGAACAAACCCATAATTGGAATTAGGTCTGGTAGACTTTACTCATGTCCTCGACCCTGCATAAGAGACTTTGGGTTGACTTCAAACAATTAACTCCAGTTATGGATACGTTCTACCTATCAGTGGCAGTCTTTTTATAAAAAAGAAATAAGTGTCAAGGGTTAGAATTAGATTAAAAAAGGAAAATGATTATACATAAAAAAAAATAAAATATAAATATAAATCAACTCTAACAAAGTCTGTACAACGCCAACAGAACAATTGGCAGCAAGACATTACTAGTGGTCCCTAGCGGTGTCTTTTTACATATACAGAGCAATGCCTGCAGTATCCAGTTTCATCATTTCAAAACAATGTTATTGACATTTATAAAACAATGTAAAATTAAGCACAATTGTCAATTGCCGATACGTTCCTGACAGGTACGTACTGGGGGGGGGGGGGGCCGGGTTTTTTTTTTCCTGGGAATCTTTTTTTCCCCTTTTTTTTTTTTTTTCCTTTTTCCGGGGGGGGGGCGCCCCCCCCTCTCAGGTGCTAGGGGAGGGCGCGCGCCCGGCCGCCCCCCCCTAGTTGCGCCTCTGCAAATGAGCTCATTTCATTTTATTAATCCGACCTTTACACACGCATATATTTCATATATTTCATGTCATGCTGATGCACATGCTAACTTTGTATTAAATCATCTTCTGACAACATTGTAAAAGCCTGCATGCCTTGCCCTTGTGAATAATAATTTCGAAATAATAGAGATTATAGAATCTTGTTCCTCGATTTTTACAATTTTGTTTTTATATCAGGGGCGTACTTTTGGGGGGCCGGGGACATTTTTCGACAAATTTCACTGTACAGTATAAACCTAGCCAGGCAAAATTAGGAGAGTAATGCCCGCCCCCTGATTCTCTCCCAATTAGCGACCCTGTAAAATTTGGTAATAATGAATGTTTTAGTTATTTTTGACTCTCAACTTCTCGAACTCTGCTTTTCGCTATAAACTATAAATTATAAAAGTATAGTCATATGTTGTCAATTTTATTGAAACAATTAAATCTCGATTACTCGAAAGAAATATAAAACATTCAGTAAAAGCATGGTTTGTATTTAGCATACAGCAAACAGTAAAGTAAAAGAAAGAATTTACTAAATAAATAAGTTTTGTGGTGGTAGCGGTGTCTTTTTACACTAGAAAGCAACTCTACAAAAACCGTTTTTTTTTTATTAATTTCCTGGGTTTTTATAAATATTTTGGAACATTATTTCAACTAGATAATAGATATAAATAACTAATCGTTTAAACATATTTGTATTAATTAGATATTTATATTATCGGTGTCCGAATTTAATGAATTTAAGTCGCGTCTCAAATCCCCAAAAAACCGGTTTTAACTGAGCACCGGCCTAAATCTTGAACAATTGAATACAATTTTAAATTATTTAAATTTTTATTCTTTATTAAATATTTTTAAAGAGAATTCGATGATGCTCTAATTATCAATACTAATATTCAAATATCTACATAAAACACCCCTTAGAAATACGATCACTCTATATACAAGTGTACAGCGTTAGATACGTAAACATATCGTGATGTACACAACCGACCACTTAATTAACTAATTAATAGGGAGGTCGGTTGTGTACATCTGAGCTAAGCTTTACCTCTTCATTTTATTACTCTATGGTCAAAACGGCTGAACCGATCGGGCCCAAATTATGAATGGGATCTCACAAACTCACATAGCCCCAATGAAGGTTTAAATTAACATCAAAATTGGAAAAAAAATCTTGGAAAATAATTGGAATTTTTTTTTGGAAAGGGACTCCTTGGACAGTCCTAAAGTCCCATGACTGTCCCAATTTCAAGGTTTTTGACACTTGCTGTTGGCCCCGATCAAATTGCTTCAAGTACTTCCACCTCCTTACAGCATACTCATGCAGTGATCCAAATGATGTTGCAAGCTCTAACACAAACATCTATGAGAATTTGATCCAATGGGTTAGTTAGGTAAATTAAATGCACTTTATCCAAGTTTTCATTTTCCGGATCTCTGATAGCAATAC